TGACTTTAAACACCCTCAAAGTAGGTGATAAAATAATGTAAAGAGAACCGTATCTCGATGAGCATGAAAGAAAGGAGATTCCAACTAAACATAAGGAAGAACTTTCTGACAGTAAGAGCTATTCAACAGTAGAATGGTCTCCCTTGGGAGGTTGTGGACTCTCCTTCTTTGGAGATTTTTAAGCAGAGGTTGGATGGCCATCTGTCATGGATGTTTTAGCTGAGATTCCTGCATTTGCATGGGGTTGGACTAGATGACCCTCGAGGACCCTTGCAACTTTACAATTCTATAATTCTATGTCAACATTTTAACTGCATATTTATTTCACAAGGTGCACATTTCTCCTAATTGGCTTCTGAAATCAGACCATTTTGCATCCAAGCTATTTGTAGTGTTTACCATAGACACGTCTACTCAGAAATAAGTCCCATTGAGTTCAATGTGACGCACTCCCATAATAGGATTGCAGCCTAAAATATATGTAACATGCATGTTGCTTAACCTATTTCTCCATCTAGTTTACTGCACGTTTTTGACAAGACCTGGTGGCAGATGCTTCATAGGCAGTGTGCAAGAAACAGAGCGATTCAAAGTAGAATTGTTTTATTTATAGAATTTACAAACCACTTCCCTTGAGGCACCCCAAAGAGATCTACAATATTGTAAAAGTGACATTACTGTATGTAAAACAGTTGATAATAGAGATAGACTTATAACCATTCAAGCAACAACAAAAATCCTTTTGCCCACTTGCGTTATTCTCACCAGGGTGGTGGCTTTGATTTGCCTTCCTGTGATTGATCCATACATACAGTTTTGTGTTTCCAACTCAAGACCCATTGAAGAACATCTCATCCAGTTCAATCTTTGAAAAACAGCTTTGAAAAACTTTTTCATATTCTCCAGTGTGCTTCTTTTGCCACTGTGGCGGCACGGGGTTGCCATTCTGTGATTGAACTTACGCTACTTGTTGAACGGTTCATTTATCCAGTCTGTATAATGTTTATTGCACATGTAACTTGTTAAGATAACTTGTGGATAACTTGTACATTTATCCACTCCATGATTACAGTATCTCCAGGCTTTGTTTTGCATATGGCACCTTAGTGTGTTTGTTGCTTGAATGGTTACAAGTCTATCTCTATTCTAGCTATTATGTATTCTAGTAAATTTGGTTTTATACTTATAAGCCAGTTTGTGCTGGTGTTGCTTTGTTGCATTATTATTACTGTCACCACATTTGATACTTTGTGTATCTATGTAAAACAGTTGAAACAACTGCATATAGAAAGGCAATTCAACAAACATTATAAATATAAAAAAAACAGTGTAAAACATCGACATCACATACACAAAATCAATTCAATTAATAGACGGGTAGCAGCTGGGATTTTAGAAGGCTTGTTTGAAAGAGGAATGTTAGCAGGTGTTGAAAAGATGATAGAGAGAGCACCTGTTTGGGATGCAATGCCAGGGAGTTCCAAGCTGCCGAATGAACTATCAATTTTAATCCCGAAGGCAATGATGTTGTATGCATCATCTGGGCATGTTACATGCATTCCTTCCACCCAAACCAAATAAGTAATCACACCCAAGCATAGGCTTTTTTGGGGGGGGGGTGCAGGTGTTTCAGGAAGCCAGCTCCATTACAGGTCAGTGGGTCTACCCCTCTCCACAGCTGGTGCTTTTAAATCTATATATATATGCCTTGATTTAGATTTGAAGCATAAAGAGCTGCTAAGCCATCAAACTGATGCCATGTAATTGGAAAAATTTCAGGGGGTGCATATAAGTGGGTATGGCAGGTGGTTTTGCTTGAAAAGTTAACACAAATGTTAGTGTTGCCAGTGGGCCGGAAAAAAAGACTTTTCTGAATGGGTTTGATACATGTTTATTAACTTTGTTAGCAGGACATGGATGATCTCCACCACCAACCTATACTTGATTTTGGACACTATTAACTGAGCTGCACTCTTTGCTCTGGAAAGAAGAGATGAATGAACTCTCTTTTGACTGAGACTGGAGCTCAGGGGCTCTCACTCAGCCTTTGGTATTGACAAACGTACCTTGAACTTCTGATCTGAAATGCAACTGTTTTCTTTCAACAATGCAGCAGGGGGCAAGCATGCTGTTCAAGTTTTACATGCTTTAAAATGCATTTTTTTTGTGGGGGGAGTAATCACATTTCTGGCCCAATTTGGTTATGATAGCTACTGATCGATACTAATGAGTTTCACAAATAATTTGTGTATTGTTGGGGGGTGGAGAATCTCCTTTTCCATTTTGTATGCACATTCTTCTGTCTTTTAGTAGCATCCAAATCTAAATAAGAAAAAGACACCTGATTATTCAAATACAAAAGCAAAATATTCTATCTGTCTGGGGAATGAGGGAGCACTGCTCCTGCTAACTTTGTTTTCTTTTAATAACATTCTTTGCCTTGTATTCCAACATGCAAATTTTTCCATTTATAATCACCATTTGCATTATTATCTACCTGCTACAAGATCCTGGTGTCATTCCATATGTTAATCACAACATAGTCCATGTTTTCTATCCTCTGCTTTGTATTTGGATTTTTAAATCACCTTATGCTTCCTTCAGGTTAGAAGTTAGCCTGGAATTAATTATTCCAGTTCCTGCGATGGCAAGGATGCAATAAAAAGGAGTGTGAGGTGGTGGTGATTATTAATTAAATAATTTCAATTTTGATGGTGTTCACACCTTCACTTGTTCGATGTGGATATCTATTTGGAGGAAGCCGGGTTTGATTTTGCTTTTAAATAACATTTTGCAGCAGAAAGCAGATAACAAAATCCACTGCAGAAAAATGGGGAAGCGAATGAATACAAAAGCCAAGTCACAAAATAATAGGCTTGTGTTTTCATTGCTATTGAAAAGGGGAATTGGATTGTTGGAAATGATCACAGGGCTGTCAGATCTACCTCATGTTGTTGTTTCTGTCCTTGGAACGGCAGAAATACTTTGCCCAGTGCAATTCAGCAGTGGCAGATAACATGAGTAAGGAAATCCTGGTGCCAGCCCTATTTTCCTGAAATGAATAGAGGAGATCAGGCCTCACTCAGACCTCCTGTATGACCCAAAGCCTACCCTTATGTCTACAAAATGGCAATATTGTGTACAACCAAGCCAGAAGCCAAGGGTTTCCATTACTCCCGTCTCTGTCTTCTCATGCCATTTTATACTAACATGAGTACCTAAATTATGAGCTCCTGGGATCTTTCTAGACTGTGTTATCCTGGCTCAGTGACATAATAGCTAATGAGCTTGCCCATCCATCAACTCATGTACTTACCCAGCCAGTTACAGATTTTATATATTAAAAAATATTTATAGACCACCTCCTCATATCAAAACCAGCTGCTTTTGTAAAAGGCTTTAAGGTTTTCTACAATCAAGTGGTATATAATTTTTATGAAATAAGTAAGCTATTATACAGGTGTAATAAAGCATGAAACACCATAAAACAATGCAAAATAACCATCAAATAACTGGCTCATCTAGAAAAAGTTTAAACAACTGCACCACTGGGGGCCACCCCCTATGCATGGTTTTCAGTGGAAAATTACCTCTGCTCTGAACCTGGAGGTTTTAATTTATCTGTCATGCCTTCTTCTCCTGGCATCTGCTAAATCCCTTCAGGAACATAGAAAGCTGCATATTGGTCATCTGGTTCCATGTTGCCAGCACTGACTGGCAGCACCTCTCCAGGAATTTCAGGCAAGTGGCCTTTCCCAGCACTACCCAAGGGTGCCAACTTGAATAAAATTGGGGAGGGGGGAGCCAGGTAAGTCCCACACAATCAGTCACAAGATGTGGCAAACACACCCTATTTTAATGGCAATGCCCATCAACTTGGAGGAGGTGACGGTGATCCCTTCAAATATTTTATTGGGGAGGGGCAAAGGGACCTCGGTCCCTAGGAATTGGCTCCTATGGCACTAGTGAATGAACGTAAATATGCCGGATTTACTTATAAGATAAACAAGCTATAGCTTAGGGCTCCACTCTCTTGACACCCCCCCCCCCAAATTTCATTATTAATATACTTCTTCTGAATTGTATTTCAGTTCCACAATTACTTTGATAAAATGAATATTTTGTTATGTGCAAATGGCTTTAGATACCTATTAGGTCCACAAATTACCATATAGCATATAAAAGGTAAAGGGACCCCTGACCTTTAGGTCCAGTTGTGACCAACTCTGGGATTGCGGTGCTCATCTCACTTTATTGGCCGAGGGAGCCGGCATACAGCTTCCGGGTCATGTGGACAGCATGACTAAACTGCTTCTGGCAAACCAGAGCAGCACACAGAAATGCCGTTTACTTTCCCACTGGAGTGGTACCTATTTATCTACTTGCACTTTGAGGTGCTTTTGAACTGCTAGGTTGGCAGGAGCAGGGACCGAGCAACGGGAGCTCACTCCGTCGCAGGGATTCAAACCGCCGACCTTCTGATCGGCAAGTCCTAGGCTCTGCGGTTTAACCCACAGCGCCACCCACGTCCCTACCATATAGCATATATTCAACACAAAAAAGAGCGACAATTTGTTGTTGACAAAGGACAGCTGGACATATAAAGGGCCCCATGACCTTCATCAAACCTAAATCTGGCCCTGGGCACTACCTGGATATTGGGGGTGGGGGTGTTTTGAACCTGGGATCTTCTGCATGCAAAGATGATGCCCTGCCACCGAATCATAGAATTGTAGAGCTGGAAGATACCCCCAAGGGTCATCTAGCCTGACCCCTGGAGCAAACGGTTCCACGAAAAGCAGCACCTGTTGAATTTCCGCCTTGCCGCTGACAACGCAAAGCGGCATCTCTAAAGCCGGGAGGGGGGGAGGCAGCCCCGCCCCCTCTGCAGCCTCAGCAAAAAACCCCAACACCCCAAAGCACCCCACGCCCGATGCCACCGAGCGACGGGGGAGGAGCCAGCGCCGCGCGAAGTCGGATTGGTCGCTCCCTAGCCGTGGCTCCGCCTCCTCCTGCCTCAGGTTGTCGCTGGAAACCAGAAGCCGCCAGTTCTGCTTTCTGCTCTCGGCCGGACGGTGAGGAACACCCGGGAGTCCCAGCCGGGGCGTGGAAGAAGGGCGAGACGCGTGGAAGCGGGGCTGGGGCGCTTTTCGAAGGGGAGCCCCTCGAAGCCGGAGCCGGTAAGCCCTCGCCGGCTCGTGCCCTGCGTGGCGCGCTTCTCTCTTTCAGTTCGGCGGCGCGACAGTGTAAACAGAGCAAAGGTGGGGCGAGGAGGAGGAGGCTCCAGGAACAAGCGCCTTTTCTTTCAGGGCCCCCTTGGAGCTAAGCTCTCCAGCTTGCTCCTTCTCGGCTGCTCGCCTCTCAGGGGTGCGATTTTCGGTGGCTGTGTGTTGGGGCTCTCGAAGGGAAGAAAGTTCAGACCCCGGAGGAGACTCGGGGAACTAATTCGGTTTTGGGGAGAAGGCAGCAGCCCAAACAGATCCTGGGATTTGAAGGTTAACCTCACCTCTGACCTCCCTGGGTCTAGGTTTTGACATGGCAGAAGGAAACTGTGAGCTGTCCCTCCATGAGGACTGGTGACAGATTCCTCCACACAGAAAGCTAGCCCGTTACTAAGGTAATACAAGGACCAGCCTTCTCTCTAATAGCTGGCTTTCTGTGTGCATGGAGTTATTTTGTAGGGAGCATGCAATCCTGTGCAGGGCCCACTTGCGGTTTGGAGCATTCACAAGTTTATCCCTGTATCTTGTGTGTTTAAAAAGCCAGGCCATGCCCTGTGTTTATCTTTAGGTGCATGCTGGTTTATCTGAAATCTTTGATGCCTGCAAACCATTCAGATAGTGAAGTTGGACATTATGTAACCTGGGGAGTCTTGTGTTCACCTGGAAGCCTCCCATATCTTTTAAACCATATTATCCTGGCCTCCAGACCCCTTGAAGTGGACTTCTGTCAGGTACAAGCTTTGGCTTTTGTAGGAGAGGAGGAGGAGGAGGGAAGGGAAGGAACTCTGCTTTGGAAATCCAGTATGAGATTCTTCAAGCCTATTCTTCAGAGGTTTCTGTTTTTCTCTGCTACCTGATGTAATGTCCAAGCAAGAGTTAATCTAAAAGATTAAGCACAATCTTTTGCTCATACAACATTTTGGATTCCTCCAGCATCTCCACTGTTTTTCTGAGTTCATGGAGCAACTATCTTTAAAATACTTATTTGGCATGGTTTTCTTCCATAGAGTTAAGAGATTCCCTAAGCAAGATGAGATAATGCATAAGACTGGAGCCACCTGCCTTGCCAGACTAGAATTTGTGCCAGGGGTGTTTAAACTGACCGTTCTCTCTAAGAAAACAAAAGGGAGAGTGACTTTTGCAGATGGATGAGCACAATACTGGCATTAATTGTGAAGGGGAAGACCTAGTACCTTGAAACTTCAGGCTTCTGGCATTGATTTTTAATTTTTAATTTCTTCCAGCCAAGTGAGTTGGAGTTGATTGGCATGTTGCTTTAGGGGTGATGAAATTGTTACTGTAAGGATGATGGGCTCTAATAAAGTTGAAGACAAGTATATAAGTATTAAGGAAGCTGGTGGAGCTGCTAGGCATTTTTAGCAGCTGACTTATAAAGGGACAGTGAAAAAAACCCATGGGTGGCAGAACAGGAAATCTGTTCAAATGTGACCTTCCTTCCATCACAAAGGTTGGGTTTTTTTTTAATAGTAATATTAGACTGCAAGCATTTTCTCCAGTGGACATTAGTATGTTCTGTTCTCATTTGTATTCATCATTCCCTTCAGCTGTAGGGATTTAGAGGAAGAAGCTGTGCCATTCAGAGATGGGGATGGTTCCACTTTCATATAGTCTTGGAGCGAGCACTTCATATGAAAGTATTCTGTAAAGAGCCAAGCTGTGCTGTTGCAAGCAACACCTTTTTCACTACTGTTGCTATGCTACACAGGTTGCCTAAAAGACTGTCTCCATTCTATTCCATCCCTTTCGTACATTTATCACAAGTCCTGAAATGGGAAGGGAGAGAGCAGGTGTGTGTTCAGTTCCTGCAAGCATTCTATGAAGCTCTGACCCTTCTCTTGGCTTGTGCCTCTTGCAGGAGTGCATATTGCACGACGTTCCCAATGCCTTTTATACGTCCTTAAACTTTTGACTAGTCGGCTATTCATAGTGCACCAGCGTTTTTGAAATTTTCCATGAGTAGGAGCAGCTGCTACATTTAGTGTCTGTGGGGAAGAATCCACTTTGAACCTGACTAACTTGAAGGAAGGAAGTTAAAAAAACAGAACCGGTGGCATTTGTTAGTACACTGGAGGAATGTTGTTAGTCAAGGCTTATTGACACAATCAAATAGCAAAGGTTGTTCCCTCATAACTGATATCTTGGGGTGTTCATCCCTTGTTTACTCAAACAAAGAATTCCAGGTTCTTTTAGGTGTATTGCCCACAGAGCCACCTTTCTGACACTAGCATCATGGCTGCTTACCTGGACAGTGAGCAGGTTGGCAGGCCAACAGAGAGGCTGGTCCTATGGTGGCAGCACCAGTTTGGCTTTGCCAAGACTTCTGTTCTACCCTGACTCTCCATTTGTACCATCCAAGTAAATGCCAGTGGTGCCAGTGTCAGGACAAGGGCACCACAGCACTGTGTTGGCCACTCTTGAGTTACCCTGCTTCGTACTCTGACAAAATTCTTGATGCTACTGTGTTTTTCTGTGAATGCTATGTGACGTGGAATCTCTCTTGTTAGAGATTATTGGGTGACCACCTAGTCTCTGCTCATCAGATGTCTCTCATTGAATGTAACTGATCTGCAGAAAATGCTCTATGACCTGAAAATGCACATACTTCTGCAACCCAAGAAAATCTTTAATAATTTGTTTTTAAAAATACGCTGCAGTAGTAGTAGTAGTAGGTTTCTTGAATTAGCAAGGGGTTGGACTAGATTAGCGTTTCCCAACCTGTGTCCATGAGCTTCATTCAGGTGGTCCGCGATGTGTCTGTATTAAATATTCATATTGATTTATAATTGAATTTTTATTGCTTCTTTTATTTGCTGTGATACAATAAAATGCAATTTGAATTCAGGTTGTAAAACAACAAAATACAATATAAGAAATAAAAGAAGCAATACAAATTCAATTTAAATCATGCGACATCTATTACTGCACATTACAATTGCTACAGCAGGCAGGGAAATCATTAAGTGGTCTGCCAAGACGCTTAGCAATTTTCATGTTGCCGTTGGAAGGGGGGAAAGTTTGGGTACCACTGGATTAAATGAACTTTAAGGTCCCCCCAACTATATTATATTATTATTGGTGTGGGTACAAAAGGTCTTCCTGGGAATTATGGACTTTCTGCCAGTTTATTTCAATCTGCAATTCTTCTCTTGAACGTAGCAATAAAGAAGCTGAAGTGAGGTGAGTCCAGAGACTTTTATATCCCAGGGTAGTTAATTCCATAAGATACTGTTCTTGGGGGATGCCCTTAAGAATGTGGATTTGAACCTGCAGCCCCTCACTGATAATCTGCACTGTAGAAGAGGCATTTCCCCTGTATAATCTATCTGTGTGAGCAAAAGTAAGAGAAGGGCAAACTGGGGAGTTATCACTAGTTATTGGGGGGGGGCAGATCAATATATTGGGTAGAGATGCAAATAGTGTAGGTTAAAGGTGCCAAGAGAGAGTCCCTGTTCTTCTGAATAAATTCAGAATTGGACTACAGTGCATAATATATCAGCTGGCAGTCTTGCTCTTGCACATCTATTCAGGCAAGATTGAAAACTTACCCTGTGGGCTACTGTGCTACATCCAGTTACAGTGCTTTCCTTATATTAAGAGAGCTGTGGCTGCACATTCTTATGAGCAATTTAGAACACGGCAACCACTTGTGCCGCTATAACTTATTTTAGAATCTGGATTGTTTCAGTTTCTGACATTTTAGCTGCCACAATGCAAATTTGATTGGTTTTAAGTATTGGTGGTATCACCCTCTAGCAGCTAGCTCCAAGGTCCCTCATGCAAGGCAGCTCATCCACTCTAAACCACAAAGGAAAATTACTGCCCACAGAATAAAAACAAGGCCCTGAGGCATATGAATTTGCTTGAAGTTTCAAGTGGAGCTTCAGAATAGAGATAGAAGTCGAATGCTGACCTTGCCAGTCTTAGGGCAGTGTTGTGTCCTTCAAATTCTTTTTTCCTTGTGGCCTGCGACCTTGGACCCTTTCCCTTTCTCTTTTGAAAAACTCCAAATGGCAAAACATTATGTATCTCTGATGAAAGAAAAACTTTTGGTTGTTCTTCTGGCCTTTGAGTTTAATTTATAATCAATCTATGGAGGTGTACTTCATAGCTTTAGCTGTAAAACCCGTGCTTGCAGTTTGAGAAAAGAATATTATCTTTTTCATGCAAAAAAAAAAATAATCTCATTTTTGTCATCTTCAATGTCATTTTGCCTTCCTGGAAACAGATATATTAGCATGCAGGACACTATGGAAAAGCACATTTTCCTTCTGGCTTTGTTACACACATCAGACTTTGGTCAGCTAAAAGGCAGGACTTCCTGAAGTTCACAAAGCTCTCAGTGGAGCAAAATATCCCTATCATGGTCGAAGTTATTCTTGATACCTTCCAGGTGCAGTCCTGTAATAACATTGTTCATAAGAACAGTTGCTTGAGTTATGTGAAGAATTGTAGGGAGAAAGCTTCCCCTTGTCTCCTTCAGTACTTTAAAAAAAAACTCCTATTGAGAGTCCCTTAAAAGTAGTTCCTGCTAGCCTGGCTTTCTTTCACAGTGCCAAAATTGAGTTATAGGGAGAAGTCAGAAGTAAAGCCAGGAAGTCAGACCGAAAAAGCAAGGCCCAGAGGAATGAACACAATGTGGCCTAGATCACACTAAGCCAAATCTTACTTAGTGCAACTGTGCATGTCTCCAGAGAGGAGATAATGGATGCTTTGCTTCATCCCTGGCTGCCTTCCTGATATGCTGCCATGAGCTAAGCCAGGGGTCAGCAACCTTTTTCAGCCGTGGGCCGGTCCACTGTCCCTCAGACCATGTGGTGGGCTGGACTATTTTTTTGGGGGGGGGGGGATGAACGAATTCCTATGCCCCACAAATAAACCAGAGATGCATTTAAAATAAAAGGACACATTCTACTCATGTAAAAACACTCTGATTCCCGGACCGTCCGCAGGCTGGATTGAGAAGGCAATTGGGCCGCATCCGGTCCACGGGCCTTAGGTTTCCTACCACTGAGCTAAGCCATGGTTTATTGAGTTGTCTGAGCAGATACTCTCAGTTTGCCCCCTCCAGACAAACCTTGAGCTAGAAAGAGCAAACCTTGGTCACAGCTCGAAGTTTGTCTGGAACAGCAGCATTCTAAGTTAAACCATGGCTTAGATCACAGTAACATCACAACAGGAGGACCAGAGAAGTAGCAAATCAACTGCAATCACCTCTCCAAGGAACCACACACTTGCACATTTGTACTAAGGTTTGGCTTAGGATGGCTTGATTTGTGTGATGTGTGAATCAGACCAGTATAGATTCTTTATTAAGTGTGTTGGGCACCCAGTACTTGACCCCATTTTTCATCTAGTATCTATCTAGCAAAAGGAAAATCAAATGACTGAAGTGCTCTTCTGGTTCCCCCCACCCCAGGAAATTGGAATCTGTTTGTGCAATCTGCCTATTGAATCTGTCCCTTATCCCCTTATTAATGTGCAGTGCCCTTTTTTGCAAAGGGAAACGAGAAACAGAAAACTGCCTGGTGGCTGCTGTCAATGAAAGTGCCTGGATTTCAATCCAGCAAGCAATTAGGCTTTGCAGAACTGTAGGTAATCATCTAAAAATTCCATTCAAGATTCCTTTTTAAGGTGGCACCCCCCCCCTTGTCATGTCTGTTGCATCCTCCACTTGCTCCAACCCTACAGCCTTTGCTCTGGGGGCATTGTGAAGCTTTTCTTACTGAAGTATAACATCTACATTGGATACTGGAAAGAACAAATGCACTAGAAGCCTTATCATTTGTACCAGTTCCTTGCAATATCTCATTATCTGCATTAGACATCTACTTTTGGAATGTCTAACTGTTTTGAGACCCCAGTACTATGAATGATTCTGAGCATACAAAGAGTAAAATTTGGCTTGGTAGTGAATGGCTGCATCATCACTCACATATGATTCTATGATTCTATAGGAGTGCTCTGATGGTGTTTCCTGCTTGGGAGGGGGTTGGACTCGATGGCCCTTGTGGTCTCTTCCAACTCTATAATTCTATGATTCTATTCTATGATTCTATATTTGGGAATAATCTGAGGGTGCTACTTTCAGAAGTCCCTGAGCCCTGAATTGGAAAGCTAAAGCCAATGGAAAGGAATTTGCTCAAGCCCTCCATATGAGCCTGAGAACTCTTGAGTCTCAGATAGGGGGTATGTGCACCTTGTCCCAGAAATATGAAACCCAATCCAGATCTTAGGGGTATTTCTAGATGGTGGACTTGTCACATATAATGAATGCTCATTTGGTCTGTCTTGCCCTCAGAAGCCACACAAGGATTATGCCAGTCCTCTTGCTGAGCCTTGCTACTTTGATACTCCTAGCAGCAGAACACAGACTTTCAGAATTAGGTGGCACAATCCCAAACAGCACTGGTTGCTCCAAAACTCAGCAGGGATGAGTGCCTCTTTCTTGTTGCACCTCTCCACAAACACACACACATATGCACATGTTGTTTGGGGGCACAGTCTAGGGACCCCCAAACTCCAGGTCTTTTGCACTGAGCCCCAGATTTTCTGTCTCATCGCCTTTTTAAAAAAATGCTTACAGGGTTGCTAGGCATGACACAAAGTGCTGTGACCCCCAGCTACAGACACCCCAAATTAATTTGCTCAAGAGACCTAAATCTGCGCTATACATATAAGTTAGTACATGCATTTCCCTACCCCCATCTTCATATTTGTGTCATGGGCCTGTGCTCTGAGACTTTTCAGTATCTAGCAATGGCTCTTTGTGTACACACACATGGACTCTCTGACTCGCTCTCTAACACACACACATACACACACACACACACACACACACCCAGAGAGAGAGAGAGAGAGAGAGAGAGATTATTGCTTAGCAATACAGTTAAATTTATTTTCTAGATTTCCACAAGTGAGTGGGAGAAACTGGTGTTCATAACTGTCTTATCTTCTTGGCTTCTACAGGGGCCAGAGGGCAGCAGATGCTTTATTCCACTATCCCTGCATTCTGTAAACAATGAAGCAGTCAATATGCTTCTCTGGCACCTGCCTCCCTGCACAGACATTCATGTTGTATGGATTATTTCCAGAACATGTCTGGAACTAACCACACTCAGGCAGAGAGATGAGTAGGGCCAAAGTTGTGACAGTCTCTTTTTCAGATGTGGGGAGTGGGCATTGGAGGGCTTGTGAGGCAAAGCAAAGGATGCTGTGTCCTGGACTTGGCTGTTTCATATCTGCACACCTTGATGCACTCAATTCATTTCAGACAGACAGGGAAGTAAATCTAGATGTACAGTCAGGACTAAGGAATTAGGTAAGGTTTTGATCTAATCTTTCTGAAAAAAGCAGAAGTGAGAAAAGGCATGTGGTTCTTGAAGACAGCAGCACATCAAAGGCATCCACTAGAGAAGCACAATAGAGAAATGTTCTTATGAAACAGGTGAGAGATTAGATAAAAGAGGAACAGAGGGAATTGTGATGGGTGCACAGAAAAGGCTAGCCTAAATCAGTCTAGCTATTATATACAATGTCAGCTGCCAGAGCATTGCCTGGTACAATTGAAATAGCTCCAGATGAGACATAAGGTCAAATGATATGTGATGGTGTAGTTATGTTTGTTGTTCATGTGCCTGCTCTATTCATCTACAAAGCAGTGCACATGGTCTATTTTTAATATAAAAATGGATATTTGGGTGAGGGGAATTTAATTCTCCTGTGCCTTAGCTGCTGTCTCCCCAGACACTCCCCCTGCCCACTAGATGTCAATACCATGTGCTTTTTGGAACATCAGCATTTGCATTATAGAAGCAAGGAGCTTTGTGTCTGGCATAGAGTCCAGCATCCTATGTTGCTCCATTTCATCTTTCTCCTCTTAATTTCTGTTTCAACCTGTATTGCTGCATAGGTAAGTTTGAAAACATGTCTGCAGAAGCCAAACTCAATTCACAAACTGCAAGGAGACTGAGCAAGACTTTTGATGGACTGGGCAGAAGGTGGAGCTCAAGTGCTCTGCTAGGTCCTCATTTCAGCAGAAGACTGCAGTGGTGGGGGTGTGAGGACACCCAATCAAACTCACTGGTGGAGGTTAGGTTTGGTTCAAAATGTGCCCCTGGAGTGGTGGTGAACTTTGGAATTTGCCATTCAGAGAACAATCCAAACCCCTGACCAGCAGAGGGATGGTTCAGTGAAGTGGTGGGTCCACATCCACAGCCCTGCTTCAAAGCTGGTTGAAGGGGGGAATGTCTCTTTGCCACACCAGCTCCCAGGCTGCTACAGTCAAGGGCCCCAAATCATAACAGTGGATCCTATGCCAACCCCATAACACCCGGTTCCAGGTCTGTCCACTGGCTGCTGCCAGCAGGGATACCATCAGCAGTAGTTTCCATCCACCATTTGGATGGGTGCCTTCCTCATCATCAGAATTTCTTCTCTAGCAGGAGCAGCAGCAGCAACAACAGCAACAACAACAACAACAACAACAACAACAACAACAACAACATAGCCAGGCAGAGCCCAATCCAAACTCTCTCCAGTGTGACAGATTGTGGAGGTTTGATTGCTTTGTCACCCAGTTCCAATTATTTGCTGCCTAGATGGGAAAACAGGAATTGGCTTAATATTTCCATCCTTTCCCAGGGAGTGGGGAACTGGATCTGGCCAGCAGTTCCCCCACTGTCGGTGGACCACTTTGTCAGGTGGTCAGGGCCGAGTTTAAGCAAAAGTATGTCTGGCCTGCTCTCACACCTAATCTGATCCCAGCTGCTTCTGTAATCCGGGTGTCAAAGGATCCTACCTTATGCTTTGTCACCGTCTCTCAGGATTACTTGGAGCTTACTCAAGTGTTCAGGAAACACATGGGCATTCCTCCTGAAACCGTGCTGCCACTCAGAATGCATGTGGGAGATGACATGTTCAAATCTTTCCTTAACGCAAAACCATCACTTGCTTCCCCATATATGGAAAGCTTGCATGTCCGAGAAAAGGTAATCCAAAACCTTTATCCCAGTGTGTTAGCTTTCTACCTGCAGGGAGTTCTTTATGTGGGAAAATCTGGCATTCTTAACTATGAAATACCAGTGAGCTTCTTTCCCTGCTTTCCCCACCCCTGCTCTTGCATTGGATCCTCTCAGAAATAAACCAGGCTATTCCCCAGAAAATAGCTTGCCTTATTTCTGAGCTAATCCTCCTTCTACCTAACTCCATCCCTGTGAGCTTCGACATGCCCTCCCCTTTCCACTTAAATCTAGAAGCAGAAAGGATTCTGGAGCAGAGGGAGGAGAGGCAGGCCTACAGCAATGACTCTGGGAGGAAATTACATTTCCTTAGGGCAGGGGTAGGCAATCTAAGGCCCGGGGGCCAGATGCGGCCCAATCGCCTTCTCAGTCCGGCCTGCAGACAGTCCGGGAATCAGCGTGTTTTTACATGAGTAGAATGTGTCCTTTTATTTAAAATGCATCTCTGGGTTATTTGTGGGGCACAGGAATTCGTTGTTTTTTTCTTTCCTTTTTTTCAAAATATAGTCCGGCCCACCACATCTTCTGAGGACCAGCCCACGGCTGAAAAAGGTTGCTGACCCCTGCCTTAGGGCTACTTCCTTAGAAGTAGAGGTAAAGCAATTTCTCTAAGATGTGTGATAGGATCTTAGATGGAATTGTGTCTCTCAGTGCTCGGCTTCCAACAACCATCTCTGTGCCAGATCCACAGCTTGTCTTCCTTCCTTTGGAGATCTCCCCAAGCCCTAGCCTGAGTATCTTTCAGAAACAGTGTAAAATTATTCTCTTTGCTTTGGAGAGGGGATATATAAGCTGGTAAGAGGACTCTAGGTTTTGGCATTTGTTATTAGCGATGGCGATTAGCGACGGCGTTATTAGTGGCGTTTGCTGATTTTTAATTCTGTTATAATGAACTAGCTTAATTTTTGTTGTTATTGATTATTGTCAGACAGTTTGTTCACAACTAGGGAACCACTTCACTATGCTGAAGATTATTGGGGGGGGGACAACTAGTTAACGGATGTTTTCTCTAATTTAAAGAACAAGGAGTGCATTTTAACCAACTCTCTTAACATGAGTGGAAATATGTTCACATCTGAAAATATTTAATGCAGATTTCTCTTGGTGTGTTAGTTTTATACCTAACATTATAGTCTCTCTTATCCTTTTATGATCAAGGTAAATAGCATCTGCTGTGGGGGATTGTTCTTGCTAGGATGTTTTTGAGTGTGTGTGTGTGTGTTCGCATGTGTGTCTGGGCTATTTCTGTACACTGGAAGTGATTTTGAATTTGCTGTGGCAAAAGACTCCTTCACACTTCATGCATATCCCTGGCATACACAGTTTATAGGTGTGTGTATGTCCTGTGTACCTCTCAGTGTGTTAGAGTCATACCATGGGTACACGTATTCATGCCAAAGAAATCAGTGAATGATCCTGAATTTCCACAGCGTGTGTATGTACACATAGATAAGGGTAAACAAAAAGCGCGTATGCCTCTTTCCACTTGAAATATACAGCATTACAGACATTTCACAAATTTATGTAACGTGGAGCATTCCTAATATTTGGTCAAAGCCAGGGGCGCAGCTGAATCTCTTGTTAAGTGATTAATAATTGTTGCACAGGACTAAGGAATTATTAACTGTGATTTGCTGAGCATGCCCAAAGCCCCCTTCCCCCTGTAAGATGCATGTTACAGTATATTGACTTCTGCCAGAAATTGCTGTAATGGCTCTTATCAAACCCAGTTTGTACATTCAGTTTATGTTACAGTTTACATATAGGACTCCAAAGATTTCTCAAACTACTTAGGCTGAATTAGTCCTATTTTACTTTAGAAGAATTTTTTTTCTTTACAAAGTCCCAACATCTTGTGTATCATCATACAATAGAGCAATTGTGCAATTTTGGTAATGGAATATAGCTTTTTGTGTGTTTGAGCTATGGAGAAAGGGGTGTGCGTGCTCACCAGTAATTGTACAGTTGTGTATTTGTAAATAGCATTGGTTTCAGTGGTCATTACTGCAAATAGAAAATTCAATGGGACCTAAGAAACTCATTTGTTTAGCTTTTGTGTTTCCCAGCTTGTGTATTAAAGACGTGTGTCAGGAAGCAGCTGCAATATGACCAAAGTCCATCATTGTAATGTTGAAAAAACTAGCCGCAAACCTTTATGCATTTATTCTCTCTCCATGCCCCCAACACTTGTGCTCCATCTTTCACTAATGAAAACTGAAAGCAGCTTGCAGTGCTTTTTGTAAAAATAAAATTACAGCTAAGACCAAGAACAAATATAATAAAAACAGGCAATTAAACAACGTATCATTACAAGATCCTTGTAAATTTCAGTCCAAACAATCAAACATGACAAGAAGTCAAAAGATAACAGGAAAAGTATCCTGATCATTGGAGGATGGGTACAATGTAGCCAGAATGGTTGCAGAAGAATTGATACTTAGAATTTTTGCCGGGATGCGGTTTTCTGAAAATTTCCATGTTGAGCTTATCCTTAGCAATTCCCCCCGTAATTATCATTTTTCTCTTTGATCTGCACAGGAACTGGATTTTTTTATTACACCCCTAAAGTAAACAGCTGCATATAACAATACATATAAACTGTATACAAACACGTATTAATACTTACAAAATTACCCTCAGAAATATACAACCATGTAGGGTTGTAGGGTTTTTTCATATGTATTATACTTCTAATCTACATAATATATATATGTGTGCCTGTGTGACAATAAGTGAGCAGCTGTTTCATAAGTGGGTGATTCAAACAAGGGGCAATTCAATCCAGTCAAAACTTGATTTCCATGTATAAATCCATGTAAAACAGATTCTTCTTCCGTCCGTAACTTTAATGTATTATTATTAATGTAATGTAATTTTTAATAAGATGGCAATATTTTGAGGGGGCAACCCTTTCCTCTGTGTTTAGACTCTGAGGAACAAACATGTTTTTACTTTATAGTGCACCAATTGCAATCTGAGAAGCACACACAAACCGTGAAATTTAGTGATTTCTAAGCTGGATGGAGTCTCCATGGAGACTGAAATGTTTCTGTACTGGTTTCTGTATGTTCCAGTCTTTCATGCCTCATTAGTGTCCATTTTGTTGAAGAGTAATTATGGCAGCAGAGATTCACACATGATATTCAGCAGCGTTGAAAGTTATTTTAGGTTTATTTGCATGTTACATTGTGGCGGAAACTAGTGTTTATGTATGAAGCCGTGAATTGGTCATCAAAATTTTGAAGGGGGGGAGGCCATAAGAGAAAGGAAGGTACAGTGAACCAGAAACCAAGTGCCACCAAACCATGGTTGAACTCATGAAAGTGTGACTCTAACCACTACTTCCCTTGGCAAAAGTGTTATTTCTTCAAGCTTTGTCTGAAAGCATCAAAGGCGGATGCTTGATGCCCCTGTCTGATTAGAGGCAGTTTTTATCCCTGAGTGTCATCTCTACATTTCTCAGTGCATTTATCTTTTTTCCTGATTAGACACCTCATTTCCACAAACCTTTAGACATGATAGCAAATACCAGTTTAGAAGCTTTAATTTACAAAGCTGTCATATAGGTCTAAAAACGATGTCTGTGTGTCAGAGTGAGTTCCCATGTCCCGGTCTGCTTTGCTTTCCTCATATATCTACTTCCATCTCTGTCACAAAACCTTCTAGTTCTCAGTTATCAAACAAGGTAAAGTTCCTGTTTTATTTTTCCACTAAGAAGTTTGTCCCTAATCATGAATGCTGCACCCGGATGAAAATGGTGAATATGCATAATTGTGTATTAAATACTTGGGATTGCTTCTCTGCTGGTGTGTAAAATTCTTGAATCTCGGTCTGAAACTTGAAGCATCCGTGTTGCTATGGAAGCAGTCTGACATATCCTCCAAAGTCAGTGATGTTACCCAAACACCCAACCCAGGTATATGTGCTCCCACACAGATTCTGGTATGGTGAGCAGCACCCAGCATGAACTGAAAATGCACTCCAGAATCCTCTGTTCCTCATTAATAAGTTGCACGGCAAACAGACCCCCAACCAAAAGGCCTGATTTCCCTTTCTGCATTGTAGTAGGTTATGCTCTGAGTATATACAGTCATACACCACCTGGATTGCTCAGTTGGTTAGAGCATAATGCTGATAATGCCAAGTTTGCAGGTTCGATCCCTGTATGGAACAGCTGCATTGCAGGGGGTTGGACTAGATGATCCTTAGGGTCCTTTTAAGCTCTACAATTCTATGATTAAATCCATAATTAAACCAATTGGACAGTGTAGTACATACATATGTGACTATAATGCATTGATGATTTAATGATTTTAGAGCATCAGGCTCGTGTCATCAGCAGTGTTCTTTACAATAATAAAAGTAGATTACACATTCTTCTGAAACTCTTTCACAGGCAATGAATGTTTTGAGTGGGGGTTGTGTTCCTGACACCTGCACACACTGGCAGAGCATGTGTATGCCTGCCCTGCCCCGTTATGACCCCTGCCTCACCCCCTTTTCCAGCCACTTCCGGGTTGTGGTGATGCACACATGCACAACTACACATGCTTTGAACGCATGCAAAAATGTTGTTGCCTGTACTCAGAATACTGTAATGCAGTGTTCTTCAACCTTGAATCCCCAGATGTTTTGGAACTGCAGCCAGTAGCAGATTTAGGGGAGCGCAGTCAGTTTGGTTGCACTGAGCACAGAACCCAAAGGGATACCACAACTGTTATTGGGAATGGAGTGCAAGAGGTGGGGGGCACCAAATTTTGGCATTGCACAGAGCGCCGCTGAAATAACCCCATGTGGGTTATCTTCCCTCTTCTAACTGGGGCAGAGAAGGCTCACTCAACCTGTTTATGTGGGCTCTAGGCTGCATAAGGAGACTCTAGGCCAGGGGTCAGCAACATTTTTCAGCCATGGGCCAGTCCACCATCCCTCAGACCACGTGGTGGGCCGGACTATATTTTTTTGGGGGGGGATGAATGAATTCCTATAACCCAGAGATGCATTTTAAATAAAGTACACATTCTACTCATGTAAAAACACGCTGATTCCCAGACCATCCACAGGCCGGATTGAGAAGGCGATTGGGCCGCATCTGGCCCCCAGGCCTTAGGTTGCCTACCTCCTCTAGGCTGCTTTGGATGCAAATAAAACCAAGATCTCGAGTACTTACATAGAGGAGGCGATGACAGCAGGACAAAAACTTGACAGCCTTAGATGGAAACTGCAGAATCTGCCTTAATCCTGGGCTTTTCAGTCAAGGGGGAAGGTCCAGCAAATGTAAGGCTGGAAGCCTGGAAAGTTGAGTTTGAAGAGATCCCTCCAGCTCTGAGGGCAAACCACACATGTGCACTCTGAAGGTAGTCATGTGTTTTGAAGGGGAAATACTTTTGAGCTTTTGAAAGAAGAAATTTGTTGCTCTTACAAAAAAGGAGTTTCTCTTTAGAGAAAGAAGAGCACCCCCATTTGCAAGCAGTACAGTGGTACCTCAGGTTACATACGCTTCAGGTTACACACTCCGCTAACCCAGAAATAGTGCTTCAGGTTAAGAACTTTGCTTCAGGATAAGAACAGAAATCGGGCTCCAGCGGCGCAGCAGCAGCAAGAGGCCCCATTAGCTAAAGTGGTGCTTCAGGTTAAGAACAGTTTCAGGTTAAGAACAGACCTCCGAAACGAATTAAATACTTAGCCTGAGGTACCACTGTATTATCCCTAGCATGAAAATAAATACCCCAGCCCAGCAAATTTCTACCTTAATTCTTCTCCTGCCTCGTATCTGGACCTCCCTCCGTGCGTATCAATAAATCTCCTTGGGCCCCTGGGCAGGAACAATAGCAGCACTTTTCTGTGCTGCAGTGAGAATTTTCTTAGCGCTGTCCATGGGCTTTGTTGTTGCACAGTTTCTAAAGAGCTGTGGTTACTTTGTGACACTTTAAAGGCATTGGCTGTGCAAGCAATGTGCTGCCGCCCCCCCCCCCCCGGCCTCAAATTGGGACCCAGCACGGAATTATGCTGAGGTGGAAAGAAAGCCAGTGCAACACAGTGAAAGAGCTCTTTTTTAATGTTAAGCTCCCCTGCCTTCCTGCAGGAAAGGAGATTCCCTCAAAGTGTTTTCTGTTAGAGATTGAGAACAGGCCATTGGGAAATGATCCACCCCAGCAGCCCGCCTTCTGTTTTAAGCTCTTAATCCATCCTAGCCTCCTATTATGAATGATTAATTTATACAATTAGTAGTGTTATGGTAATGAGCTAATGGCATCTTTGTTGCCATCCTACGTGGGGATATAGCTAATTGCATGTTGCATGATTGTTCCCAGAGGCTTTTTTTAACACAAGAGGAGAGTGACTTCTACTTCTTGCCACTGAGGCAATGCCTATTACTGATCTGTAGGTGATTTATGTGCCTACTCAATTAGGTAGAGTATGGTGCTGGTAATGCCAAGGTCACGGGTTCGATCACCATATAGGCCGCCTGAATATTCCTGCACTGCAGGGGGTTGGGCTGGGTTCCTTTCAGCTCTACAATTCTATGATTCTAAGTACATAGTAGAATTATGTGCTTCCCAGTAATGCACACTCAGGGGGCCCTAGAGGTACCCACAGATGCTAATGTTGCTCTATAATCTGGAGGCTGGATGCTTCTAAAGTGACTTTCAGGCATTTGATGCAACTAATAACCCAGACTCTACCCTGATTTCTGTGAAAACACTGTACCTTTGCATAATAGGTAAGCGCTTAGTAGGAAGGTGTTGATAGCTGGTGCTCCCGTCAGCCTTATGACAGCTTCATGGCAGTTCAAAACACCTGAAGAGTACCACACATGTGCCAGTTAATAGGGCAGGTTTCTGCCCTCTAATGGTGTATCCAGCACACACAAATTATTTTTCTAACTGTTCAATGGTTTGCATATTTCTTGTTTAGATGTATACTTTGCCCTTAAAATATCAGAGTGGCTTATGCTAAAATTAGTAAAAGCATAATTAAATAACTAATATATTAAAGTCATCTGCAAACAACAGCATTTTTGTAAATGCAGCATAAAACTAATCCAAGTAAAATCGTTCAAAATATATTCATCTGATGCCAGAAAGGTATCTGAGCAGATACTGAGCAAGGCTTTTTGGAGGAGAGTAGAGGAGAGCGCAAAATATGGTCTGAAGCTCAACATCAAAAAACCGAAGATCATGGCCACTGGTCCCATCACCTCCTGGCAAATAGAAGGGGAAGAAATGGAGGCAGTGAGAGATTTTACTTTCTTGGGCTCCATGATCACTGCAGATGGTGACAGCAGCCACGAAATTAAAAGATGCCTGCTTCTTGGGAGAAAAGCAATGACAAACCTAGACAGCATCTTAAAAAGTAGAGACATCACCTTGCCAACAAAGGTCCGTATAGTAAAAGCTATGGTTTTCCCAGAAGTGATGTATGGAAGTGAAAGCGGGACCATAAAGAAGGCTGATCGCTGAAGAATTGATGCTTTTGAATTATGGTGCTGGAGGAGACTCTTGAGAGTCCCATGGACTGCAAGAAGATCAAACCTATCCATTCTTAAGGAAATCAGCCCTGAGTGCTCACTGGAAGGACAGATCCTGAAGCTGAGGCTCCAATACTTTGGCTACCTCATGAGAAGAGAAGACTCCCTGGGAAAGACCCTGATGTTGGGAAAGATGGAGGGCACAAGGAGAAGAGGACGACAGAGGACGAGATGGTTGGATAGTGTTCTCGAAGCTACCAGCATGAGTTTGACCAAACTGCGGGAGGCAGTGGAAGACAGGAGTGCCTGGCGTGCTCTTGTCCATGGGGTCATGAAGAGTCGGACACAACTAAATGACTAAACAACAACAACAACATTCCAAAACTGGGATACCACCACTGAAAAGGCCCTTTTCCAAATAGCCATCTATTACATCTTACTGGTTCTGATGTTCATTATTATAAAACAGTGATTTAACCTAAGCTGATCTGAGAATGTGCCCTCCTCACTCCCATCAGTTCAGAGAGTCAACTTGGGCTGCATCGACGTCCCATGGAAGGAACTGTGTAGCTGATGGAAAAATTTGTAGAAACGTCACAAAACATAAGCCACCCCTCCCCACAAAGGGAACAGCGCTGAGAACCTATAAGAGAAACAGAGTAAATTAAAATTTGTCTTCTTCCCCACCTCAGATGTATTCAGATCTTGTTCCTGTGCTTAGTCTACTTCACTCACCCACTCTTCTTCCTCTTTGAAACTCTCTGATCTCTTGTTCTGAGGCAGCCGTTCAGTCTCCCACACAGGTTGAAGTTTTCTCTACATGCAAGTAACTCTGATTCTGGTGTCCTTGAGAAATTAGCAACACTTTCAAAAGAAAGAGAGGGAGAGAAAAGGGGGTGAACTTTGGGAGGCTGGGGAGATGACAGAACACAGCATGAGGTGTTCAATCAATTCTGAGAAAGATGCACAGCAAGGTTTTGCTGCCCTTCTTGTTCTGCCCAAAAGCATTAGGTCCAACAAAGAATATGAGTAGGTTGCACTGATGGGCAGGTGACTCATATACACACTTTTTCTGTGTGTGGCTTTGGGCACATTATTCACTTGCTCTTCCCTGTCTTATGTGTAAATATGATCGTGATTCTGTGTTGTATCCCTAGTGTTCTTTAGGTTTTCAGGATAGGGAACTTTTCTGTGCTCTCCTGCTGCATATCAAGGCAACAGCCATCTCTACCATCTCAGTGTGGTGTAGTGGTTAAGAGCGGTAGACTCGTAATCTGGGGAACCGGGTTCGCGTCTCCGCTCCTCCACATGCAGCTGCTGGGTGACCTTGGGCCAGTCACACTTCTTTGAAGTCTCTCAGCCCCACTCACCTCACAGAGTGTTTGTTGTGGGGGAGGAAGGGAAAGGAGATTGTTAGCTGCTTTGAGACTCCTGAAGGGGAGTGAAAGGCGGGATATCACATCCAAACTCCTCCTCCTCTTCTTCTTCTTCTACATGGAAGGAATTTTAAAAGTGCATGATAGCACTAGGCCTACTCAACAAGAGTCTTCTAATGTGGTTAGATCCCTGCTGCATGACCTAACTATCAACTCAGCTCCACTCACCTGATTTTGGGTGGGGTAGCCCCCTCTCTTTCTCTTCAGTATGGCAGTGTAAGAATTGCCAAGTCACAAAGAGAACTCAAATTGTCAAAATTCAGACCTATCCCTAGAACATGAGTATAGGCATATTCAGTAGGAGGTCACGAGATTCACACCTTTGTGTTGCCAGTTTCATTTGCTAGTTTTAATTTTTTTATTGCAGTTAGATTTCCATGAATTCAGTATTATTTCCCTAGCCCTGGCGATGATGGTGATAAGTAGTAGATACAGTATCTGCAGTAAGGATATTTGAATAAGCTACAGCTGTTGCTCAAATTATGAAGGGTGCTTTTCAAATGAATTTAAATGGTGTAAGTTTAGCACCAAAAGCTGACCTACTCAGGGAATTTGCAGCACACTTCATTTGCAAAGAATTGCATACTGAGAAGTGATGTATGTATCTGTGTGGGAGGTACTGTGAAGGCCACAGGGGCAGAAACTGTGGTTTCTCTGAGCTTGTGAATATTTCCAGATTCTAGATGATAATTCTGAGCAGCTACTGGTCAGATTTTACAGGGATAGTATGAATGCTGGTTCAAAATCTATCAAACTGCAGAAAACTGTGAATCCATAATTGCAGAATCCACAGGGCTTTGTTGTTGGTTGTTGTGTAGTCCTGTACCTTTCTTTCTTTCTTGGCACTTTTGGATGCAGTATTTTGTGGAAGCTGGTGAAAATGCCATGTATGCTACTTTTTATTAGGAAGCTAAGGTTTGCGTTGAGACTGAGCCTGCAGAAGCAATTTGTTTCATGTGTTATAGAAAAATGATAACAGAAAGGAGCATCTTGCCCCCATTAGACTATGACAACCTGACATGGATCAGGATGTTCAGAAGTTGGATCTGTACTACTTCTTCTTTTGTGGGAAAACCAAGTCAAGTACTCCATTCTCTGTGAAGCCAAGTTACAAGTAAGGCTATAAATTGGCAGAAAGGAGGTAGAGTGTTAGGATCCAGGTCAGAGTTCTGCTCCTTCAAGGCCTTATCCTTGAGAAAGAAAGGAAGTGATCTTCTGGGGTCACCCAGCCCTGGAGAAATAAAAGCCTTCAGTTGTTCACTTTGAGCTTGCCTTGCCTCATCTGGGTGGTCTTGCTAAGGGAGGGACTAGATACTGCAAAGCAAAGTTGTTTGGATGAAGGAGCTAGGGTTGTTATCCTACTGTTATCCAGAATGAGGCAACCAGTTTGGGGTGTCCTGATGCGGCAGGGAAGTGCTAAGTTATTTAATTTATTGTTGTACAATAATAATAATAATAATAATAATAATAATACCCTGCCCATCTGGCTGGGTTTTCCCAGCCACTCTGGGTGGCTCCCAACAGAATTAAAAACACAATAAAACACCAGGCATTAAAAACTTCCCTAAACAGAGCTGCCTTCAGATGTCTTCTAAAAGTCAGATAGTTGTTTATTTCCTTGACATCTGATGGGAGGGCGTTCCACAGGGTGGGTGCCACTACCAAGAAGGCCTTCTGCCTGGTTCCCTATAACCTCACTTTTACTGCCAGAGAAAACCACATGCTGCCAAAATAATATGACCAGCTTCCCGGGAGATATGCAGCTTCCTGGAAGATAGGGAGAGACTTGTTTGCCCTGCCTCAGGTAGCAAAATGTCTTGGGCCTGTTCCAGAAGTAGTAGTAGTAGAGCCTGGGACTGGAGAAGTGGATTGTTCACTTGTTTAAGATGTAGTACCAGCACCTTGCATGATATGCTGAAAATGAAGGACCCTGCCCTACATGCACACACCTTGCATCAGACACACCACTGAATAATGGGACCTTATGGTGAAGGGTGGTTAATAAATCGAATTGATGAAAATGATGATGTGAGGAGAATACAATGAAACCTTCCTCACGTGGTGTGTGACCAAGAGACAGGTGCTTGGAACTCAGCTGTGATATAGTAACCCCCCTGTTTTGGAATGTGTTTATGTGTGTTTGCTAGTTAGATGTTAAAACTAGCCCCATAGTTGCCATGGTAGCATATAGATTTAGTTGCATCTTCTATGTGCAGATTTGAGTTCAGTCCCAGAGAGACACCAACTGTTTCTGGTCCCTAAAATGCTTCCTACACTTCTGGTGTTTGCCTTGAAATGTGCCTACATGGATACTTACTGCATTGATTCTGTGTTGTTTTTTCTTCTAAAATTTGCTGCTGAAATACTTTCATGTCTTGAACTGTTAGCTATATTCTTATTGAAATATTGTTTTTGAAACGACGTTTCAAAACCATGTTTTTGTTGTGATCTGCTTTGAACATAATTTATTTTGTGAAAAGGCAACACATGAATTAGACTAGTCTAGTCATAGGATAAACAGGGACATGTGTAGCTTTCTCCCTTGGCCCATTGCGAATGCATATGTATTGCTGTTTAGGCTCAGGTGCAACTTAAGTTATTGTTTCTAATTTCCAGATTTGCACAGTAGTGATTGGCTAGCCCTCATGTCACTCGCAAAGCAAACACACACATCCCTTTGAGAAATTTTTGAATTGTTTTTTGTCTGAACAAAGATTTTAAACAGATACTTGAATATGAACATATACAAAAATGTATTACCTCCTTGAAGTTTGGGAAGGAAGGGCAGGGAGGACTGAGCAGGTACAAAAGCAACTGTCTTTGCAAGAGGGAAGGTGTAGAAAAGCAAAGTTCATTGTGCAACGAAAGCCACCCACCCACCCCTGTTCACAAGTACATCTGTCTTCACAATTATGCATCTGTGCTGCCAACTTGCTTCCAGATACCAGCGGAGTCCCTAGCATAGCTAAATGCCAAAAGGCTGCTGCTTCCATTTTATAATGAACTGCATGATTTGTACTGTTCTTGCAAATGAATATAGAGGGCTAGAAAGCAATTATACTGACTCTGGAAAGCAAGCATTTATTTTTCTTCACTTTCCTCAGAAATTTAAAATCAGCTCTATACAGGGACAGTTTGATGTCAGTTGCTGTCTGGGCACTTCCTGGCGACCTGTTTATTCATCCTGATTTGCCTGCACAAAGTTTGCAGAGAGGCTTTGCAGGATCATATCAATATATTGTTACCCAGTGCATTTTCTCATCACTTCCCTTACTGCAAGAAGACTGGGTGGAAGTTCAGGGTTTGGAAGCAGGATTGGTGCACATGGACCACACATCCACATTAATTGCCCAAACTGAACTTGTCAGTATGTGACTGGATCCCACCTGCAAAGGAGCAAGCCGTTTGCGCAAGCTCCACACCTGAACCAGGAAATGCTAGTCAAGCCCCATTGATCTCCATAGGACTTGTGTTAATCATATCCTGTTTATATTAAAGGGACTTAAGCATGGTATGGCTTCTATCCTTTCCACATTTTATTTGAATTCAGTGGGACGTACTTCTGACTAAATATGCATTGTGTTGCTCTGTTGCTGTCTTTGGATTGGGCCCCTAGTATAAAGGTCAAGGGACGTGGGTGGCACTGTGGGTTAAACCACAGAGCCTAGGACTTGCCGATCAGAAGGTCAGTGGTTCAAATCCCCGCGATGGGGTGAGCTCCCGTTGCTCGGTCCCTGCTCCTGCCAACCTAGCAGTTCAAAAGCACGTCAAAGTGCAAGTAGATAAATAGGTACCGCTCCGGTGGGAAGGTAAACGGCGTTTCCGTGCGCTGCTCTGGTTCGCCAGAAGCGGCTTAGTCATGCTGGCCACATGACCCGGAAGCTGTACGCCGGCTCCCTCGGCCAGTAAAGCGAGATGAGCGTTGCAACCCCAGAGTCGGTCACAACTGGACCTAATGGTCAGGGGTCCCTTTACCTTTACCTATAAAGGTCAAATGTAGCTCGCTTCAAATCGCTAATGGTGCAGCATGAAGGAAAGAGTTCAGCTAAGTGCAGAGTGGGCTGGTAAGACATCAAACCACAGAGACTCATGTAAAAGAATTTATAGGAATGTAGAGTTTTAGCAGCATGTAATACTTCGCCTCCAATACAGAGTAGGGTGGGTCTTGCCAAGCTTCACCAGACCTGAGGAATGTCCACCCATTGAGGGCAAATGAGAACATTCAGGGAGTTCATTTGAGGAAACTGTTTGTTCTACTGCAGTGATCTTTTCAGCCTGGCTTGGAAATCGGTACTTCATCTGAGCTCTTACCAAATGTGCGGCCTCAAATCAATCAGGCGTGCGTGAGATGTTGGAACATGATGCCTGTCTCACTCGCTTGCTGTGGTTTTTATTTCCCTTGCTGCCTACCAATTTGTTCTGGAAAGTAATGGGCACAACTCTCCTAATTTCCAATAACTTCCCACCACCTCCTTCTACCCCTCGGTAAGCCTGTAGCAATTATTCTCCCTGCCGAAGTAGAGCAAACCCACCCACACTGCACGCTTTCAACAAAGAATGGAAACTTCCCCAGAGACAATTGCAAATGATGCTCCAGGCATCCCACTGTCTGGAACAATGTGGGCTGTGTGTTGCAGGAGCTACTGGCGGGGGCAGACTTTGGTAATATGGCGCCCTGACTGAGGACAAAATTGGGCACATGCCCCTAAACATTTCTTATTTTCACAATAATACCTTTTGGTACAGTTGCTTTTTGCATGGATCTTCTCAGTAGGTACCTGTATAAATATATGTTGTTGTTGTTGTTGTTGTTGTTATACATCTTGGCTTAGTATCCTGTGCAGGAGAGCCACCTGCACCACCCTAAATCCGGTGCTGCTACTGGGTAAGACTGATGAGGTAACTATTTGAAATAGAGCGATGGAAAGAGATTTCATCAAAAAGCAACACACATTATCAGCTTAGGGCTCCAAATTTTTGCTAGTAAGAGCAGTGATTTGGTGTGGGGGGGAATTAATTTTGTTTTGTTAACTGATATTGATTCTGTCATATTGAAGAGTTAGAAATGTGTGGAAATATTAATAAAACTATATCTGTTCTGATGACACAAGATTAGACTGTGATGAATGTGTCTTCTCGGCTCAGCTGATTATATAAACAAGGAACTCTTTTTCTGTATGCGTGCCTTATTTTGTTTTTGTGCATTGTTGTTTTTTATTTTTAGCATGGCTAGAGGCCTCAACAGCTGGAGGTGGCCCAGGCCTCCCTGGACCTCTAATTTCCATATGCAAGATAACCACTGCAGAACAAATGCTACAGATAAACTGCTTCTCAATGGAAGTAGTTCACATGTCAGCTATAGGGAAACACTGTTAGACATTGTCTCTCTGAACTTGTACAGAGAAGGGGGTTGGGGATAGTGCCTGCTGATCCCGTTATTGATGCATGTTCATTGTAATGTCTGAAAGAACCTGAATGCCTGTGAGTAACCTGGGACCCTTAAAATAGGCAGAGTCCTTATTGTGCAGACAGAGCCTACATAAGCACACTTGGTAAGCATATAGGCTCTTTCAGACATTGTATTGAAATTGTATCCGGTTAGGGGACAGCAGCCACGAAATTAAAAAATGCCTGCTTCTTTGGAGGAAAGCGATGACAAACCTAGACAGCATCTTTAAAAGCAGAGACATTACCTTGCCGACAAAGGTCTGTAGAGTTAAAGCTATGGTTTTCCCAGTAGTGATGTATGGAAGTGAGAGCTAGACCATAAAGAAGGCTGATCACCGAAGAATTGATGCTTTTGAATTATGGTGCTGGAAGAGACTCTTGAGAGTCCCATGGACTGCAAGAAGATCAAACCTATCCATTCTTAAGGAAATCAGCCCTGAGTGCTCACTGGAAGGACAGATCCTGAAGCTGAGGCTCCAATACTTTGGCCACCTCATGAGAAGAGAAAACTCCCTGGAAAAGACCTTGATATTGGGAAAGATGGAGGGCACAAGGAGAAGAGGATGACAGAGAATGAGATGGTTGGACAGTGTTCTTGAAGCTACCAGCATGAGTTTGACCAAACTGCGGGAGGCAGTGGAAGACAGGAGTGCCTAGCGTGCTCTGGTCCATGGGGTCACGAAGAGTCGGGCATGACTAAATGACTAAACAACAACAGGGGACAATCCTCCCCCTCAGAATTCAGAGTATGATTGAGCAGGGCTTAAATGATAAGTCATTTAGTGACATCGAGTGGCATGTAGAGTCAAGTGTGAATCAGACTGGTTTTTGTTTCTAAGTAAAATAGAATCTGAATTCTAAATGCAGTTCCCACTGGGTTGCTACTGGTCATTTTATATTGCTTGGCAGAATAAGGAAACCAGAAGTTCCAGATCTGAAAGTACAGAATATCTGAATAATCAAGTCCCATTGTATTTCTTTGTATGACTTTTTCAGAATTGGGAAGAGAACATAAGCAAGTTATTTAGATTGTAAATTGCTCAGAGGTGGACGAGAATGTCTCCTATTCTATAACTTCTACACATAATTCTTAGTATGCTTAACAGAAATGACAATAACTATGTCTTCAATTACAGGTCTCCTACCTTTTTTGGAAATTATATCCATGAGTTCATGCAGTGAAATGCATGAATGAAAGGGACACAGCAAAACAATGGGAAATTTAAGGACTGAACAGTCTAATTTTATTCTGCTGAAATTTTGTTCAGAATATATTTCCTTTTGATTCAAATGCAAAGTGATAACCTAATTTAAGAGACAGTATGTGCCATAGTGATTTAATCAAATTAGTAGTTGAAGTCTGTCATTCTCCAAAGTCTGCAATTACATAGTTTACCCATGTCAGCAGATATTCAAATTATGTAAAATGTATGTTAATCTTCAGAATATTACATATTCATAGTTGCCACATTTTGGCTTATGCCTTAAATTTTCTGGTTGTTCCAGTCTAACACAAGAGGTGGGATCCTCCCTCTTAATTTAGGACCATGATTGGTGTTCTCTCTCTCTCTCTCTCTATATATATATGTATAACACACACACACACACACACACACACACACACTTAACATTTTTAGGAGAAAATGGAAAGGGGTGAGTCAGGGTTGCTTCCCTTTTGACCACACTCATACGCCCAGCGGACTACCTGGCAAGTCCTACAAGGCACCTGGGACTGGTGAGGCAGAAGGTGCCCTCAGGAGACCAGTTTTGGCAGCCACCTGTTATTCTAGGGCTATGTTGTCTCTTAATCCACTTGTGAAAAAGTCCTTACAGACCTGAGGCCTTCTGCAGTGATGTGGACTTTCAGGTTTCATCATAGCAACCCCTAGAGCAGGGGTTTCCAGTGGGAGCCAGTACACCACCGGTATGGCCTAAATCACCCTTGAAAGGTCTCAGGAAATATGCTCTCAGAAATCCACAATACTCAAGAGACTATTCAGTCTTCCTGCTCAGTTCCTGTTTGTACATTTCTACATTGAACACCCCCCTCAAATCTTCCCATTGTGTCACTAGATGCCAGAATTGGGCACCCTCCCTTTCATCCATTCTGAACAGGGGAGAGGTGCAATGAGCTTTTTTCTATGAGCAAGTGCTGATGGAGGTGCCTTTCCCCCCATTGATTGGGGGGGGGACATGCCTATACCATTTTGTAGTCCTCTATCCCCCCGCCCTGGCGCTCTTTTAGAGGTGGCAGCTATTTTCTGTTATGCAACGTTTGTGACTGGTGCCCAGAGCACTTTTCTCAAAATTCCATATGCGTCTACTGACCCCAAAGGGTTGGCAACCCCTTCAGTGATCCAATTTAGCATGTTTATATTTATTTTAAAAAGCCAAGCATCTTGCAGCTGCTAAGCCTGCCTAATATTGCATTTGCAATTAGCGTACATTCATTGTTACTAACAGACTTACGAAACAGAAGATTTTCAACTGAAAGTTTTCTGCCCCACATCACTGACTAGACCTGAAATGTATCTTTTGGGAGGAAGGTTTTGAACTTGTCTAAAATCCAAAACATAATGTTCGGCAGTGGAACGGACTCCCTCAGGAGGATGTGGACTCTCCTTCACTGGAGCTTTTAAAGCAGAAGTTGGATGGTCCTATGCTTAGTTTCCTTGCCCTGGACTCCTGCCAGTCCTTCCTTCACCCTGAAATAGCTTTCTCACAACCCTTTTCCAGACTAGCCTGCCTTATTATGGCACTTTATCAGTACAACCCAATTAAATACACCAGCCCACACTCATAGAGGCCCCCAAAGCAGTTTATGCACTTTTGAAAAAAGAAAACATTTTTAAAGAACCGAAATAAATTAATAAGAGCTGGCTATGACAGGCTGTTTGGTTTTTTTGTCTTTTTTACAGAATGCAGTGCAGGTCTGGCTGTTGTGCGGTAAAACAGCATGCAGCATACGTAGAGGAGAGCCTTTGGCAATAAGTAACCAGAGGGAAAGGGCACTCCAGCAGTGATCCTTGGTGTGACGGAAAAGGTAAGTACACAAGAGCACCCTTCTTTACAACACCCATCTTTTGAGCTTCCTGTGAAGTCTTTAATTTTTAAAATTTCAGTAGAGATGTTAAGGAAGCTTATCTTATGGTTAAATTTAACTTAGAGCCTCTCCAGGCCTCCTTTTAACTGTTCTTTCGTGATCCTTTGTGATAATGGTGGCATTGGGGTGGTTATACAGAGTCCTGCTTTTAATATTGTTTGGACCTTCAAAAGTTTTGGGTTGGACATACTGCTTTGTTTCTAGTAGTGCATGTGCCATAGCTTCCTGCTGAAATCCTGTGACTCTGGGGGTGGACCCACTTTTGTTGAACTATACTGAAAGAGTACCCCCCTAGATGGCCATAATGGGGTAGCATTAGTGAAGCATGACAAAACAACCAAAAGTGAAATGGTATATGGATGTTCTGTAATTCCACCTCTAATGCACCATTGTTGTGTCAATGACATATTGCAGAACACCCTCCTCAAAAACAATAGTCTGGAGGGGACCTGATTTTTGGGCTGTTTCTTTATCGTATTCCACTTTGAAACTGTGGTATTAAGCAGTATTCAGCTTCTTTCAACAAATGCCAAAATTCTGTGGTATTATAGAATAGGGATGACATCACAAAAACTCACATAAAACATTATCAAAACAGCATTAAAAAGACCAGCCTAAAACAAGTGTTAAAACTGAATATGAAAATAGCAAAGAGAAAGCCATTTAGAATTTAGAAGAGAAAGGCATATCAGAATGCAATAAAACGTATCATTCAAATTTAAAGGTCCTGGAAGGGTACAAAGGTCTGCACCTGGCATTTCAAAGACTATAACAAAGGCCCCAGGTGAACCTCTTGAAGGGAGGGGGCATAATCCACAACTGGGATGCATGCACAGTTGCTTTTGGTTTAGCCTTTGACGGGGGGGAGCCAAACTGTTTGGTTTCCTGGCTTTGTATGATGTGGCTGTGTAGCAGCTTTAAGCAGCGTAGATTTGGAGCCCCACGGCAGTGAGGCTTAGACGGCTAGTGCTATGCAGCCTCTGAGAGTAATCTATTATTTATTGCCCCTATTGCAAAACTGGTTCATTAAGCCAGGATAAGAAAATGGGGTAACTGCCGTCTTTTATTACAGCTCCTGCTGCTGAGTTCTTACTAGGCGGAAAGTCCAGGGAATATTGAACCCTTTGGCCTTTAACCGGAGATCTGGCTTTCTTCTGCAAAAGCAGAAGAGACTGCTAACCCCATGCTACTGGGGAAGGCAAAGTTGGACTCCTCTTCCACCCACCCACCCACCCAGGTTTGTGGGAGCATTGGGCAAAATGCCAGGTCATCTGATAGAGAAATAAAGGCTGGTCCATTGGGACGCTTCCTTGCGTGACAGATGGTTCATGCTAAAATTCACTGCCCTGCACAATTATTAAAGGTGCTGGGGCCCTATCATTTTTCATCTGACCAGCCTAACGTTCATTTTAGTGGCTGCCCTGTTCTGGTCCCAAGGAGAAGCACTCTGTGCATGGCAGCAAGGAGAATTAGCAATTTGCCTCTGCAGGGGCTGGTGGTGAACTGAGGCCTACTGAGCACCTGCCTCCAGCCCAGCTGTTAGGCTCCACCCCCTTCCCACATTTCTCCTTCGCTCCATGATTTCCCATTTGATGCACTCCCTGTGGTGTTGGAATGGGAAGGGTGCCTTTGAGGGTGTCTGCCCTGGTTCTATGGACCTTGTTGCTGTGGGATCTGGTCCAGTGTGCCCTGGTCACCAGCGTCAGGCTCAGAACCCGAAGCTGCTCCATAAGATAGGGTACTAATGCCTAGATAGTCACGTTAGCCCCTTAATTGTTCTATGTAGCTATTTCAGTTTCTGGTGTGGGTAGTGAAAACAAAATAACAATGCTATGCATTATATTTCTACAAAAGAACTGTTATTGATTTTTTCCCCCTTAAAAAATAAAGCATGCTTTCTGTTTGCTGCCTCCAGAAACAATCTTTTCTTAATGGCATTTTTGAAACTGAAGGAGTTGAGGGACTGATTTGTGTCAGAATAAGCTTCATAATTCTGCCTTTTAAAAACAATTGCAATATTTTCTCCATCGTGTTTTCTGCTTGCCCTGGACTGAGCTCCAAAACTATGACTAATTCAAGTTGGACCAAGAGATGATCCTGACGCATAGGGTGCCAGTAGAAGAATAAGCAACCTTAAAAAGGTGCAGCAAGAATGGACCAGTGCAGGTTCATCTCACAAATTTGTTCATGGAATCATAGAGTTGAGGGTCGTCAAGTCTAACCCTCTACAATGCAGGAATCTCAACTTAAACATCCAGGACAGATTGCTATTCAATCTCTGCTTAAAAGGGAAACAGACGGATTTTGTGAATGTGTGCGTTGCTTGAACGGTAAGCTCTGGGAGGTGGCTTGTCACATCTGACTGCAAGAGAAGATGTCAAATTAGAACTGTGTGAACACACAGGGAGAGCAGGGAGCACCAGCCCATTCTATTTCCTATTCCACCTGTATTATGTAACATCCAGAATTATCCTTAGCCTGCATCCCTTTGCATCATTCTGGATCATATGTACAGGTAGGTCTGTGTGTTATCCACATGCGTGCTATTGCACCTTGAAAGCTTGAATTTTTGGTGCTGAGAAGATCTATGTTATGATTATGGATACTTGATAACTTTTTATGAAGGGGGACAGGTCCCCTTACATTTCTGAAAAGGTGGCTGATTTTTCTTCAGAGCAGCAGTTTATAGCTTTGTGGGGACACCAAGTTAAATTCTTCAGCACAGCAAATTTTCATTTGACACAATGCCAAGTTTTAATAATTATTTTAACTGTGTAATGTATTTTATTCTGTGTTGTTTTCTAATGGCTTCAGCTTCATTAAATAAATAAAAGATAACAATAACAATGTTATGATTACGGTGGCCAGATGGAATAAAGAACAGGATCCCTCACCTTTAATAGGTGTGCTGGATGCTGAAATTCCCACTTCTTAGTTAGTTAGTTAAAAAAAATAGTTTTTTTATTTAAAAAAAATGTTTCTAGTCCTTCTGACTGCAAAAAATAGCTCCTTTCCTCCAGCCACTGGCACTTGCTTAACATTGCTAGCCGAAGCAGACATGTACAAAGGCCTGTAAAATAATTTGGCATTTGTATACAAACTTGGGCAGTGTATGCAGAGCATAGAACTAGAATTTATATTCAATTTTTGCTTTGCAAGGTAAACCCATCTCTGAGAATCACTCATTCATTCACTTTTCCCTCTTCCTAGCCAAACACTTGCTTTTTCCTTTGAGCTGTGAACTGAGCCCAAGAGACCTGCTTCTCTTAATTGCTCCGTCTCGCTTTCTTTCCAAGCCAGGAATAGAAGCCTGATACCTTGGATCCCACTCCCTCTGCTTTAATCACTTGCTGCCACATGACACTAAGAAGAAATAATTAAGGGCAGCGCAGAGTAAAAGAAAGACGGCTAGTCTTAGCTGTCGCAAGTAGCAGGACCTCTTCTCACTAAAGGGCAGCATTCTTAACTTGCAGCCGTCTCTCTGCTATTTCCTTCTGAGGTTGGATTGATGGCAAGCTGAAATCTTGCATGTCTGAAGTGGAACAGTCCTAGGCTTTTCATGACTCTGGGGATCCTGGGAGCTCTGTGTGGACTGGAGCGTGGCAAGGATGTAGAGATAATGAAAGCACTAATTAAAAATAGGAAAGGGAAAGAAAGAAGTAGCCAGCCTACACCAACCCACAGTGTCTGTATGGGAACTTTTTATTGTAGTGTCAGTACCATGTCTGTGCTTCTCAGTGTTGACTCATTACCTGGGAAGAATATCCAAGTGATTTGGTTTGAGGATGTGTGTAGATTTAGGCAAGATTGGGTCAATATATGCACTGCCAAGATCACCTTGTTTGATGTTGGAGAAGTCATTTTAAGGCTTTGCACAGGCATACGATTTGTGGTTTGTGAAGATGCACCCTCAGTGTTTGGTTAACATATTCAGTTACGGTAACATAATGTGTTCAGATAACATAATCCATAGTCTTTTGAATACTTCTTTAACTTTCCCCATTTGAGGATGATGTAGCAGTGGTTGCAAGCAGTGGCCCCAGCGAGGTATGTTTGGGAGACTGAGTGAGTGGCTCCAACCAATGATTGATTCACTAACATGCCTGAAAGTTCAGGTTTGAAGATGAGTTCAGAGAGCATATAATGAGCACTCTCTGGGCTGTCTTGATTTTATTTCTGTCTTCAGCCCTTCATAATTTTTTGACCTGGTCCATATGCACATTTGCAGTACATTAGGCTTGCATGTGAGTAGTTGTGCATAGCATCACTGCGTGCTTGCCTTTCCAGATGGTTGGTTGCTTTGTGTTCAGGGTAAGCAGAACAAGTTTAGAATGGGGGGTCAAGAGCTGAAAACGTTTGAGAAACACTGCCTCCAGCCTTGCTCCAGGTTGTCTCATCCCCATAGTCCATAAATGACATTTCATTTTTCAAAACATTATTTAGTCTCCCTGCTTGAGCCTGAAAGTAAACAAATAAAATAAAATCCTATGATATGGAAAGATGGAAATTTCAAATCACATCTCCATGTGTAGTGGAGGAGTGGTGCTGTGGCTTTATAAAAATCATCCCTCGATCCTCTCTTGATGGATGCTGCTGTAGTTCTGTGAACCTCTGTGGTGATAACACTGATTGACACTGGCTGAAGGCGTGTGATCCTTTGAAAAGCAGGAGTGTACCATGCAAAATGCTGACACAACCAACTTCTTTACAGTTCAACAAGAACCCCTCTAGGAAAGCAGACAATATGGGTATTGAACAAGCCATGGGCACTGGGGTGTGACTTGACAAGCTGGCACATAGTAGCACGTTATCCGGCCAAGGGAAACACAAGATGCATTTTATCACGTCCAGTAAAAGAATTGATTCCTGGTGTAGATTCATTTAATGAGGTTAAAAAAAAAAGTGACTGTCGTTTTAGTGTCTTCTGTCTGAACTGCTCCGCTCTTGTCACGGTTGGAATGAAAGGCCTTAGACTGAGATAGCATCTACCCTGCACTATCTGTCGGTTTCTCTCTTTTTATGCAGAGGTGAATATACCAAAATGAAAGCAGCCTCCTCTACTCTGCTAATATAATGCTGCTTCCATTACTGGATGTTGCTAGGTCTTCAATGAAACCCAGGTGAAGCTCCTTCCTTTGCTTCTTATATGCACATCCTCATTGCAGATTAATGAGTCTCATCTTCAAGGGCCTTGGGCATGCCTGTACACCATCCCAGACTCAACACTTGCAAAGACACCAACCTTGATCACTCCCTTCTTAAAACAGCAAAAAGCCTAGAGTCTTCCTGCTGGGCAATTTACTGCACAAGGAGGGAACGCCCATAAAACATCTGCAGACTTACTTGTTGCTGGTAAATCTCTTGAGCCGAAGAGAATAGGCTTAGATTCCCAGGTGGAGAGAAGTTGACACAAGTGATGAATCTGATTACAAGTGAAGAATGAAGGCCAGGGGATCTCTAAGGCAGGTGAAAGGTGTGTGTGCTTCTCATGCTTCAGTAAGAGCTGGTTCATACTTCTTGCATTTGTTATACATTCCACAGAAGTGGGCTGTTGCTCATGGAAGATTATGCTGCAACATATTTCTTAGTCTTTAAGGTGTTGCTAGATTCTTGTTTATTTTGGGGGTAGATGTGACAGTCAACATGAGACTCAAAGTTGTACCTTTCATGGATCCTTTCATGATCCTTCTTTCTTCCCACCCTCCTTTACTTGTGTGAATCTGAAATTTCCAAGATATACCACTTACTTTCCCTGCCTTCTTGGTTGTTTTGTGCTGACTGTTGTTTGTATGCACTGCATGGGGCAAAGGCTCAGAAGGCTGTGTTATGAAGTACCCCTAATATCCATCTTTTGCCGCAGTAGCCTGTGCCTGATCAGGAAAGCTTTGTTTTGGTCTAGAGAGATAGTAAAAGAAGGTGACTCTAGGTGATCTTCATTCTGAGCATTTATTCTGATTTGTTTGCAGGCAGGTTAAATGACATTGGTGATACTTAATGAACATTCACTTGTGGGGAGCTATACAGTGTTGAATCAAAGCAACTGTTGTCCCACACTTTCCAGTGCATTTTCATGTCACTTTACTTGTTGCAGAAAGTCTGGTATTTGGCAAAAGTAGGTTTATTGTGCAAGAGTTTCTTCCAAAAGTGCCTGCAGCTATACTGCCACCACCCTCCTAAGTGCCTTACCTAAAAAATGAGTATTAGTGACTTTTCAATAGTTGTTACTCCGGGGAGGATAACACTTCTTTAAGAGTGACCACACTCAAAGTCTCTGGCAAACTTGTCACAGCAGACCTCTTAGAGACCCAACACTCTGTTCCTGTGGACAGGTGTCAGCATTTCCTTCACCACATGGAAAAACTCTGCTGGTTGGCTGTTTGTGGATGTGATGGAGGCAGCAAAGTAAGCAAAGTTAATAACTAATAAATACGCAAATGCCCTTTTGATATGCTCAAATGACTTGAGATTTATCTTTGTTGCCCTTGACTACATTACCCCTTGAAGTGTCAAATTCTGGAGCATGTTCAGGTTCAAGGTCAAAAGTTCCTAAAATAAGTGCCAGGCTTGCAGGCTTGCATGCATACTGTATGCTTCATAACATTTGGGTTCTTCTCTGTGCTGCTTGACTTGTGCTGAAGTATTTCACTTCCACTTACATGAAAGTAGGGGTTTTTTTTAACACTGGGAGATCGCAGATGCACCCAGAAGGCAACCCACTCTTCTACATATGTACTGAAATGCATGACCAGGCAAATGGGACGCTGCAAGTACATTCATTCCATGTAGCTGTGGCTGGGTGCTAATGGGAGTTGTTTTGATCCAACAACATCTGGGGCAGCAGGTTCCCCACCTTTGACATAGATAGGGTGGAAATAGTCCCATTTCTAACCATGCTGAAATAGGGCAGAAGACAAATTCTGCCATTTTGGTCAGCCTAGCAAAAATCTACTGCAAAGGTTTTTCTTTCACGTAACCAGTGCTTTTTTTCTGGGGGGATGCATATGCCCTAAACATTTTGTGAATCTTTGTACTTTTGTCCATTTACTGTATTTATTTTTGCCAATTTGAGCTATGAAATGGTGATTTTCTTGAGTCAAAATGAGAGTACCCCAAGCATTTTTTGGGGGGGGAAGCACTGCATGTAACTCATATTGTTTTTGATCTCAGGCTTTAGCAGTTTGCTGTAGGAGACATATTGATGTGCAGGATGCCAATTGACTTCTTGCAGACAAGAATGTGACCACCTGGCAGGGAAGCTTTGTTTCTTTTTTGTCAGTGAAATGTCAAGACCCTGACTGAGCGGCAAAGTCCTGTGGAGAGAGATGAGCAGGTAAGGCAGGGAGACTGCTCTGTCCTCTCTGCTCTCAGGTACTGAGTAATGGGCTCAGCAGTCACCTAGAGTAGTATAGAGAAAGGCTTCTTACAGCTAACAAGTGATGTAACCCTTGCCCTTTCAAGTGCATAGCAAGATCTTGGGAAGGATTGTTTTCTGCTCAGGTGGAGAAAACAAAGATAGGTTCCTCTCCATGTTTTTGCCTCAAATAGTGGCAACCACCATGCTCAGGTATGTGCTTCAACATCAAGGGGGTTGATTTATTTGATACTTTTCCAAAGCCAGTTGTGCTTCCTTGGTTGGAGGGGTTCTCAGAAAGCCATCTTCTCACTGCTTTTTATAAGAAAGTACTTTCTGAAATAGGGATGCGGGTGATGCTGACTGCTAAACCACAGAGCCTAGGGCTTGCCGATCAGAAGGTCGGCGCTTCGAAACCCCGTGACGGGGTGAGCTCCCGTTGCTCGGTCCCTGCTCCTGCCAACCTAGCAGTTCGAAAGGACGAAGTGCAAGTAGCTAAATAGGTACCACTCCGGCGTGAAGGTAAACGGTGTTTTTGTGCGCTGCTCTGGTTCGCCAGAAGCGGCTTAGTCATGCTGGCCACATGATCCGGGAGCCGTACACCGGCTCCCTCAGCCAATAAAGTGAGGTGAGTGCCGCAACCCTAGAGTCTGCCACAACTGGACCTAATGGTCAGGGGTCCCTTTACCTTTACTTTCTGAAATGAAGACCCCTTACAGCAAGAACAGGATTCCTTCTGTAGACTGAGCAGAAATTTCTCAAAACAGCATTTTCCTATAACATTTTTTTCCTCTTTCCATAAAAAGGTTACTTCACAAACATTTCTCTAAGTGTTCTCCATCTTTTCTCTTTGGGGAGGAGGGGAGAATGCAGCTGCCACAAACAGTTCTTCAGAATGACTCTAGATTTGGGGTATTCTGGATGGCCTAAAATTGTCACCAGGCTGCCACCTCTGTTGCTGCTGCTACAACTTTCTGCTGCAGGGGCCATAGCTCAGTGGTAGAGCATCTGCCCTACATGCAGAAAGTCTCAGGTTAAACATCTCCAGATAGGGACAGGTGTGTCTCCTGTCAATGTAGACATATACTGAGCTAGGTGGACCTCTGGTCTGACATGGTATAAGGCAGCTTTTGTATTGGTTAAGAGTGTCGCACTAGGACCTGGGTGACCAGGGTTCAAATTCCCACTTGGCCATGAAGCTCACCTGGTCACCTTGGGCCAGTCATTCACTCTCAACCTAACCTACTTTGCAGGGTTGTTGTGAGGATAAAATTGGGGTGGGGAGTATCATGTACACCACCTTGGACTCCTTGGAGGAAAGGTGGAAATGTATTAAGTACAGCGGTACCTTGGTTCTCAAACTTAATCCATTCCGGAAGCCTGTTCCAAAACCAAAGCGTTCCAAGGTGCGCTTTCCCATAGAAAGTAATGCAAAATGGATTAATCCATTATAGACTTTTAAAAACAACCCCTAAAAGAGCAATTTAACATGAAATTTACTATCTAAGGAGACCATTGATCCATAAAATGAAAGCAATAATCAGTGTACTGTACTATAAAATAAATAAGACAGTATTATAGATGATAAAAATTAAAATTCTTTTTTTTCCCTTACCTGCACTGATGATTGTCATTGTTTGGATGGGGGGGCTTTTATCCATTTCTGCAGTTATACAATCAATCAATCAATCAATCAGTAGCTGAACTGGGTTCCACACAATCACAAAAACAATTTAACCCAAAAAGCCTCAAAAACGCAAAATAAATAGCAAAAACAAAAGCACCAAACATAATCCATTCTGGAAGTTTGTTTGACTTCTGAAATGTTTGAAAACGAAGGCATGGCTTCTGATTGGTGCAGGCGCCCCGGAAACAATAGTCAACAGCTACATCGGACGTTTGACTTCCAAAAAAAAGTTTGAAAACTGGAACACTTCCTTCTGGGTTTTTGGCATTTGAGAACCAAGGTGTTTGAGAACCAGGGTACCACTGTAATAGTAATAAACTTTAGGGAAAGAGAAGCTGTGCTACTGCTTCTGCTAATTGTGAACTCTGCTTCTGAGAAATGACTGGAGAGATTCTCTGCTGCCCTGTAGAAATTAGGTGAAATGGCACCCCCAATTTCTCTGCCCACAAATTATGGCAGGGCATAAGAGATCATTTGCACACAGTTTTAGTGTGGGATGAGGACATGAATTGCAACTGACTTTCACTTCACTTCCCTACACCACTGCAAGACTGAATGTTGTGGCTGGAAGAAACAGGGAGTGGAATGGTTGTGGGGAGCAGGTCCTGAGTGTGTGGGCAGAAGTGGGGATTACAGGATTAGCTGTGCAAAGGATATGAGTTGGTTCTAAACCACTGAAGAGGAACTAGGGCTTTCCAAACATTTTTTGCTGGAAAATTTTCTAAAACAATTTTGTACTCTACCTGCAGTGTTGACAGAACCACGTTTCCTCACAAAGACTGTGGTTGCAAGGAAGTGGAAATAAAGGACACTTTCAGTTCAGTCTAATATCACTGACTCACTTCTTACAACTGTTGTCCTTAATGAACATTTGGGCAGCCTTAAACATTTGTCAAATTAAGCACCAAATGGGCTGTGGATTGCAAAATAACCTTGAGATTCTGTCCTCCTGCAGTCCTCCTTTACCCACCAGCAGGGTGTTTGTGCTTGACAAAAATTATCCTTTCAGCATTTCCTGAGCTGGGAGAAATGGTGTGTTCAGTGGAGAGAGAATCTCACTAGATTCCTTTGTGCCTGCTGCCTTGTGTGTGTGTGTTGACTGCATTCTCTTTGCCACAATTCAAGTCAATCATGTGATGGCATGGGATCTTAGGACAAGGCTGAAATCACACGTGACACCAGCTGCGTGTATGCTTCCCTTGACTTTTTAAAGCCCCAGAGCAGCCTTGGGAGGTTGCAGGTTTAAAGGGGGCTGGAGGAGGACTGCTTAACCCTTTCCCTTCCATCCATCCATCCCCCCCCCCCCCCTGTTCAGTGCCCTCCAAGCTGCTTTAACCCAACAATAGGAAATAATACAGTCATGGGGGAAACCATTAATGTATCTAATTCCAACTGATGGCAGTACATAATTTATGCAAGAGATGGAAAAATTGTGTTTTATGCTAGCAGGGGCATAAACACCTACCCAGCCCAGCCTTGAACACATTCATGAAAGGGAGATATTTTTCTACCCCACTTGGACTGCTTTCAGCTCCTAGATACGGCTGCAGTGGCATATGCACTCAGGGAATAAGAAACGTGATATTCATGCAATAGCCATAGGTTGTCAGACTTCAAAGACCCTGTCTAGGTTATAAAAGTGTGTTTGTTTTTTGCATTTGCAATTGTTTGTTTGTTGCAGAAGATTCAGGCACTTTCCATGTTTCCTTTTCAGGCATGTCATGTTACATTTTTCCCTCCAGCAATATTTTGTTCCCTGCGCAGCCGGTGATTCTTGCACAATTGGTACTCATGCGAACATGTGATACAGCAGTTATTAGAGAATGTAGGGAGTTTAAAGGCCAGTTGTTTGCACACATACCTCATGGGTCCCTAATAGTTTCAGTTAATTCCCTGTTATTTGTCTCCAGACTCTCCAGGATGCTCAAGAGAAAAGGAAAAAGCTGGAGGAATGAAAAAGGCAGGGGCTGTTAAAAAAAGAAATAAAGGAGCATGAAGCAGAAGGATGGATTGGCACACACACACATGCACACTTTGTTTCAAATCTTGTCTAGGATGTTGCCTTTGTCAGGAGCAAACCACAAAACTTTTCCCTGGCTAATTTCCCTCTGAGCCACTTCCTTATGCTCAGAAGTCCGGCTACTGGCCACCAACAGAGTCTTTTCGATTCTCTGCTTCCCAAACCTCTTCTTCACAGCACAAGGGGAGCGTTCATTCAGCTGCGTGTGTCCATGTTATAATGTCTGAGCTGACACACTGTTTTCAACTGCAGCAGCCTTTCTCATGTGGCTTCCTTTAGGGGCTTTGCTTCCCCTTCCTTCAGCTATAGCACACAATCTTTCTGTTGTTTGTGAAGCAGTGTGGCTATTCTTCCTCCACTCCACACCCCCAATCAAGTAAAAGGCTATGTCCCTGGAGCAAAATTTGCTCCCTTCTCTCGCTATCCCATTTTCACAGAATAGACTCTCGCTGCTTCTCAACTGCACTTCCTTCTGGAACCTAGTAGAATTTGGTTAGGGCTGCCATACGTCTGGATTTTCCTGGACATTACCGGGATTTCAAAGCGGAATTGACATTGGGGGGGGGGGTCCTAAAGACGGCACTTTGTCCTGGCAAGTCAATCGAATAATCGCAGGTTTTTGATGTTTTTGTAACAAAAGGCTCAACAACTTGGGGGTATCCTGGTTTTTACTTTTTGAATTATGTATACCCCAAGTTTGATGCTGTGGTCACTGTTCCCCCTTCCTCTACGCCAGCTGTTGCAAGTCTGTTCTGGCCTCTGCTAGTCATGACGATCAGCGTAGGGACCAGTATTGTCCCTGGGTAGTTTGCAGGTGTTTGGGCCCTCTGATTCAGCACATCCTGCCATCTCATCCCTGTACATTGAAGCGCTAGTGCTTGATCATCCAGATAAACCAATATACACTCCAATGTCATGCTCACTTCATTTAGTATTGGGGGCTATCAGCAAAAAAAAATAAAAAAGGCAGGGTAGCGCTCAGGGAGCAAATACGAAGTTGGGAGTGTGGTGAAGGAGAACACCATGCACATCACAAGCTGTCCACTGAAACATAAGGAATTGTTTGCCTTAATGAGCTTCTACCCCAGCAGTGGCTGTGAGTGTAAAACAAGTTGTCCCCCCCCCCCCAAAAAAAATGTATTTTTGGCAGTACAGGGCAATCCTGAATATTGCATTGTTTTATTTTACTTACGGCGTTTGTGTGCCACACCATAACATAAAGTTCTCTGGCTGTCTTGCTATAAACGCGTAAAAACCAGTTTTATCGAATAAAGGGGGAAACTACATCAATACAGCAAAGTGGAACTCACTGAAAACCCAAGATAAAGTAAAATAATTTAAAATAGGAACCCAGTCTTTCCGGGTGGTGGCTTGTTTCTTTAAAGGGTTTCTGGTAACAGAAAGGTCTTCACCTAGCACTGGGAAATTCACAGAGAAGGGTCTAGGCATTTTCAAAACTGTGGTGCACTGAAAAGGCCCTCTCTGTGATGACTACCAGTTGGATCTTAAGATTTGGGCAGAGTGGGGCTTGGGAGCATTCAGAATTGAGATGCATTGTCAGAGCTAAACTGGCAGGGAACATTTTGATCCAGGACTCAATACTGGGCAAACCTTACCCCTTATTTTGTTTTGGCGTTTCGGAGTGCAAAACATTGTATGCAACTGAGTAATACTTGGAGTAAATCTATTAAAATAAGTGGATATAACTAGCACCCATTAATTTCAATGGGTCTACTGTGAGTAGGGCTTAGTTGGCTACAACCCAAAGATATGACATAAAATAAAGTTGCACTATTCTTCCCATGTAATTGCAGAAGCAAAGTTTAACATTTTGGGAAAGCATACGTTGAATGCTAGTTTGGGCTGTAGTTAGAAAGTGCACTTTTGGCAGATGACTGTATGAAATCCATCCAGAGGGAGACAAGACTTTTTGTGGCTCATTAGTAGGTAACCTGTTCTATGCAGCTATAATGAAACCATCTGCCCCAAGTCACATACAGGCTGAGGGAAGAGTGAAACAAGTAGGTGGAAGGGAAATGCTGTCATAACCAGTGACAATGCTGATCGAGCACATGGAAAAAATGCTAAGGCTGCAATCCTGTGGCTTGACGGGTCTATTTCCAGTCTACGCCACTTTTTCCTGTGTTCGTTCCATTAGAATTTGCATTATTTTTAACAGCTGTTTTCCTCAAAGTATGCATTTTACCCTAAAATAAGCTTTCTGGTATTTTTTTTGAGCTGTAAACTGGATTGCAAAATTTGTAGAATTGCAAAACCCAAAAGATTCAATCCACATAATAGTCTAGGAAGCATAAATCAGTTTGGCTTGCTGAAAAAATGTGGGCCAAACAAAAAACCTTGAGCATCCCAGTGTGCACACATCCTCCCATTGGGCCCTGTGGGGATCACATTGGATTAGGTTACATGGCAGAAACAGAACATGTGTCTATAGCATTTCCCCCATACGTTTCATCCCATGAGCATATTCAGAAATGGACATAGAGCCTGACCCTTGAGCTCATTCATGTCAGTGCAGATCTTTCCATAAACATTAAGGGGTCTTCAGTCAGGCTCTTGTAGCGTTCATTATGCATTGCTCTCTCAGGAAGCCCAGAGGTTCTTAGACTAGGTCCCCCTCACCCGGGGTTAAAAAAATCTCTGGCTGTTCTTCAGTTGATCGACTTCCAAAGAAGCATGGCTTTTCTGCTGCCTGTTGCAAATTAAGTCTGAGACGGAAATTCTCTGGTGAACTTCTTCCGCTTCTGGAGTGGAAAAAGGTTTCACAACCTCACTCTCTGGTCATCTTTTTCACCAGCACCTGTTTCTGTTGTGAAAGTGGCAATTATATTACAGTGGTACCTCGGGTTAAGTACTTAATTCGTTCCGGAGGTCCGTACTTAACCTGGAACTGTTCTTAACCTGAAGCACCACTTTAGCTAATGGGGCCTCCCGCTGCCGCTGCGCCGCCGGAGCACAATTTCTGTTCTCATCCTGAAGCAAAGTTCTTAACCTGAAGCACTATTTCTGGGTTAGCGGAGTCTGTAACCTGAAGCGTATATAACCTGAAGCGTATGTAACCTGAGGTACCACTGTATTGTTATTATTATTATATTTATGTGCTGCCTCTCTGACTGGTTTCCCCATCCACTCTGGGCGGCTTCCAACAAAATATAAAAACATCATAAAACATCAAACTTAAAAACTTCCCTATTCAGTGCTACCTTCAGATGTCTTCCAAAAGTCATATAGCTGTTTATCTAACATCTGATGGGAGGGCGTTCCACAGGACAGGTGCCACTACCAAGAAGGCCTTGTTTCCTGTAATTTCACTTCTCACAGTGAGGGAACCACCAGAAGGCCCTCACAGCTGGATCTCAGTGGCTGGACAATGGTGGTGGAGACGTACCTTCAGGTACACAGGGCCGAGGCAGTTTAGGGCTTTAAAGGTCAGCACTAACACTTTGAATTGTGCTCGCTCAGGGGGTCACATAACTCATGGTTCCTGTTGCAGCTGGCCACCATTTCACAAGGTGGCACTTGCTCAGATTTGTGTTCAGTTATCTCATAACCATATCTCACCAGCTATGATGAGGCATCGCCATGTCGCCAAATCAGACTGAGGGCAATGGTTCCTGTCTTCATTCTGGGTTTTTTTTAATGGTGCTGAACAACAGAAAGTGGTAAATTCATCTCTATATGTAGCCAACACCCCATATGAGTGAAATGCCCCATGTGTAGAAGGTGGCAAATTGAGGAGGGCATGTCAGCTCAAGCCTCTTTGGAATTCCCGCTGATGGAGAACTTTTGCTGCACCACAGGTACAAGCTCTGTGAGCTTGAGGGTCTTGCAGCTGAAAGACCTGAAGCAGACAAATCCTTTGGGACAAGTATGTGAGGTGAAACCTGACCCTGACAAATGTTGGGCAGGCTTTTTAGCAACCAGGCAGCACCCCTAGCAAAAAGTTGGAAGGCTTTCTGATTTATTACAACTATTGGTTAGAAGTACAGACTGAAACAGGGTGAACACTTGTTCTTGCAGGAAGCAAATGAGCAGCAACAGCCCCATCCATCTCAACCTGTGGACACTTTAATTGGAGTTCCCCCTGAAAGTGGCAGAAATGTCCCCGTCTAGTTAAGAGAAGCAGCTCAAGTTCTTGAGTTCAGGGAGTCATAAAGATAATGAATGCGGAATAGCCATGCACACAGCAACAGCACCTAACAATATCCTGTGATTTCTCAGCAACTATTTATACCCCCACCTCACTTCCTCTCTGAGCAGAGTTATATTTAGTAGTACGTAACAAACAAGACATATGAAAAGGAATCTTTCACAGTCTGCAATTTCTGTGCTACCTTTGTTAGAAACCACTGATCCCTAGTACCTGTGGGAACAAAGAGGCAGAGCAAAGGGTCTTGTTTTTTAGCCAAAGCTTGCTTTAATCACTTAACTCCACTTTACCTTGAAGTGTGCACTGTAGCAGCATATCAGTAACAATGTATGGTAAGCAATAGGAGTGAGGAACCTGGTGACCTCCAGATGTTGTTGGAGTCCAAATCCTGATTGACTGTGCTAGCTAAGGCTATGGAATACAGATGCTAAGAGTTGTTCAGTAGCATTTGGAGGACCATAGTATACTAGTTTTTTTCACTGCAGATGGTGACAGCAGTCACGAAATTAAAAGATGCCTGCTTCTTGGGAGAAAAGCAATGACAAACCTAGACAGCATCTTAAAAAGCAGAGACATCACCTTGCCAACAAAGGTCCGTATAATTAAAGCCATGGTTTTACCAGTAGTGATGTATGGAAGTGAAAGCGGGACCATAAAGAAGGCTGATCGCCGAAGAATCGATGCTTTTGAATTATGGTGCTGGAGGAGACTCTTGAGAGTCCCATGGACTGCAAGAAGATCAAACGTATCCATTCTTAAGGAAATCAGCCCTGAGTGCTCACTGGAAGGACAGATCGTGAAGCTGAGGCTCTAATACTTTGGCCACCTCATGAGAAGAGAAGACTCCCTGGAAAAGACCCTGATGTTGGGAAAGATGGAGGGCACAAGGAGAAGGGGACGACAGAGGACGAGATGGTTGGATAGTGTTCTCGAAGCTACCAGCATGAGTTTGACCAAACTGCGGGAGGCAGTGGAAGACAGGAGTGCCTGGCGTGCTCTTGTCCATGGGGTCACGAAGAGTCAGACACGACTAAACGACTAAACAACAACAACAAAGTATACTAGTTTTAAGAAGTGTTGCAAGATTTAGACTGGGAAGTACTCTAAACTATGTATGAAAGCAAAATGTTTCAAGAAAAGCAGCTCAGACACAGCCCTTTTGCAGGTGTTTACGTTGCAACTGAAACAAAGGGTGCTTTGGGTAGGAGTCATTCAGCTCCAGTTTTTCTATGTGCATCATTGGCATGTTGGCTTCTGCACATTCCCACTTTTTCAGTCATGGCTGTCCATTGCTATTGTGCTGCTTGCCATCCACACAAGTGATGGTGTGTCCAGAGGTGTTTTGTGTGAGTTTGTCACTCCCTGTAGTCACTTCTCCTCCACCCTCTACTCCCTTCTTTTGTTCTTGGCAGAGGTATTTCTTTACCTGTACGTGCACAACTTAAAAAAAAAAATCCCAGGAAGTGTGCCAGAGCAAACTAAAGTTGTCAGCTTTAGTTATCATATTTCACAATGCAAGATGGAGGCTTGTGCTTTTAGGGGGTGGGCAATGTAAATTTCCAGTTGTGTTGCTTTTAATTTTTAATGCTGAGGAGTTGCGCAACTAGAGTGACATTTACCTGACTAAGGCTTGCACAAGAGTGAGAAAGAGGTTATGCAAGACCTTTGTAATAACACACACAGTCTCTCTCTCTCTCTCTCTCTCTCTCTCTCTCACTCTCACTCTCACTCTCACTCTCTCACACACACACTTAAAGCCAGATTTATGAAGTGCAGTTCATAAGGTAATCTCTGTTGAGAGCTTGAGAGAACAGCTCTTCCTCACCATGTTGAAACTGAATGTGCATTCAGTATCTTGCAGTTAGTGGAAGTAGCCAGTCTCATTGCAAACAAAATGACTGAGGTGTGCTCAGGTAAGTGTAGCATTAGAAGCCACCCAATGACACAAAACCACATGTGACCAAAAAAAAAAAGCTCTGACAAGCTTCGACACCAGTAGTAACTACAGATGGATTTTTATTTATAGGTTATTTTTTCTTGCTGAGCTTTCTGTGGTAAGGCGAAATCCAGATTAAATGTGTAAAAAAAAAAGCATGGACTTGCATTTTGAAGATGACATCATGTGGACACTGCAAAAACCTTCCATGCATGACCAGGACTGATTGCATAATAAACTCTGATTTGGAAGTTTCCAAAGTGGCTATTCTGTGGAGATGCTGGTCCAAGCCAGTGCTATTTTTCTAGAAAAAGAGGTGCCGGAACTCACCATGAACGCCTCTCTTGTTCTCTTATAATGGCAGTGGCACCTACCTGAGAGGCGCCAGAACTGAGTTCCAGCTGAAAAAAAGCCCTGGTCCAAACCATTCTGAAGTCTATGCAATCTAGGTAGACTTTTGTCTGCCCGGATTGCAGGAGCCCATTATGAACAGGTAGGTAATCACTATGAATTCCTGAGGACAGACCTTTCTGTTGTAGCCATAATATGCTGTGTATCTGCCTGGATCTAAAACACAATTCCCCAAATGCTACATATATTGATGCTGATTCCTGCCAATAGCATTTAGCTTCACGTAAAATGGTCAAAATTGTGCATGAGGAATGCAATACAATTCAACCTTTCCTCTACTGAGAGACCACATAGGATAAAATATATGGCATGTAGAGGTGTGGAAATCGCAATTGCTGTCACCCTGTGTCTGCTAAGCTGCCAGTGTGAGACTCAAAATGCCAAGCATGCAAATCTAAATGAATCTTCTTTGAACTTCCCTTGTCTTTCATTGCACCTTCACCACTACTTGACCGGTCCTGGCTCCACCCCTTATCACTCCTTGTTTTTCCCCTCCACTTGCCATGCCAGTCACAGGGATGTAAGAACCCGCCTTCCACTGAGATGGACCACAGGTCCACGAAGCTCAGCATTATCTATTCTGAGTGGCAGAGGCTCTCTAGGGTCTGGGGCAGGGTTTCCTAGTCCCATGCAGAGATGCCAGGGAACTGCATGCTGTGGCCCTTCTCCTTGAATCACTCATTGAATGGTTTCAAGACACATGATACAGCAGGACTGGGCAGTGCCTGAATGGGAAGGCGCTTGGGAACCCTTTCTTCCATGGAAGGAAAGTGAGGTATATATGTAATAAATAATAAGCCTCTGGGTATGGATTCAGATGAGAAGCTGAGGTGGCAAAACCCCAAAGTGCAGGTCATTCCGAGGATTGCAGTGACCTACTAGTACCAGTGGTGGAATTGCAGTACTGTAATGGTAAGTCACGGGTGGCGCTGTGGTCTAAACCACAGAGCCTAGGACTTGCTGATCAGAAGGTTGGCGGTTCGAATCCCCATGACGGGGTGAGCTCCCATTGCTCGGTCCCTGCTCCTGCCAACCTAGCAGTTCGAAAGCACGTCAAAGTGCAAGTAGATAAATAGGTACCGCTGAGGCGGGAAGGTAAACGGCATTTCCGTGCGCTGCTCTGGTTTGCCACATGACCTGGAAGCTGTACGCTGGCTCCCTCAGCCAGTAAAGCAAGATGAGCGCCACAACCCCAGAGTCGTCCGTGACTGGACCCTTTACCTTTACCTAATGGTAAGTCAGGAAGTCATCAGTTTATTCATTTATTCTATTCCTGTCCCATTGTCCCTCCAAGGAGCTCAAGGTGGTGCACAATTCTCCCCATTTCATCCTCACAGCAGGGACACTGACTCCTGGGGACCAAGCCCTTTCGAGCACCCCCAGTACTTGGGGGGACAGACCCCAATGTCCAAAGAAATCAGTGGGTAGAGGAGGCCAAGTGCAGAGCTAAGCACAGAGCTGAGCACAGCGTGGCTTCAGTGGCAGGCTCCTCCTCCTGCTGCTGCTGCTGCCGTGTAGGGGAAGGAGGGTAAAAGCAGACCCTTGCTGGTGGTGGCGGCGGTGGCAGTGGCATCAGCAGCAAAAGGAGCCACTGGTCATTGAAGCTGCACTCCTCCTGATGTTGCCCCCCACAATTGCCCTCTCAAGCTGGCACCTCTGCCTCTTGTAACCCTGTGAGGTAGGGTAGGTTGGGAGAGAGTGACTGTCCCAAGGCACCTGGTGAGCTTTGTGGCTGAGAGTCTAGACTTTGGTCCCCCAGGTCCCAGTCCAAGTACTCTGATGCTGGTTCTCGGCATTTGGAGCAGACATGTCAGTGCATAAATGGTAGTCACTGTGTAGATTTCACCACCTTGTCCGTTGTTCTGAACCTAACCTGGGTTGAGCCATAATCTGAATTGTTTACATGCATAATAAATATTGACCAAAAGCAACTAAACTTTTAGTTGGGATGGCAACTTTTGGTTCTGTGAACTGGCTCTGAACTACATATTTTGGCAGTTGTGGACTTTTGTGATATTCCTTGAACCATCTTGCTTTTGCAGTGACCGCATGCCCTCGTTTGCAGGGTCACTTGCCAGGTGAAGGACTATATTATTTTTACTGGCTGGCTGTGTGACGCTAATTCATATGTCATGGCTTCTGAGAGGCATTCCTTCCATGAATGTCAGCTTGAGCTTGCTGCCTATGCTAGATCAAACAACTTTGTGCTCTGCACAGCCGTGCAGAACTTGACCTGAGTGCTAACTTGGCTGAGCTCCAGTCTCCCACTGGCTGAGTCGGGTGGTGGAATGGGTAATGATGGGCAGTGAAGCAGAACTAGTGCAGAGCAAGGTCCTGCCTCTGTGTAGGGGGAAAAAGAGAAAATAACTCAAATTCTGTGGGAAATGCACACACTAAGCCCCAGGGCCAGAGTAAAGGATCTGCCCTCCTTAATTTCTCAGCCATGTGCTCAGGGAGGAGGCCTGGGGACAGGCTGGGTGGGGTGGAAATCACCTCAGGGCAGCTTTTGCAGGGTGAATTTCACACTGCCTGTTAGGATAATGCTGAGGAATTTGGTACAGCTGTGTTTCCTTCTTGATGCACAGAGAAAAGCCTGCTTGCCAAGCCTTTTGTCAGTCTACCGTCATTCATGAGCATTTAAAGCAAGGTAATTGTGGGTGTTTGCTAATGCTAGAGCATCATCTTTCTAAACATATTGTTATGCATAATAATAGAGTTATCCTACTGTGTGTTCACATCCAACCTTGGCACTTGACACATAATGCCGTGCTGAAATGTTAGGTGCCTGTGTGTTGAGGAGCGCGGAAGTGCAGGTGTTGCCTGCAAAGCAAGCAGAGCTGTGTGCAAGATTGTTATGGCTGATACTGATTGGGGATATTGACATTTCAGGACCAGATGAATACAGGATTAAATTTCTGTCTCTAAAAAAATTGATGATCCTGGGTATTGTAAGACTGAACAGGAAGAAACTGGTGTGGTTCAGTAGTAATAGTTAAAACTCCACTCCTATCATAGTCCGCTTCAGCCCCTTATTTGTGAAATATGAACAATAATCCTACTTCACAATGAAAGCAATCAAATTTGCAGACCAGTTTGCAAATTAATGCCTCGGAAGCAGCCCATTTTGGTATTCAGGATTCATCTAAAACATATGAGCATGCTCATAGTAACCAGATGCCTTTGGGAAGCCCACAGCCAAGGCATGAAGGCAATACCCTTCCATGTTGCTTGACTTATGCATGCCCCACCCCACCAACTGAGGCTGCATATATATTACCAGCTTAAAACTAAACTAGGTCATTCTTTTTCTCAATTTGGATTAAAGCTGTTGGACAGGGAACGGTGGGTGGGAATGCATCAAAACCAGGACCGGCCCATCCATCAGGCAAGGTGAGGTGGCATGATTCACAGGGGCAGCAGATCTGGCCTACAAGGAATGCATCGCCCGCTGTTGCTGTGGTGCAGCAATGGTTGCAGCACACTCCTTGGAGACCAGATCTGCCACCTTCTCGGCAGCCCCCGCTATGCCCTCTCTAAGAGTGGCCTCCAGGCAAACAGCAGGTTCTGCTGGTCTCCTCCCACCTTGTTTCCAATGTAGATCTTTACTTCTCCCCTTGTTTGCTTACCCATTCTTCCCTGGTGGGATGAGGTGCCATTTTGTGGTTCGCCTCAGGTGCCAAAATGTGTTGGGCCGGGGACTTCCGGGTCAGCGCCATTGGTGAATGGCGGAGTTCCTCCGACCGGAGGAACAGGCTCCGTGGAAACTGGGTCTTCCCGCCGCGGCGAAGGTGGGAACCCGCTAGAAATCCCAGGCGGAGGAAGCCTGGGAACGTGGGGTTCGGCAGGGCACCAGAAGCGCCCCCCTACTCGCGGGGAATCCCATCTAGGGGCTCCGGAGCGAAGTGGGGTGAGAAGCGCGGTGCTACGAACTGACTGCTACTTTCACGGAGTGAAGCCGCACAGCCATTGCCAGAGAGCGCTGACTTTTCCTGTGGACAATTGGACTTAAAACAAGTACCCGTGAGTAGAAACGGAAAATTGGATCAAGAAATTGTTTAATTTGGTATCGAAGCGGGAAGGTGCAAACAGGAAGTCTGCCTTCCGCTTTTTGTATATAGACTAAAGCAAAAATTTTGCAAGCTAAAGCCGGGAAGCTGTCAAAAAAGACTAAATTTCCTTCATTCAGAATCACTGAAACCCCCCTTGGAAGCAGGAGAAAAGGGGGGGGGACTCTGTTTAACCCTAGCAGGAGAGGGAGTGAAGAAGGATAAGTTTCCACCGTCTCTAACCTGGGAACGGGGTGTCAGAGACAGAAACTGTTGGAGAGGTTCATTGACTGTGAACGTAATACTTTGACAGATAGCTAATGAAGAGAAACAAGTTGATTCTAATGTTGCCTTTTGCATTTTAAAGAAACAAAATACCTGAAAAACATCTGAAATATCTGAAAAATGAAAGTAACTTTCCTTTGTCTTCAAAAAAAAAAATGGATACAAATAGATTGTCTCCTCTAGAGGGAGCTTGCTAAATTGTTGCTGTAGTATATTTGAGACCCAACATCTGTGAGATTAAGACCGTGGGAACAGTCTTTTCTGACCTTGAACAAAGATGAGCTGGGAGGAAGACTGGGTGCTTGCTTTATACAAGACAAATGCTTTGCTGGAACAGATGCATGAGAAGATGGACTTGATGAATGAGAAAATGGATTTGACTGTTGTGGTTAATAACTGTGGACAAACAGGGAACATTGATACAGAAATTATTCAGGAACCAACCTATGAATCTGTACTGACTGGGCAAGTGCAGATGACAATGGAGGAGGATGCGGCTGCACCTCAAATAGTACAAATGGAGAGACCCGAGGCCCTACAGGAGCATAAGCCGCTGTTATTGAAGATTGAAGTTGGAGTGGGCCAAGGGGAGTCTGGAGATGAGGAGGTTCCTAGCTTTGGAGAGATCTTGAAATTTGATTTTAAATACATTTTGGATTATATCGAGGACTGTGGGGAGTGGGACTGTGGGGAATGGGCGAGCTGGATGAAGGGTGATGGAGACAATTTTGGGTTGGAATCCCCAGAGACCTACTCCTCAATGAGAAAGGAAAGAAACTAAGACAGAGACCAACAAAAGACAAGGAAAAGGGCAAGCACAAACAAGATGAAGAAGAATTGCAGAAGGGACATGGAAGAGACTTAAGGGCCTCGGACATAAGGCTTCCAGGTTGATGGACTAGATGGAATGGACAGTAAGGACTGACACGACCCGAGACCAGGAAGAAGAGACGCTGGATGATGATTGGAAGAGAATTTATAATGGGAATTTTTTATTTTAGAATCAGCTTAATGAATATTAGGGAAAATGTGGGAATGAAACTATACGACTCTAGCAGAAATGATATCAGGAGCTATGTATATTTGAAAACTAAGATTTAAGTCTTAAGGTACTTAGGGGTAAGATAAGGTTAAATAAATTAAGGTAATTTGAATAACAGAATATGGGGAAAGATGGAAAGGACTTGTTGAGTTAATTATTAGGTTAAATTGTTAAAATAAATTTTATAACAAAAATTGAGAAAGATGGAAAGAATTTGCTGAAATAATTACTAAACTAGAATACAAAAAGGGAGGTGTGAGGAGGTCAATGAAACAAGCAAATAGAAATTATGGATCTGCAATTTGGGATTTGGGATTTTTTCCCCCTTTTTTCTTCTTTTTTACTTTCTTTTGCTGTATTGTCGTATTGGTTTTTATATTTTGTGCTTTTCTCTTTTTTTTTACTTTTTTCTTTTTTTGTATTGTAGTGCTGTTTTTTATTTTTTATTTTTCTTGTAATCCTAAAATTATCAATAAATATTAGTATTATTATTTTAAAAAAAAAATGTGTTGGGCCAGCCCTGCTCAAACTCTGCATTTTCTAAGAAATGACAGGTTAGATAATGGATTTTGGCTAGCTTCATGTGCACGAAACTTTCCAGTTCAGCAGTGGGAGCACACTGGATGCAGAGTAAACAGAGGTGTGTACACAGCCTGTTTCAGATGCCTCTGAAACGAGAGGTTCCATTTAGCTATGCTAATAGCAATTGAATGACCTTTGCTCCATGAATTTGTCCAACCCACTTTTTAAAGCCATCTGGATTAGTAACCATTGCACCTTGTGGCAGTTGTATGAAAAAGTGCTTTATTCTGTTAAAGTTGCATAATAAGTAGTTTAACTGGCAATGAAGCATCAATTGCTTAAAGAAAGGACCTGCTGCCTGTTAGTAGTTGTGAAAGGCAAAATTTCCTTTGTGAGTTTAGGGGTGTGTGCATTGTAGGAACTGATCCTGGGCTTCTGGCTTTAAAAGAAACCAAAGAGGAAAATTTCTTCCACCTTTAACACAGTTTACATTTATTTAAACCTGGGATTGTTAAAAGTTAGCACTATTCATTACATTTCAGATGGCTTCACAAGAACACCATAAAAAAAGGTAGAAATTTGCTTTCACTTAGTAGCATCCATAATTGCAATGGTGCCAAGAAGCTCATTTTGGTCCTCCTGTTGCATTATATGCATATAATTTCTAACTATGCAATCAAGCCAGCAGCTGGTTGCCACAGTGGCTTGATGCTATTTGTTATGCTCTATTCAGATTGCAAAATAACCCTTTCCTTTCATTCTGCTTCCTTGCTGGTATGTGAGGGATGCTTTCTCCAATCAGCAGCTACAAGAATGATACATTTTAGAACGTAACTTTCCAAGCAGCCTCTTAGTTCCCAGTTCTATAATTTAGCAGCTTGAATTACTAGGACCTTTGTCATTCCCTTCTAATAATTTGCCCATGTGTGGAGATGGAGGTGTGCTAAAAAGTAATAGCACAGTATAGATGTCAGGTTTTTGAAGTGCCATTGTGTTTTCTGTTATATCCTTCCTTCAAATCTTCTGTTCCTCCTCATCTTATCCTCATTTTGTGACATGACTGTCTTGACAGAGGCAGGTGAAGGGGAGAGGAAAAAAGCATTTGCTAAGCAACTCTAATAAATGATCCTAAACTGCCCCTTGGACATGGCACTCACATTCACAGGCACACTCTGGCCTCATCCTGACTGAGCAAGGGTTGCACAGTGTAAACTTTGAACCCAAAGCAAATGTTCTGAACTCAGGGCACAGCAAGTAAAGGGCTGGCCTTGTAATGTCCCCAGAACAGCAGTAAATTAGGCTGTATAATGTTTGTGTCATTGATAGATAATATTTTAAGCTTTTGGGATACATGTATATAAACCTATGTGTTCTGTTGCCATGGTGAGGCAATGCATTAGCTCTGGATACTGCATTTGACCACATCAGACTGGAATGTCATCTTCATTTGTGCATATATCCCATCGTGGGAATGGTCAGGGAACAAATTGCACCTTGTCCCAGCCCTTAGTTCTGCCTTGCACATCATACTTGAGTAAGTAGAACTGTCCTCTCTGCTTGGTGCACTGGAAGTTCTAGCTAGTATTTCAAAGCTCATCCTATCTTGCAGGATGGGAATAGTCTTTGGAAGAAAGTTCTTTGTTTAATGGGAATCTGTTGTCTGTGTGCATGTTAAGACTGAGGAAAGCAACTGCCCACTGATGAGGAGTCATCCATAAATGCATTCTCCCTCCCACCAACAATTGTGAACCATCTTTTGCAAGGTTTTGTTTCAACCTCTTTTAAACAGTGCCTGCTATATTAACTATGTTGTCCTAGTTGGCAGAGGGAAAGTATGTTTGGTACAGGGCTCAGCCTCCACTGCAGCTCAGAGACAGGCTGTTCTGGTTCATCAGAGGGCTGTCAAGTCATTAGAGTAAAAGCATTTATGGATTGGAAATGGTATTTTCCCACCACAAACTCCTCCCAGTGCCTCCATAAACCACACAGCAGCTAGCAAGGCTTTTCTGGATCTACATGGTTGCTTAAGACTGTGAAGGCTGGTGAGTTACAAGGCAAAATTGCAAGGTAGAATGTCTGAATTGAATATGCATGATATGAGGAAGGAAGATATTGAAATAAGAAAAATGAAAGTGGTAAGCTGGGGTTGAAGGAGCCATGTTTTGTGTGCATGTGTGCACATCTGCATAGCCTGGGAAAGTGCTGTGTGGACTTTAGCTCAGTGCAAAAACTGCTGAGGATTTACTGAACTGTGTGCAAGTTTACCTTGGGAGAAAGGCAGAGAATAGCAGAGAGGGTAGTAAATCATATCTATGGCAGAAGGACATGCTAGATATCAAAGCAAAGACTAAAGGTAGCAAAGGGCTTCTGGATTATGATTGAAAATGGATTTGGGAATTGGCTGGGCAATTCTAGGACTGGGATGTTGATAGTGGCACGTGGCTGGCATTGGGAGAGTCCTTCAAATAGCCTTAGGACAAGAACTGAAGGGCCAGTTCCAATCTGCCTGACTGCTATGCCCCAACATATGTGCATGTTTAGCTAGCTAGCTATTTGCTAAATCTGCCACTGGAGAGCATTGATTTTTCTGCTAGTTTAGGCTGCAGTCCAAACCTCCTCTTCCCAACAGCAATGGCTTTACAGAGAGGTGGGGCCCCATTCACAGAGAGGACCAGAATGTGGCAGGGGGCAGTAAGATCTCTGTGCCAGCCTGGAGCTGCTACAGGGATTGGGCCACACCATAATATGACAGCAGTGAAACTGGCTTGGGATCCAATGGCTCTGCCTCATCCCCACCCTGTCTCTGGAATGTCCTGTTCTGGGGCCTTCCACTGGCTACCACTGAGAAGGCACCCAGTCTGTGATAATCCAGCCCACCCACACATTCAGAGGGTGAAAGCGGGAGTACCATTTCCAACGTCTATGGGAAGGAGGGCTGTCAGGACCTTGGGGGCCCCAGAAACCCTCTGGCTTCTTCTCTTTCCTTTATTATTCATTTTCTTTACAACAATTTACGGTATTTTTCGCTCCATAAGACACACTTTTTTCCACTTAAAATCTAAGGGGAAATGTCTGTGTGTCTTATGGAGCGAATGTGTGGTCCCTGGGGATGGGGGGGGGACTCGGGCTTCCCCTGCCAGCCCCGACCTGCTCTTTGGGGCTGGGGCAAACCCGGGCTTCCCCCGCCAGCCCCGACAAGCTCCTGAGCAGCTCTGGGGTAGCCCGTGAAGCCTTCGCAGGGCAGCGGGGAGCCTTCATCCCGCTGCCCTGGGGAGGCTTCGTGCGGCTATCCCTAGCTTTTGCGGGAGGTGGGGGAAGGGACAGGGCAAGGCTCTCTCACTTCCCCCACCTCCCACAAAAGCCCCCAAGAGCCGCATATTTTTTTTCTTGAATTCCCCCCCCCCAAAAAAGTAGGTGCACTTTATGGTCAGGTGCGCCTTATGGAGCGAAAAATACGGTATATACCATGTAACACAATGGTCTCGGTGCACTATAAAGTAAGGTTTAAAAGATGCAATGAAGATAGACTTTATTGGTTTCAGCTGTGGAGGGAGTTTGACAGAACTGGGCCCACAGTACTGAGCACATGGCTGCTGGAAGATACGAACCCTATGTCCAAGCCATGGAGGACCACAAACAGTGGTTCCCCAACAAACCTCAGGGATCAGGCAGGGATGTAAGGAATCTGATAGTCCCTTAGGTGTCCTAGACCCAAGTTGTTATGGACCTTGCATGACAATACAAAGTTAATACAAAAACCTTGAACTTGGCCTTGCAGCATATGAGCATCCATTGCTCACACACTTTCAAGCTCACCTCCCCAGCCTAAAGGACTCGAGTCATGTTTCTTCCTCCACCCCCAAACCTCCCCTCAAGCATGTAAGCAGCACTGGTCCTGGGTCCTGGATTATGTATATTCTCAACTTTTATGTTTTAGTCTAGGTGTAGCTCTTTATTCTAGTATTATTGTTATTATTTATTTTTTTAAAAAATGTTGTTTTCACATGCTGCAAGGGCTATGACAGAACCATTTCCATCACAGGTTGCAAGAAGGGAGTATTAAAGAATAATTAAATTGGAAATGGCGGCAGTATAAGGATGAAACTGAAGCAAAGAGATCACCGCAGGAATAAAATTGGATCTAATTTATCCAGGAGACAGAGAAGGAAACAAGTGAAATGTACTCTTAAGAAAAAGCCAAATGAAGTGAATCTTCATACAGTTCTGTCAACAGCTCCCTAAGGGTAGGTTCTGTCTAGCTGCATCTACACTGCTGAGCAGCTGCAAGAACCAGCAAAGTGAGGGAAGGTAATCACATTGGAAATAAACAGTGTTGCATGCATACCACAGGTGTGTGTGTTTTAGCAGTTGGATTGATAGGGCTAGCCCTTGGGGCTAAAATGGTTTTAGCATTAATACTGTCTTGGAAACAAGCAGGAACTGTTAACGAACCACATGCTCCAAATCTGTGTGCAGGCACTTTGAAATTTAAAATCTAACAATGCAGTATGAAGCAAAAGTACAAGGAGCCTCTAATAAATGCTAAAGAAGGAAAGAAGATCAGTAATTGCTTCATCCAAGGGGGGCTGAGCCTTAGCACACCACAGTGTTCTATTCCTTTATTTTGCTTGGAAAGTCTATCAGAGTAATCTTATGCAAGTTTCACACATTATGCCCAAAGTCCAGGATTCCGTTTCCCAAAGTGGCTAGAAAGCCTTCAAGTAGGGTGGGGAGACAATAGCTCTCTTGAACCATAGCGTTTATAATTGTATACACTGTTTTCCTGGGACATTGCAGTGAAAAGCTGATAAGAAATATGGTAAATAAATTCCCCCTTCAGCAACTGACATTTAACTGTAGCCTGTTGCTGCGAAACCTTAGTATCTAGTATATGCGAATAGACATTCTCCCTGAATTTGTTTGAATTCTTTCCAAAGCTAGCTAAGCTGGTGCCTTTGCCACATTTCACAGCAGCGAATTCCATAAATCTGTTATGATCTGTATGAAGAAGTGCTTCCTTTTGCATGTCCTGAATGTACTGCCAACCGGCTTCATTGGGTAAATCCATGGCTGGCTTCCTGCTTTGGATGTATTTATAGAAATGTTTGCTGTTTTGCCCCTGTATTCTTGACGATGGGTTCCTCACATATTGTTCTTCTTGTTATTTTCTTGCTCTATTGTTAAATTGCATTTGTTTTGCCAGGATTTGTTCTTATTTGAGTGACACTTCCACATCTTTAAGGAAGCCTTCTTGCTTTTTATAGCTTCCTTGGCTCTGCTCTTGCTGGCAAGCTGCTCAGCTATCTTTTCTAAAGTATGGTGTGCATTCTAGCTCAGCTTCTATTGCACCAGCTTTAAATAACCTCCAAATACCCTGAAGACATTTAGAGTCATAGAATCGTGGAGTTGGAAGGGATTTCGAGGGTCATCTAGTCCAACACCCTGTAACTGAGGATTCCCAACTAAAGCATCTATGACAGATGGCCATCCAACCTCTGCTTAAAAACCTCCAAGCAAGGAGAGTCATCCACCTTCCAAGGGAGTCCGTTCCACTGTCAGTAAACTCTTACTGGCAGAAAGTTCTTCCCCATGTTATTGTAATCTCCTTTCTTTTAACTTGAATCCATTGGTATGGGTCCTATGCTCCAGAGCAGGAGAAAACAAGCTTGCTCCATCTTCCATGTGACAGCACTTGAGATATTTGAAGATGGCTATCATATCTCCTCTCAGTCTCCTCATTTACAGGCTAAGCACACCCAGATTCTTCAACCGTTCCTCATAAGGCTTAGTTTCCAGACCCATCATCTTGGTTTGCCCTATTCTGTACATGTTCCAGCTTGTCAATATCCATCTTAGATTGTAGTTCCCAGAACTGGACACAGTATTCCAGATGTAGTCTGAAAGCAGAATAGAGTGGGACTATTACTTCCCTTGATCTGGACTTCTGTTGATACAGCCTAGACTACCATTAGCTTTTTTTTTCCTTTTTTTTTTCTTCTGCAGCACACTGTTGATTCATGTGAAGCTTGTGGTCTACTAAGATCCCAAGGTCCTTTTCACATGTACTACTGGCAAGCCCAATATCCCCCATCTTATCCATCTTTGACCTACTTGGCTTTCCCTTTAGCTCATTTGTATATTTTATTTTGTAGAAGTTTCATCATTTGAAATTGAATACATCTGCAAATTGGAAATTTTCCTTTTACATATACTGTATACCTAATTTGATAGCCCTGTATTCACAAAGCCCTTGCTTTGCCAACACTTATTTCTTGCCCTGGGCACTGCTCAGCATTAAGTCCAGGGTCACTTTCTCTCACACACACTTATTTATGTATGTATGTATTTATTTAAATACTTACAAGCCACACTTTAATAGAAAATAAACTACATCTCCCATCAACCAGATTGGCTGGGGCTGATGGGAGCTGTAGTCCAAAGCATTTGGAGGGCACCAGGTTGGCAAAGCAAGAACATGTCTAGAAGAGCAGCAATGCTTGGGATGCTAGAAACTGCAGCCAGACTGGCCTTCGTGCCCTGGGTGCATATGTGCTAATTAACAATTGAAATGTCCCTGTGGAAGCAAAGTTAATTAATGGGAGCACAAGATGTACAGTTTTAGTTGCTGTGTTTTGACAACCTCTCTCCTCTGAGAGGCTGCAAATTCCTAACTGTATGTGAGCTGAAATAAAGGAGACCTGAGTCTGCCCCAGCTAAGGCTCTGTTATTCCCTGGGCCCCAGATGTACAGCCCAACCAATGACACATATTTTACATTGAAATCTAAGTCTTAAACTGAGATGATTCTCTGAGAAGAATCCTAGTCTTGCCATCTAGCTGCTCCAAACAGCTGATAATCTATCGTGCTTATTAGTTTTGTTGTGGGGTGGGGGTGGGGAACCCCAAGGGGAAAGCAAAGCTGGTTTGAGGCAGCTGCAGGCAGCAACCATCTGCTAATGTTTTTAGAATGAATCATTTCTCAGGTAAAGGCCAAGGAAAGGTGGCCTGACTAGAATGCAGGCAGCCTGAGAGGAAGCTGAGTGATGAGCTCATTGTTGCTTTTAATAGATTGTGTTTATAATTTGAAGATAATGTCTCTCTAGCTTTCAAGGATGCTTTCACAAAACCACAAAATTGGCCCCAAGTGATATTGAATCTGAGGCTTCTAGAAGCAGTCATAAACTAGAGACAAAGTGACAACTGAGTTTCATTATGGGTGGTCAACTTCAGTGTGCTTGAAGTGTTTATCTGGAGGCTGATGTTGGGGACATAGATGTATCCAAATTGCATTTGCAATTGCTTCTTTCAGATTAGGAAGCAGCCACTTAGTGTGGTGGCATTTTGTGCGATTCTAAATCATTATGTAGTAGTTGTTTTCATGGCATTTGTATGCTGCCCATCTGGGCAGCTTCCAATAAACAATACTTATTTTCATTTAAATGCAAAATAAGGCGTAAAACCAAAGCCTTGCATTAATAAAACAAAAACAAAAGTTTCCACAACCCAAAAAGTTAAAACACAGATTTAACAAACTGAGAGGCCCAGACTGCAAGTTGTTTGAGTGAATAGAAAGGTCTTTACCTAGTGCTGAGAAGACCACACAGATGGTCTCAAGTAAGCCTCCCTGGAGAGGGTGTACCACTACCAAGGTGCCACAACCAAAAAGGTCCTCCTCCTGCCCTGGTCTCATTCAGTGGGACCACCTGGAGCAAGGCCTCTGACGATGATCTTAAGGTTCAGTTGGGTACATGTAGGACACATTAGTTTTTAAATAACCTGATCCCAAGCCGTTTAAAGAATTTGAGAATTTACCCTCTAGCGCTGGGATGGGGAAACTGCAATTCTTTACAACTGCAATTTCCCCTGGCTCACACTGATGGGGTAATTAGAAGGAGCGAGAGAATTAAACAGTCTTGCAGTGCTGCAAACCCCACCCACTTTTGACTGTGGCTCCACCCACCATCTGTGCTGACTCTGCCCACCATTGGCTGTGGCCCAGATTGACTTGTCCTATGGGTCAATGGCCCATCATAGGAAAAAGATGGGAATATTGTTCTGAGCTTTGGGGATGAGTAACCTATGATTTTTCTGTTTTTGTTTTGCCATATGGGTATTTAGGTAAACTTGGGCAAAATGTCTGAATGTAGCTCCTCTCTCCAGATACTTTTCTTCCAGTCAGCAGTAATAATAAAATAATGTTATAATAATTTATTATTTATATCCCACCCAACTTGCTGGGTTTCCCCAGCCACTCTGGGCAGCTCCCAGCAGAATATTAAAAACAATGAAACATCAAACATTCAAAACTTCCCTAAACAGGGCTGCCTTCAGATGTCTTCTAAAAGTCAGATAGTTGTTTATTTCCTTGACATCTGATGGGAGGGCGTTCCACAGGGCGGGTGCCACTACCGAGAAGGCCGTCTGCCTGGTTCACTGTAGCTTCAATTGTTGCAGTGTGGGAACCACCAGAAGGCCCTCGGTGCTGGATCTCAGTGTCGGGGCTGAACAATTGGGGTGGAGATGCTCCTTCAGATATACAGGGCCAAAACTGTTTAGGACTTTGAATGTCAGCACCAGTTCTTTGAATTGTGCTCAGAAACGTACTGGGAGCCAATGTAGGTCTTTCAGGACTGGTGTTATATGGTCTCGGCTGCCACTCCCAGTCACCAGTCTAGCTGCCACATTCTGTATTAGTTGTAGTTTCCGGGTCACCTTCAAAGGTAGCCCCACATAGAGCACATTGCAGTACAGTTGTACCTTGGAGGTCAAATGGAATCCATTCCAAAAGTACATTTGACTTCCAAAATGTTCAAAAACCAAAACACGGCTTCTGGTTGGCTGCAGGAAGCTGCTGCAGCCAAGCAGAAGCCCCGTCGGACGTTTGGGTTCCAAAAGAACGTTCGCAAACCGGAGCAATCACTTCTGGGATTGTGGCATTTGGGAGCCAAAACGTCCGAGTTCCAGGGCATTCAGGATCCAAGGTACGACTGTAGTCCAATCGGGAGATAACCAGAGCATGCACCACTCTGGTGAGACAGTCTGCAGGCAGGTAGAGTCTTAGCCGGCTTATCAGATGGAGCTGGTAGACAGATGCCCTGGACACAGAATTGACCTCTGCAAGGTCAGTATTGGGCTATAATTACCAGGCACCTGCCAAGGCCCAAACCTTACTTATCATGGGTTCTATTGCTAACCCACTCTGGCCATGCTCCTCATCCTCCTTATTGCTGTTACTCCCTGTTTACCTGTCATCTACCAGCCTGCAAGCCTTAGGAAGAACCAGAAGAAGGTGCAACAGTTTATCCTTGCTCTGTCCTCTCCTTTTGAGCAGACATAAATCAAAGTCAATGAGCAGTGGTGTGGAGGTGGGTGCTCTGAGAGCATATTTCCCAAGCCCCACCCCTGCACACCTAAATCTGGAGCTGGCACTACCAGCCAGGGTCCAAAACCAGAAGTTGAAAGCACATACACTTTTCTGTATAATCAAAACTCTGCATTTAAGCACATGGAACTGCTGCTGTTGTGTTACGTTGGACCCTAAAAGTCCGTTCCAGGCCTGCTAAATATAGATCCATCTCATCAGATGACAAATAAGCTCTAACCCAAAGTTGGATGAAGTGCTCCTGAATGGAACACTGGATTTTTTTTGGGAAATATCTGTCATTGCAATGGGGTTTGGATTTCCTCCTCTGGGTTTGGATTGCAGTGCCCAGGTACACTGTGCTGTAATCTGGCTGAGTTCCTCAATGGACTGTTTTTCCTTCCTTCCCAATCCAGATCCTGTTGTCACCTTGCTACAGAAGGTACAATGAACAAGATGAAAACTTTCAAGCGGCGTTTTTCCCTTTCGGTTCCCCGGACAGAAACGATTGAGGAGTCACTGGCAGAGTTCACCGAGCAGTTTAACCAGCTCAACAACAGAAAGAATGAAGGTAAAAAAAATAACAGGGGTCAGCAGCACTGAATGGGAGGTGATGGGGAGCAGGTGCCAAAGCCCATCTCAGGCAGCTGAAGTTCCCAGAGACAATAGGTGTCCATACAATTGGGAGTAGTGCATGCTTTGTGGGGATTATGGTTCCATTTCATTTAGTTTACATGAATAAATAAATAAATCTCTCTGTTTCTGAGGTACAGAGGTGGGTGTGGATCCTTATATAGGCAAAATGGCACTGTCCACACAAAAATAATATTGGCATTAATTCACTATACAGGTAGCAGAGCCTAGGGCTTGCCGATCAGAAGGTCAGCGGTTTGAATCCCCGTGACGCGGTGAGCTCCGGTTGCTCGGTCCCTGCTCCTGCCAACCTAGCAGTTCAAAAGCATGTCAAAGTGCAAGAAGATAAATAGGTGCCACACCAGTGGGAAGGTAAACGGCCTTTCCATGCGCTGCTCTGGTTCACCAGAAGTGGCTTAGTCATGGTGGCCACATGACCCAGAAAAACTATCTGCAGACAAACGCTGGCTCCCTCGGCCAGTAAAGTGAGATGAGCGCCACAACCCCAGAGTCATCTGTGACTGGACTTAACGGTCAGGGGTCCCTTTATCTTTACATCTTCTAGAAACATAAGTCGTACAAAATAGAATGTTGAGAGGCAAAATAATTTAGAATCATCATGCAGAGGAAGTGAGTTTTCTGTTCCATTGCTTTGCATGAGTTTATTCAGATTTTTGCAACTGGAAGGAAAGCCACTGCCAGAGTAAAAAAAATTACTCTACCTCCTTGCAGGTAAATTATAGAGATTTTACTGTCATTTACTAAGAGAGGAAGCATGGGTTTTCTAACTTCCTCATAAGGCAATTAGTAATGAGGAAGATCCTCTGTCTCACCATAGCATTAACAGGGACGCAGACTTTTCCCTCTGTATGCAAATGGGTTTTCAAAATGACAGTACAATAAAACAACAATTTATAGGCCCTCTTATTTGTCTTGTGCCTGGAACCATTAGCAGTAAGAGAGCTCCGGATGATTCAGGGTATAAAAGTGAAAAACAATGAATACAAACTAAGTCTATACATAGATGGCATTGTGGTGACCTTAACTGATGCGGTCTGTGAAATTAACGGAGCTAGAGGTAGCTGAAAATGGAAAAATAGCTAGTTAAAAATAAAGACAGTGAAACGCAAACAATTGGAATTAATCTGCAGAAGAGACATCTGGTGTCCTCCAGATCACTTGGACTACAACTCCCATGCTGCCTGCAGCTGATGAGAGCCAACATTGCCCGGTTGGAGCTGATGGGAGTTGTAGTCTAAAACATCTGGAGGCCACCAGGCTGGTGAAAGCAGGGCTATCCTATCATTTAAACAACAGGCAAAGTAAGGTACTTTGAGACAAACTTGAATGGTAGGAAAGAAGAACTATGTACAAATAGAAGGAATGTGTTTTGATGTAAAATCCCTAACAGGACAATAGCTACAGTTGCATCTGCCATTTTCAATATGGTTTTCTTCTGTAAATATGGTTTTATTATCTCAGATTAGCTTATTGTTTCAAGTGCTGCCCACACAGCTGGAAGATAACCACATAAAGAAATAGCAGGAGCTTTCTCTCCAATTTTTATAGGAAAGAATGAGAAACATAAACCAAAGGAAACAATAGCACAATATGTGGAGAAAGGAAAAGGAATGGAAAACTTTGATCTTCAGTTGTGTTATCAGAGCAGTTGTTTACAGACAGTTATGGATTGGATCTTGATGTGTTTATTTATTAAACTGGGTTTTATTTGTTTATTTGTTTCCACATTAGTGCGTAAGGCACCCTACAAAGATAGAAAGATATACAAGACAAAATAATATGTATTTTTTTAAAAAAAGCAGATAAAATCATTCCAAGTACAATAAAAACAGAGTGGCAGATGGTTATGGCCAGTTAAAATCCCCATAAGGCTGAGTACTCATATCATAGGCCAAAAGCCTCCTCTTAAAAAAGGTCTTTGCCTGACAGCAGAAGGTTAATCAATGAAGGGGCAAGACCAGCTTTCCTGGGAAGGGGATTCCGGGGGGGGGGGGGATACTGAAAAGGACCTCTCTTAACCCTTCCAGATGGGCCTCAGATGGACCCCAGAAGATCTTAAAGCCAGGGTGGACTTATGTGGAAAACAGTAGTTCTTCAGCTGCCCTCGTCTTAAGCTGTGTGTGTCCTTACAAGTCATAACCAGCACTTTGAATTGGGACCAGAAACTGACCAGCAGCCAAGAACATAAGAGCCTTCTGGATGAAGCCAGTGGCCCATTTCATCCAGCATCCTGTTCTTCATGAGGTGGCCCAAGCCATTTTACTGCCTGAGGCAAAGGACAAGGTGGTGCATTCCCCATTCTGTGCCCAAAATCTCCCTAGACTGGTAACTGAATCTTACTTCAGCACTGGTCTCAACCCTTGAGGGACTCCACTTTCTATCTATCTCCATCAGAGAACTGTCCATTTATTCCTACTCTCTGCTTTCTGCTATTTCTCCAGTTCCTGATCCACGTCTGGATCTCTCCTCTTATTCCATGACTACTAAGCTTACTCAAGAGTCTTTGGTAAGGTGCCTAGTTGAAAGCTTTTTGAAAGTCCAAGTATGCTATGGCAACCAGACCACTTCTGTTTAACTCATACAGATACAAGAGACAGGACTTGCCCTTGCAGAAGTAATTGAGAGCCAGTGTGGTGTAGTGGTTAAGAGCGGTGGACTTGTAATCTGGTGAACTGGGTTCGATTCCCTGCTCCTCCACATGCAGCTGCTGGTGACCTTGGGCCAGTCACACTTCTCTGAAGTCTCTCAGCCTCACTCACCTCACAGAGTGTTTGTTGTGGGGGTGGAAGGGAAAGAAGATTGTTAGCTGCTTAGGGTAGTGATAAAGCGGGATATCAAATCCAAACTCTTCATTCTGGCTCTGCTTCTTCTATATGCTTGGCTATTTGATCTTTAACAATACCACCCATTTAAGCAGAACAGACATTAAGCTAACCAGCCTGTAATTTCCAATTTAAAAATTGGTGTGTCATTAGCTACTTTTGACATTGTCAAAATTTATGAGCTATATTTGCATAATAGAGAGAAGACAAACTCTAGCTTTGTTCAGAACTGGTCAATTAAATACTATAAAACCAGTCACACTCCTCAGTGAATAGAATATATGCTTTTGAATTGTTCTTGTTTGATTATAGTGGAATCTAATTGTTGAGGGGCTAATCTTGCATCTTTTTCAGATTTCTTAAGCTGCATATCTATGCACAGTTACCTGAGAGTAAGTCCATTTAACTTAGTGGGGCTTACATTTGAGTAGATATGATTGCACTATTAATATATTGATTTTTAAAATTTTGTATTAAAATGCAGTGCCCATTATTTAAGAACATGGATTGTCTCCTGTTTCCTGGCTAAAACATCCTGCTCAAGTTTATGGTTTAGTCTACAGTAAGCCTGTAATGTTGTGCTCTGGGCATCACACCTAAAGCCAAAATTGTATATAGTCAAAACCCATTGGGTTCAATGGCAAGTGGGATTGCCAACATCATTTCCCACAGAATCCTATCCCTTTTCATATATTTTTTGCCACACACGTAAAGCTGAATATGTACAAGTTAAATGTGCTTAAGTTACGGGCTTATTGTATTTGCAAACAACAAGGGAAGAGTGGGGTTTGGCTAAACTTGGACTATATACAGCATTACAAGGTAGTAGCTTTGGACTCTGCAAGGAGCTTAGTACCAAATGATTTCACTTCCAGGTACCAGCACCATATTTCTGTTACTTTGATTTTTTTTATATATATAAAAAAAGCTTTTATTGTAATTTTGAGCCTTTGTCAGCTGTCTTGGAAACTTATTGAAGGGCAGCATATAAATCCATAAAACAACCTAATAATTTCAGTCATATGAGTTCACTGCTGTCAAGGACCAAGGACAATGGCCCTCGACTCCTCTCTCTCTCTCTCTCTCTCTCTCTCTCTCTCTCCCCCTCCCCCGCCCCCTCTCTCTTTCACACACACACACACACACACCCCTCACCTGGGCAGAGGGAACAATAAATCTCGCACAGGAAAACCTAGGTCGACGATCAGAAAAGCAAACAATTACCTAACTGGGCACAAGGAGTTCCAGGCAGTGCCACCTTTGGGCTTGGCATAGTCTGATGGTACAAAGCTGTGGGTTGATATTTTTCAAAGTCCCCAGCAGCCCAAGAAGCACCTTATGCTCCTCCACCTATACTGACCTCCTGTTGTGCCAGTCCCATTTGGAAAAACTAGGGATGTCATTTCCCTACCTCTGATTTACAGCTATTGGAGACCTCTGAGGTCCTTCTAAGAACAACAGCAGAGTTGCAATTGGACTAGCATTGGATTACAGTTCATTCTATTCCTCTTCTCTACAAAATCTCAGAGCGAATGTGGAGCAAGTCAGGAAGATTCTCTAGGCTCTCTGCCTATACAATGGATACAGTAATTGCTTTCTCTTTCTCTTCCTCCCACTCCACAGAAGAGCTGTAAAGGTAAATGCAATAAATTTTGTGCATACAGACAGACTAACAAATGCTACAGACAGAAACAGATTGAGGGGGATGTCTGGTTTTTCATTGATAGGCTGATTGGGGTGTAAGAAATAAAAGATTAGCGGAAAGAATAGGCCATATAAAACAGATTTTTGTGGAGATTGGCCCTTAGGACTGAGCAGAAATGTTAACGCTTAGCAAAGTAATTAAAAGTTTGCAATTCAAGTAGAGCAAAGAGAGATTCTGGCCTCTTTCCCCAGGAGATCAAAGCTTGTTTTTGGCAGAGGCAATGTTTAAATATATTTATAAAAGGATCGAGACTTGTCAAAGGCAGCGGCAGTGTCTGCAGTTTCTCTTTTAATTTGCTTTGATATTGTATGCACCCTCATTATGCTCTGACTGTCGAATCCTGCTGTAATCCTCATTTTAAAAAAAAGTGGAACAGAATCAAACAGGTCTCTGCAGTGTTCACCCAGAGTCTGCCTACATCTCTAGTAAATACCTTGGCCAAGGCAGTTACAGGGCTGCAGCCCAGTAGGATTCCTGCTATGGAACTCTGCTTGCTTGGCACTGTCTTTCACTTCCCTGCTGACTGAGTGGGATCACTAGCTTTTCTTCATAGGGAAAATACTCTAGCCCCTTTCTCTTTTTCACCTACTCCATGGGACAACCTGAATTCTGCACAGCATTCAAAACGTGGCTGCATGACAGCTTTTTTATTATTGTGGTGTTATTATACTTGCTTCTTCTTCTTTTCATCACATTTTCTCCTGCCAAATAATCATTTAAATTGGATTTGCCATTTTGATCGATAGCTGCCAGCGTACTAGCTAGAGAATCTTCCATGTGCGGGCCCGTTGGAAGCTCGGCAAAGCATGAGACTCTTAATCTCAGGGTTGTGGGTTCGAGCCCCATGTTGGGCAAAAGATTCCTGCATTGTAGGGGGTTGGACTAGATGACCCTTGTGGTCCCTTCCAACTCTACAGTTTGCAATAATAGAGTTGGAAGAGATGTTGAAGATCATGAAGTCCAACCCCCAGCTTGGTACAAGCTCTACTGTGCAATCTGGAGTCAGATCTTGTTCCATTGTGTACTGTAATGCACTCATTTGATGTTTGTTTTCAGGGCCACCTGAGCATCATATTTTTAGCAAAGTAGTTTTACAGGGTAGTCTTCTACAAACTATTGTGTGAGGTTGCCATGACACACACCTCATGTTTTGCAAGCCTTTACTCCTATTTGATGTGTTAATTCTGAGTTTATTTCTTTATTCATGTGAATGCCTGTATGTCATTAAACATCCCTACAATAGATTTGCACTAGGGCAGAAATGAAATGGCTCTCCCAAATTTTCTCCCCATTTGCAAATCTATAAGGTCCATATGGGAGACCATTTTGGGGAAGCAATGTGGGCCATACTGAACCAGTATTTGGGAAAGGGTTCATTTATCAATGATGGCCAGGAAATATTGACGCTTTGAAGAAGTTCCATCTGCAGTTTTTCATCCCTGCAATGAGTTGTTCAATACAGGCAGCTGTTTTGATCCATGCAGCGTGTACAAGTTCATTGGTTAGTGAGCAAATCGTACAACTGTCCAAGTAGACTGAAATGAACGCAGTGAAATCAATGTTTGCCATGTAGGGTAGTTCTCAGCTGGTGAGACTGTCAGCTGTAACCCAGCAGTAAGTGGGGAAGAGTGCGAGGGAACATGCCTTGGGCAGCTCAACATTGTATTTTAGTTTGCTTAGAAGTCCACCTGCTGATATTTGGCCTTTTCATGCTCATAGACTGCATTTCCTGTGATGAATAAAGCACACAGAGCAGATGCAGCTGGAAGGGGGTTTTGGTACATAAGAGATTTCCAGTTTGGACTAGTGATCAATTCTGCTTTTCTGTTCCTGGCAGCGATCCCATCCCTATCCATTTCATCTGTCCTTCTGATTATGTTATCATTGCAGGAATGGTGAGAAGTGTTCCCATTGCCCTACTCCCCACTGCTTTGTGGCAAAATGACCAGGGCAGCCTTTTGCAAGTGCACATCTTTCAGAGCAGTGAGCACACGGGAGGCCTACATTAATTTTCATGGTAACGTCATACTTTGAAATGCTTGGTAGTGAAACAGCAGTTAGTATTGACTGTAATGTTTCTCAAAGCAGCCTTGGCATATGCCCCAGAAGCTAGCAAATTCACAGTCTACCCCTACCACCAAAGTATATGTCTGTTAAGTAACTTCATTATACAGTTTCCATCCTTTGCTGTAGACACACCGCTTTATCCTAGTCCTTTATGGTTAAGTCTTTTATGAAACCACCACAATTGCCTGATGTGCACTCCTGGGTTTGTTTTCAAGTGTTTCATTGGCTTTTAATATGGTATAATTATAATGGTTGTAACATGCCTCAGGACCTTGTGGTGAAGGGTGGTGAGTAAGTAATCCCTTAAATAAATAAATACTCTCCTGCCTTTTACCCCGCCTCTCCTGCTTCTTTTGAGAGTTTACAAAATTTGGGGTTTTTTAGAAGGAATGGAAGAAGCCGCACAATCTCAACAGGTTCCTGCTTCTCTTCTGTCTCTTTTTGAGAAGCATGGCTTTGATGTGTGCAGTCATGTTTCAGGCAATTGAATCGTATCGCCATGCCACTTCAACACACCTTTTTCCCTGTTGGCAGCATTTCTGCAGCATACTTGTTTGTTTGCTTTTATAATAATAGTCAGCATTTAAATTTGCACTAGAATGCTTTTTCATCTATATATAAAAACATTTGCACGATAGCTTTTAAACAAGAAGGGTTTTAACACAAATTTTATAAAATGATTAAAAAATATTTTTAAAAAGCTAAAATGGTGTGCTTTATCATAGAAGTGTAGAGTTGGAAAGGACCACAAGGATCATCTATTCCGATCCCCTGCCATGCAGGAATCACAGCTAAAGAATCCTTAAGAGATGGCTTAGGTGCATGATTAGGTACTTTCCTGCTCAACAGAACTTCAGCTGTCAGGGAAAAGGCTAAGCTTTCTTATGCCCACTAGTGAGGACGGAATATAGCAGGATGCATATGCAAAAGTCCACATGCAGCTCCATATGCAGCTTACAGGGAGGGAGAACTAAAGAGGAGAAATTGGAAGGAGCCATTCTGCAGTGTCACTTGGCAGATCAGAAACAAGAGGATGATTTGCATCTTTCTGCCATGCTAGCTCCTAACTGTGTTTGAAATCTGACTTAGGTTAAAATTATGTAGGTAATTTCTTTTTCCATTTTCCCATGACCATTTTTTCAGCATGGACAACGTTGCCTACCTCCGCAAAGGGCTTATGTAATCAGTTCGCACTGCCAAATTCAGTCTTGTTTGATTGTGTTTCATGCATGGTGCTTCTGCATCCATCTTTTGTATCCTTTGTCAAAAGAGCCTAGTTTCTGCCATATGGAAGGGCGAAGGAAATGGACAGGAAGCAGGGCTGAGTTCTCATTAAATGCTACATCTCTGTCCAGAAAGATGATAATTAGCAAACAGTTCATTTATTTGCATGCCTATCCTAGAAATAATGCCTCTGCAAATTCACAGGGTTTTATTTCATGGGTTTCTGGGTGACCTGCACTGAACTTGTGAACCGCTGTCCTGGGCCTTTGAGCTCCAGAGCCTCCAAGCAACCCGTCATTCATCACAAGCCCTAGCAAGCTGAAGTGCAGAGCATAGAACCACAAGCCAGAGAGAAGTAGCTGTCCACAGAGGACTTCTGAACCTTCTTTGTTCATATTTCATTTTCCATTTGTGACTCAACAACACTTCAGAGCTGTGCTCTCAAGAGAAGAGGTCATTTAAATGTTTTACAGCACAATCCTATGCATGCCTACTCAGAAATAAGTCCTATTGAGTTAAATGGGGCTTACGGGTTACAGGATTGTAGTCTTAAAGGGTCGTTTCTCAAAGCAGCAGAACCAGTTGAAAGCTTAAGAGTAGGCATATATATATATATATATATATATATATATATATATATATGATTTTCCCCACCTTTATGCCAAGAGGCTGAAAGTGGTGTATGTGGTTCTCCCACTCCCTATTTTGTCCTCACTAAGCTTATTATTATTATTATTATTATTATTATTATTATTATATCCCATCCATTTGGCTGGGTTTCCCCAGGCACTCTGGGTGGCTTACAGCATATATAAAAAATTGTAAAACATCAGACATTAAAAAATTCCTGATACAGGGCTGCCTTCAGGTGTTTTCTAAAAGTCAGATAGTTGTTTATTTCCTTGACATCTGATAGGAGGGCATTCCACAGGGTGGGCACCACAACCGAGAAGGCCCTCTGCCTGGTTCCCTGTAATCTCACTTCTTGCAGTGAGGGGGCCACCAGAAGGCTCTTGGTGCTGGACCTCAGAGTCTGAGCTGAACGATGGGGATGGAGATGCTCCTTCAGGTATATTGGGCCATCGCCGTTTAGGGAATTAAAGGTTAGCACCAACACTTTGAATGGTTCTTGGAAATGTACTGGGAGCCAATGTAGGTCTTTGATGACTGGTGTTATATGGTCTTGGTGGCTGTTCCCAGTCTCCAGTCTAGCTGCCGCATTCTCGATTAGTTGTAGTTTCCGAGTCACCTTCAAAGGCAGCCCCATGTAGAGCGCATTGCAGTAGTCCAAGTAGGAGATAACCAGAGCATGAACCACTTTGGCGAGGGAGTCCACAGGCAGGTAGGGTCTCAGCCAGCATACCAGGTGGAACTGGTAGACAGTTGCCCTGGACACAGAATTGACCTGCATCTCCATGGACAGCTGTGAGTCCAAAATGACTCCCAGGCTGCACACCTGGTCCTTCAGGGGCACAGTTACACCATTCGGGAACAGGGAGTCCCCCACACCCGCTCGCCCCTGTGCCCCCAAAACAGTACTTCTGTCTTGTCAGGATTCAGTCTCAATCCATTAACCAACATCCATCCTCCAACCACTTCCAGACACTCACACAGGACATTCACCGCCTTCACTGATGTATGTATGTTAGGCTGAGAGATGGTGACTAGTGCATGGCTGAGTGGATCCTAGTCCAACACTCCAACCACTACACCACACTGCATCCTCCCCAAAGGGCTCTTTTCACAGCTGCCATATTTTGCCATGGCTGCCAACTAGAATTAGGGACCTTTGATATGACAAATGTCACTCTCAATAGCCTTGGGGGTGGGAATCAAACCTGGAAAAAACACAAGCATTATCTAGACCAGTTCCCTCATGCACAGCAGACTGCGACCATCTTCTTCTGGGGAGAACGCTTGTGACAATCCTTCCTGTTTGGCGCGGCACATTAAAATACATTTGGGCCTTCACACCATCATTGCTACTGGCTAGTGTGCTCTACATGGGAGGATTAGTGGAAATTTTAGGATACTTTCAATGAGCCTGGGTCCTTAAGTTAGCACCTGGATATAACACACACACCCCACTTATGGGGGATGGAGCGCTTCTGAAACTGGGACATTGGTGTGCCACTCCTTCAAAGTGTACCCCTGAATGGTTATGGCATTTCTAGGTCACCCGGAAAAATGGAATGGGGTGTGCGTATAGCCTAAGATTCACTAATCAGTAGGGAAATTGGAGAACTGAACACTTTGGCACTTAGCAGTCAGAACGTGAGGCCTGATGTTTACTTCATAATAGTTGCCAACATTCCAGCACAAAACAGAGTGTTGGGCTGTGGGGATTCTATCCTGGCCTCTTTTAGTCTTGGATTGGGTAGGGGGAACTCCATGTAGCACAGCAACCAGAAACAGATCTGTGCTTTCGGAATAGCAGCTTAATTTACTAGTATGCCATACACAAAAAATTATAAAATAAAATTGGTAAGAGCTGTGTTAACAAGCTACAAACATGGGGAATTTTTTATAAAATGTTTCAGGCTTCTCTGCCACTCAAAGCCTTTTGAGTCCCTCTTTCAGTTATGTCTCAGGGCCACTTCACTCCTATGGTTTATTATATGGGCATTATTTTTTGCTTTGGGAAACCATGTGTGCAGTCACCTCTGATGAGTATAGAATATGGATGTCTGTTTGCTGAAACAACATAAGATAGGAAATGGCAATTGGTTGTAGCTTCATGTGTGTGCTCATCGAAACGGAAGCAGCAGGTGGAGACTTCTGGCAAGTTTGGGATTGTCCTTTCTTATGGGTGCCATTTGGGAACTAATAAAAGTGCGAGAAGGTCATGCAGATGACCAAGTCTCTGTGAGCTGCAGTATCCAGATGCCAGGTAGTGCTTAACTAGTTAAATCCATCTTCCAGGTTAAGTTTTTTCCAGCTGTAAATTTCTTAAATAATGTATGGTGTTAAGTCAGAAATATAGTTAAGTCTCCTAAGTGCTCAGGATAGAACAGATTAAAAAGGTTAGAGCAATAAGGTCATTTTGTTTGCCTTCATTCCTTTCAACAGTTACTCCAAAGTGTTGACAGTCTGTGGAATCATCTGGTCAATTGCTATCTGTTCTTCTTTTCTCATCAGATATGGCACAAGGGTGCCTGCATCTGAGTCATCTGAACAGGGACATCCAGACGCAGCCCAGCTCCACTTCACCTTTGGAAGGCCCGTCCCCAACCGCTGTGTGTTACCGAAATGGCAACCAGCGTCGGTTTTCAATGGAGGTGATACGCAGTTGCAGAGTGCAGGGAATCTGTATGGAATGTTAGAAATTAGACCTGTGTATAAATGGCCTCTTGGAATTCTCCACCCTATTTGTGGGCACAGAAACTGAGTGGGTGGGGTGCCATTTCACACAATTTCTCCAGAGGGAAAAGAAATTCTCCAGCAGTTTCCCGGGCATGGCACTCACCGTTAGCAATGACAATTAGCATAGGCTCTTTCCTCTTTTTTTGTCGTAGTGGCAGCCTGGCCATCATTCTACATCCCCCACAATGCCAGTGTTCCAGGACATTGTGGAGCTGAGATTGCAGCTGCCACATAAAATAATAATACGGGGGGGGGGGGTTAATTACACAAAGTGGCCTTCTTTTTCTAGGAGGCTGAGAAAAAGAAAAAGAATTCTTGAAATGCTTTCTGAAATGTCATCAGGTGTATTCTCAGAAAAATTTGGAGAAATTTTGTCTCTAGCTCTAATAGATATGATGTTTATGGACCCCTTTTAATTGCAACCGGATGCTGACTGTTTGAGAATCAGAGTCAACCAAGAATCTGCCTTTGAGAATGAGTGGTCTATTCATATCAAAAAAGAACTAGTGTTGCAATTGAAATTTATTTTATTTATTTTAATATACTTATACCCCACTTTTCAGCTCCCAAAAGATTCAGGCAATATACAAATCTAATATATAACAACAACAACAACAACAACAGCAGCAGCAGCAGCAGCAGCAGCAGCAACACTGGAACAAAGTTGATGGCCCCTTCCCACATCTTTGTGTTCTTCCCCAGATTAGTGTATTCAATTAGTCTTCAAGATGTGTGTGCTTTACTCAGTGTAGGGATTCTTCTTACGAAACTTTGAAATAGCTTTGAAATGGCTGCCTGAGTGCCTGTTCAAGGATGTTCCCGTAAAGTGGTCAGTGTTGGCAAAGTACATTATGTGACCTTGGGGAACTTGGAGTTACTTTTCCGGGGAACATGACTGTACCAGCAGAGGCAGTGACGTCTTGAATTTGCAAGCTACGGTTCTTCCCCCCGGCATCAGAATTTGAATTTCATTTGTACACAAAAGCGTAAAATGCTATGGTCTGCCTACTGAGAAGCAATAATTATTTCTCCTACACCCATAGATGGGGGAATCGCTTCTTTGTGAGAGGACATGAGCATTAGCTCCAGACAAAGTTGAGACCCAGTGTTTAGAGATTAAGTCACACAACATGGCATAAATGCTTGAATTTGTGCATTTTTAAGAGAACACACATACCACTTGCTCAAAACTAAAGCCAGGCTCTCCTGCCTCATCTTCACTATCAGTTTGAGGATAGAGAGTGGATTGAAGAAGTGAAACAGATAAACAGGGCAATGTAGTTGCCTTTAATTATATTTATCCCACCCTTCAAATGCTAGCACTGCAACTGTTCTATGCTTCCAAATGAGCAGAAGCTGAAAGGGTTGTTGTGGGACATACAGCATTAGGGCTGTGACCACCAGAAGTCTTTTGGATGGCTAGGAGGCCTTGGGAACTAATTCTGTGCTGCTCTTCTCCACAGGACGTCAGCAAGCGCCTCTCTCTGCCCATGGATATTCGCCTTCCCCCAGAGTTCCTCCAGAAACTAGAGATGGAAAGTCCAGAGATTTCAAAGCCTCTTAGCAGGATGTCTCGACGGGCTTCTCTTGTGAGTCCCACTCTTTGACAGGGGTTCAGAACATGCAAGTTCATGCAATGCAGCAGAACTTTGCCCTTGTGCACTTGCACATATGAAAAAGCTCAAGTGTGATGGGCCTAAACCAGGGCAAACACCTACTTCAGTACTGAAACTGCATTGGAAATGTGTGCTGTTCAGTTATTCCAGTTTCTCTGGGCAACTAAGGCCAGCAAGTAGCTCTTTATTTTCCCTCAAGAAGAGGTGGGGTTGGAACTCAGAACTCTAAGGCGGAAAGAAGAACGAAACCTTATACCTCAGGGTTTCCCATTTACCTGTGCAGTGTTGTTTGTCTCTTGAATAAAATATGTGCAGCTGAAGCAAGTGTCCCATAAATATCAATAACCTCATAAATTAACAATGTGTGCTTCTTTGAAACTCACAAATGTAGGGCTGTTACTTTTGTGAAACATTGGATCATGTTAAAGCCTCCTTTGCTTTGTCTGCAGCCTTATTATCATTTTCACACACAAATAGAAGTATTCCTGCTTAAAATATGGAAAACATTTGTTTTTTCCCCTCCACCTCACTCCAACTCTGGCCAGTCCTGCCTGGGTTATGGCTGTGCAGGTTGCAACCTGTTTTCAGAGTTTGTGTGTGGTTGACCCTTTAGATCCAGTAGGAATCAAAGTTGTAAGATTCATTTTAAACCAACAACTGATCAGGCCAAGAAGCTTGTTGAGCTGGAGGCAGAAAAGCATGGAGAGGGGCACTTTTTGTGTGGGGATCATGTAACTCTGAGGTATCATTAGATACTCTGAGGTATCTAAAGTGCATTGCAACCCAGTCCTAAGCATTACTTGGAGGTGCATAGGAGTGCCAGACTAGAGAAGTATGTCAGAAGTGCATTGTGTTGAAATACTGGTAGCTGATTCCAGGAAAAGGGACAAGCTATGTGTCGCTTTAAGCACACACTTTAAAAATGTGCTCTCCACCCTGTTTCTTTAGCAAAAGCAGCTCCCCTGAATTGCTTTCTTTCTCTGCTTTCCACACTCACAGCCGCTGTGTGTTTTAAGTTACAGTGTGATCGATCGATCTGAATCCCATGGCTAGAATCTTGTTCACGTTTCCTGCCCCCAGTATTTAGGCGCTGAGCTTGAAGAAAAAACCTGAAATACTGAGCGAAAACCGTTGGTTAATTCATGATCCTAAATTGCTTCAGATGCAGCCCATTCACAAGTTTTCCCTATTGAGCTGAAAATGAAATATTTATTGAATCCCATGGGTCCTTTTCTGCAAAGGTGGCTGTCTCTTTACCACCACCTAGTGCTGAATAATATCATGCTTAAAAGGCAATACATGACCTAAGTAGCATTAATACATGCTTTGAAAAGCCTCTTATCACCACAGAAGGTTTAATCCTGTTACTCCATCATGTTTACAAGCGGTACGTACATTCAAACGCCATGTTCACACAGTAAAATGCAGGCCAAATATGCAAGAGGCATTGTTAGCCCTATTGATATTCAGCAAGAATAGAGTACATGGGATGTGAACAACATTTGACTGCTTATTCAGGGCCATATGAGGTGTTGGTGGAAGAGGTTGGGGGGATTGACCTGGTTCTCCTGACCCCGGGTCAACTCTGAGCCAGGATCGAAAGGCATTACACAAGGGAATCTTGTATAATGGGAAGGGAAGACCCAATTAGGCAGCTTAAACAGCTCTCTGAACGGAACAATCTGGCAGACTGATGGAGAAGTGTGAGAAATGAAAGCAATTGGAAGTTTTCCTTGCTGCAACACACCCCAAGTGAAGAAAGCGATTTCACTGAATATATTATGCACTAGCACTATGGGGAAAGAAGCAAGAATGCTTCGATTTCTTCAGACACCCAGCCCTCTTCAGCCCTGGGCAAAAGGGTGTAGAGGGGATGGAGGCTGAAGGGAGGTTGTCTCCAATGTGCCCACTCCACTCTAACCACTGTGCTGAAGGGAGGTTGTGAGCACTTTTCGCCTGAATGTGTTTAGGTGTCTCCTCATGATCGGGTTATCAGGATTCCTAGTCACAAGGAGGCTTGTAAACCTGTTCAGGCAAACATACATGCAAGCCCCCTTCAGACATTTGCACTAATCAAGCAAGGGTTGGAAGTGTAGGGGGAGACACCTGGAAATGTTGAGGACAAGGCCATGGTGCATTCCCTCTCCACACTTTTGTCCTTGCGTGTCCAGGAGTAACAAATGAGGAGGACTGTTCCCAGTGACTGGCCCATGATTTCACATTTGCAAAAAGTAGCTCCCACAAGGTGTTTAACTGTGAGTTTAAGGACCTGCCTTGATATTTTTTTTTTGTCCCCTTCCTCTCCACCAAATGTATTGCAGGCAAGAACTGCTTAGCAGAATGTGATCATCAATAAGTTTCCTAAGGAAGAGAATGTGATCTTTTGTATTGACACTTCTTCCTTTTTCATGACAGTCAGACATTGGGTTTGGAAAGATGGAAACCTATGTTAAACTGGAGAAGCTAGGGGAGGTAAGAATAAGTTCTGTCATCATTCTACTCCCATGTTGTGTCGCTGTGATAGAATTTTAACTGTTGTCATCCACTTTGGGAGCCAGTCTTGATCTGTTAAGGGCTTTATAGATTTAAAATGGGGCTAGGGGACCTGCGGCTCTCCAGGTGTTCCTGGGCCTTGACTCCCATCATCCATGAACCTTGACCTTGCTTGCTGAGGCTGATGGGAGTTGGAGTCCAATAATATCTGGAGAGACACCAGGTTCCTTGCCTGCATTTAAACTTGCTCCTTGAGTTGTGAATAGAATTTTTCAAAAGTCTTCCAAGGGATCATCAGCATAAGGGAACAATTTGGTTCTGTTCAGTGTCCTATAGTACGGACTAGGATGTGCTTCCCAAATTGAATGCTTCCTCCATGCTGAAATAAACTTCTTCTTTTTTAAAGCTATTTTCAGATCATTTGATGCAGATTATTAAGCATATATTTACAAGCAAATGCTTCCCAAAGAAGCATGACAAGAAATAAATCTAGTTTGTCAACCCAAAAGAGACAAAGTTTTAAATCAGATGAAGCGCATCTGAAAATATTGTTTGGAAGAAGACTGCAAAGGAGTCATTTTGAATCCAAATTAAGCAGGGCTGCTACAGGGATCTAATCCAGTTCAGGAGAACCAGAATAATGCTGTTTTATGCAGGGAGTAATGAGTGGGGTTTGCTGTGGGGTATGTTAGTGAGCTGCTTACTTTTCTTGGCTTCTTCCTCTCAGGGCACCTATGCCACTGTCTTTAAAGGGCGCAGCAAGCTCACCAAGAACCTGGTTGCCCTGAAGGAGATCCGATTAGAGCACGAGGAAGGGGCCCCCTGCACAGCTATACGGGAAGGTGAGGAGCAGGGTTCATTTTCCAAAATGTAAACATACGGAGAAACATCAGGCAATGCTGTTTCCACATACACTTGCCTTGCTTATACACAAACATGATAAGGAATGGAAACATCCGATCATGTGAACCTGCAATAGTAGCAATGGAAATACTGACAGTGGGGGCCACATACCGGGAGGGGGGACCTAACCCAGATGCCAGAGTGGGTGAGGTAACAAATGTAAATTTTACCTTGTACAATAGGGTACTTTCTACCCACACTCACAGACCCCCACCCTCCATCCAGGCAAGCAAGAAACATTATCAGAGTTCAAGGGCACATTCCAGGCAGACAGACACACTCACTGAGGGGGAGAAACAGGGCTGGTGTGGGATCTGGCTAGGGAGTTGTGGCCTGGGGGGAGTCTTGAGGGCCACAGAGAGAGGCCTAGTGGTCTGCCTCCAGTCCCCAGGCCTGAGATTTTAGTGCATAGCGTACACCCCACCCTCATACCCTTGTGACTGAAGTCTCTCTGCCTTGCAGTTTCCTTGCTGAAGAACCTCAAGCATGCGAACATTGTGACCCTCCACGATATCATTCACACGAAATGCTCCCTAACTCTTGTCTTTGAGTTTCTGGTGAGTCAGGACCTTCTGACTTTTGGAGAGGCTGGCTGGTCCAGGCTTGACTGCAGCTCAAGTGTTATTTGGGCAGTAAGGGAAGGGCTGTAGTTCAGTGGTAGAGCATCTGGTTCACATGCAGATCACAGGTTCTATCTCTGGCATTTCCAGGTGGGGCCAGCTATGTCCTTAACCTGAATCCCTGCTGTCAGTCAGTGCAGACAGTACTAAAATAGATTGACCAAAGGTAAAAGGCAGCCTCCTGTGTTCAGGGTCAGTAGTAAGTCTGAAGGTTCCCCGCCCCCCAACAGCAGCATCTGTGCAGAAAATGTGGTCTCCATGTAACACACTGGTAAAAAAAAAAAATGTTCTCCAACCACAATTGCTTACCAATATTCCAGATGGAACACCATGCAGGTCCAATTGGGCTTGGTGGGCTTGCTCCCAGCTAGGTGTGAATTGGATTTTCCCTAAATAGCAATAGAAAAATGTGTGTGTTTTCTCAGAACAAAATATGGTTTGAGTTCAGGGAACCTGAAAATTCTCCACAACATACGTGCCAGTTAAAGGACAAAATACTTGGACTAAATCTGACCTAGCTATGTTGATTAGGATAGTGACTTTGAATCTCTTGCTGTAGCAATCTACTAGTATGCATTCATATAATAAAACAGATACATCTGGAAAGGTTGTGTAGTTTTGATCTGTGTATGAGCCAGAGGAGACAGTTCACTGCAAGCGTCCACCCTGCTTCGGAACTGCTAGGAAATACTATTTGACTTGCATTTTTTTGTTGCCAAAGACATGTTTGGTCACTTCGGGGGCCTTGGTCTTCAAGGCAACTGGGACCTCTCAGGACATGCTTGTCTTTGCAGGACAGTGACCTGAAGCAGTACCTGGATAACTGTGGGAATCTGATGAGCATGCACAACGTGAAGGTGAGTGAACAGGGTGGATGGGTGCAGGGCTTCCTCTTCTGTAAAATGATTGGTAGGCTCTCAAGTCAGGGCAGGGTTGGGAATCCCCTTGAAGTGCCAACCCCTCATGGGCCCCACTGGCAAGTGGGTAGGGTTGCCCACCCTTTAGTCACATGGTGACCTATGTCAGGGGCAGGAAAGGAACAATTGAGGGTACACAGTTGAGGATGTGTTTCTGCTTGTTCCTTTGTAGTCACAGCTTTACCTGTCCCACACCTGATGGCAGGTGAGTGGCAAGTGTGTGTGACTTGCCCAGAATGGGCTTGTGGGCTAGACTGGACTCGGGCGGCCCAAGGTGTTTCGGCACCTCCAGTGAAACACCCTGCTGTCACCCCCATGATTGGGGGGGTGCATACTCCATAATGAATCTCCACTGCCAGGTGTTGAATGGTTTCTTTAAATGTAAAGGTTCATCATTGTTCCACCCGATGTGTATGTCTTTAAGGGGCCAGAGCAAGGGCCAGAGCAAAATAACGAGACCCAGCTTTGCAGCTGTGAAACATAGCAGGTGCTGCTGAGTTGTATTGATTAAGCTGTGTCAGCAATTGGGTGTAGTATATAAGGAGCAGCACCTAGCTCTCCCATTACCCTGGGGGATGGGTTGGGTCATGTTTGTTTGTTAATGTATTTAGTGTAAAAGGAGTTTTTGTTTTTGTAATTAAAACCTTGTTTAAGTACTTCTTGAGTCCCTCTTTTAATGCATGGTCTCCCCAGCGAGCTCTCTGCAGCGCTACCATACTGCAAATAGCCAACACCAGGTCCTTTCCAGATCCCCTCCTCCCTTCAGGAGAAGCTGGTGCAAAGCCCCCCAACCAGGTGGCAAAGCTGAGTGGCAGAACACTTCCCCTCTCACTGACTCAGCAGGAGGGGAGGCATTCCACAGAGCTTTGCCACTAGTCCCTCTTGGCCCCTAGAGGCTGGGGAGACCAGCAGCAAAGCTGGGCAGCAGAACAAGGGTGACACCCCAAGAGGGATGCTGCCTGAGGTGGCTGCCTCACCTAGCCTCATGGGTGAGCCAGCTCTGAGACTGGAGGTCTGGTGGGCCAAATTATGCAGGTTCCCCCATTGCCAAGTTAGAGGATTTTCCATCTCTTTCAGGAATGGTATCTCATGCCTTAATTCTCCACAGAGCAGAGTCTACCATTAAAGTATCTCTAACTGCTTTCTCTCCCCTCTTCTTTCCCTGTGGTTCCAAGATCTTCATGTTCCAGCTGCTGCGTGGCTTGTCCTACTGCCACCAGCTTAAGATCCTACACAGAGATCTCAAACCACAGAATCTGCTCATTAATGGGAAAGGGGAACTGAAACTTGCAGATTTTGGTAAGTTAGGAGGTAAGCTGGGGAAATGCCAGCACAAATTTCAGCTCGGTTTTGAATAGGAAGGTACTATGTCAGGGAGGAGAAGGACCAACCTGTGGCCTGCCAGATGTTTTTGGACTGCAGCTTCCATCTGCCCCAGCCAGCATGGCCAATGGTCTTGGGAGGAAGGGAGCTGTGATTCGGCAACCTCTGGAGGACACCAAGTTCCCTATCCCAGGCTTAGGTGCTCCTACATTTTCAGATTGTGGGGAAATTATATTGGGGGACTTCTACCACTACTGCCCCCCCACCCCACTTCTAATTTACATGTAACAAGTCTTAAACAGAGCGAAGCTGTTTGCCAAATACAGACTTTCAATTATATTTGTTAATGTGGTGCTTTATACATTATGGCTTAGAGACCATATGAAACCCCCCCCCCCCCCGCCGCCCACAAGCATCTTTAGGTTGCAATCCTATACATAGTCACCTCAGAGTAAGCTCAGTGAGACCCACTTTTTATTAGACTTGTCTAGGATTGTGCTGCTGGCAACTTGTTTTCCAAATATTCTGATCCTTCATGCTTTGCACCTCTGTGCAGCTCTCAACAGCGCTTGTGGAATATATGACCAATATTAGCAAAGCATTTCAATTTGTGATGCTGCATGAATCCTGTTGGGCTGCTGGGTTTACTTTCCAAATCCAAGGAACAATTTCCATTATTGCTCTTATAGGTTATACAATTATGCAATGCCTGCTCAGTGAAGCAATCACAAAATTGATTTTTCCGAGCTCAGCCCATTGTATTTTTCTTTTGATTCTTTAATAAAATACTCCCAGCCACTCTCTAGGGCCACTGTTGGAATCATGGTAGATAGTGTGGTACCTACTAAAGCCCACGCCTTTTCTGGGGAATCACTCCCTCACACATACTGTCAGGATGAAACTGGTAGTCGCAAACCACAGGATTGCATCTCACTGACTTCCCTTCCACCCTCAGGTCTAGCCAGAGCCAAATCTGTCCCAACAAAAACATATTCCAATGAAGTGGTCACATTGTGGTATCGGCCTCCTGATGTCCTACTAGGATCCACAGAATACTCCACTCCCATTGACATGTGGTGAGCCAAGGGGTCTGTGTTTGGGAAAGGGTGGGTACAATAATTCTCTCCATTGTGACTTTTTTCTCCCAGTTTGCATTCTCCATATTGCTTCCGGGGCCTTTTCAGTGTTTAACGCTATTCAGGAGGAATGTGGGACCTAGTGCTTTACAGATGTTTGGCTGGATGCCAGCACTCATCATTCCTGACCATTGGTCATGCTGGCTGGGTCTGGTGGGAGTTGGGCTCCGGTATCATTTAAAGAGCTATAGGTTCCCCATCCCAGCTACAGACAGTTTCTCATGGCTTGTTCCTTCATGTTCCTGAAGTCCTTCTTTTCTCTACTGATTAGTTTAGTGGGAAAGGGTGGTGGGGGAAAGAAACAGTTCCTGCCTCTCATATTGTCTTCTACAAAACATCATGGTGGTCCTCCTGCTTTTTCTGCAGAGACTGAAGCAATGAGAGGAAGACTTGGCAGATAATAGGATGTTCTTGTATCTCTTTTTGCTCTGTGGTAGGGGTGTGGGTTGCATACACTACGAAATGGTCACAGGACGCCCCATGTTCCCAGGATCGACCGTGAAAGAAGAGCTGCATTTAATATTCAGGACACTGGGTGAGTCCTTTGTAATTCTCTATTTCTTTATGTGTACTGGGGAGGAGGGTGGAATGAATAGAAGAGTGCAGAAAAAAAAGTAGCCTTTAACAGAAGGGTTATTTGGCTGGTGATAGAATGCACGGCCCCAAAAACAAATCTGTCATTGATGTTTTCATAATTTAAATATGCATCCAAGGTTTTTATTTTGTTTTCTTCTGATTTTGTTTAAGAGCCAAGTGTGGTGTAGTGGTCAGAGTGTTGGACTAGGACCAGGGAGACCAGGGTTCAGATTTCCACTCAGCCATGAAGCTCACTGGATGACCTTGGTCAAATCACCTGACCAATCTCACAAGGTTGTCCTGGTGATAAAATGGGGAGGGAGAGAAGTATGTGAAATACCTTTAGCTCCTAGGATAAATGCCCCAAGTCTCAAGTTTCTTACCCATCATTTTCAGTTTAAAAGGGTCTGAGACAGCAGGGCTAGAGAAGCCCAGTCAGATTACACAACAGTGGGCTAAATAAGTTCAGTGACTCAGCATCAGGCATCCTCCTGTGTTCTAACAGCCCAACACTCCATTTGGTTTCTGAGTCTTTTAACAGCAAGTGTGTTTCTCAGTGTTCCTCTGCTGTGAAAAGGCTTTGTGTCTGTGGGTGGATGGATTTCCCTCCCTCTGTGTTCAGCTAAGGTTGAGTTTTTCATGATTCTAAATTCTAAATGCCATATATTGGATTCCATCTTGTGCAACGTTCCATGTGGATACAGTAAATGTGCAACTAAGCCTATTTCCTGCAGGAACCCCTACAGAAGAATCTTGGCCGGGCATCACATCCAATGAGGAATTCAAGGCATATAATTTCACACAGTATCGAGCCCAGCCATTGATAAACCATGCACCAAGGTAGGACAATGGCCTTAAAAGGCAGGGCAGACTTCTTAATGGGCTTCTGCTGCTGGAAAATACTAGGGGAAGGAAAGCACCAGTTCTTGTTTTTCACTGGATAAGCATGCACACAAAACAAGCAAGGGTGACTAAAGAATCTGTTAATTGTGTGGAATAGTATATCAATAATCTGCATTGCGATCAACATATGATCAACGGTTCTTCTTTTTCTCAGCATACACCATCCCCATCTCCTTTATTTTAGGGAAGTGGGGAGGTCCATGAAATCTTTGCCTGCATCCTCCTTTGTTTTGGTCTTTCTGGGGCTGCCACTAGGTGGCATCAGCATTCTGCAAGCAGCATCCATGTCCAACTTGTTGAGTTGCCTCTTCCCCAGTAAAGAACTTAAACTGCCAGCTGTGGACTAGTATTTTCTAGACGTTCCACAGCTTTTCTTCATATGTTCTGGTGTACACGTGTCCCAATTGACAATAGCCAATTGGCTGTAGAGTCTCCCAATCTCCTTTCTTCTCTTGCAGACTGGACACAGAAGGAATCGACCTTTTGATGAGTCTCCTCCTGGTAGGTGGCTTCAGTTGCTGAGCCAGATACCAAAGATTCCATCCAACATATACTTTGCTGCTGCAGCTGCTTATTGTCCGGGATGGTGGTGATGGCTAAGTACCAATTTTAGTGGTTCTCCCACTTAATGGCTTAACAGAGAGTATCTAGGTGCACAGGGCAGAACCTCCCAATGACAGCTGCAAATATTCTACTGAGGGAATTGTTTCAAGTGTCCATCTTCCTCTACGAGTCTTGATCTTTCTGACAAAGGGATCTTTGTGCCTGCTTCTTTTCAAGGGTATAAAAGGTTACATGGGGATGGTTTTTTAAAAGCTTTAAGATACAGATTATGTCCCCTTTCTTACCTCATACGGACAATGGCTTGGAGTGATAAATGAATGGTCACATCAAAGTGCAGATCTCTTTGCCAGTGTAAATAATAATATTTTTGATGATTTGTGAGAGAGATGTATTTACTTATTTGTTTGTTTATATGGCCATCTGTCATGGATGCTTTAGCTGAGATTCCTGCATTGCAGGGGGTTGGACTAGATGACCCTTTGGTCCCTTCCAACTCTAAGATTCTATAATACTTTTATACCATGAGATTAAGAATCTCATGGTCCTGGGTTTGAACCCTGCGTTGGGCAAAGTGATTCCTGCATTGCAGGGGCTTAGACTAGATGGCCCTCATTGCCCCTTCCAGCTCTATAATTTTTTGATGCTATTGTTGTGTCTCATTTTGCATTTAAAACCCAAATGAAAATCTATATATAGTTACATGTTTTATCACAAAATACAATGTGTTTTCTCTCAATGTACACATTTCTAAGTGAATTGCATACTAAATTGGTGTGCATTTTGCGGTGCATTTTTTTGGGCATGGAATCATACTCCAAAATTTGAGCAGGTGCAGAATCATATTCACACACTCAAATGAGCACCTGGGCCCAAGAAGTAAATGCTCGTACTTGCCTGTACATGGACACTTATGTCTAATCATATTTTGATCCATGTATTGTCCTTAGCTTAAAATGAGGCTGATTAGCTTTAAAATGCTGACAGAACTAAATTCTCCTCCCCCTCCAGGTGAGAAACAAACCCCATTGGTAAGCAAAAGCCAAGGAAATACTACAGTCATTGCCAGGAAAATTCATAGCACAGAGACCTGGAAATAGTTGGGCAGCCCAGACCTCATCAAGTTAAAAAACAGAAGACCCTGATCAAACCCATCAGACCATTTAAATTACCCCAAACTGGCTAGCGCCACTGAATCAGTTTCAGAGGCTCCCTCTGGGAGACAGGGAGCTGCCTGGTGTTATGATTGCTGGATCCGTCAGATATCTAACTTCGCTGCCCACCCACAAGTTAGTTGTGGGGGGAGCCTACTGAGGGCACCCTGCCCTAGCCACCCTAGGGTCAGGCACTCACAGATCAAAACTATGTCAATACCTGTTATCTGTTCGGTATGACTTACTGCCACTTCACAGACACAGAAATGACCAAAGTGGAAATTAGTATGTAAGCCAGTCCTCAGAAAAGGATTTGCTCAAGGAAATGCAAGATGTCTGGTCATAATGGGGAACTGAGACAATGGTTCCTCCATTCTTGACCTGAACTTTGATCTTTCCAAGCTTCCGTAATCGAAATCAATGAAAGTCTAGAGCATTGTTGATTGTTCTGGAGGCTTGGCCCTCCCTCTCCTGCCAAGATTCTTTTGCTCCTGTTCAAGCTCTCCTAGGAGAGACATTGTTTTGTTCTGCAGCAGCTGCTTGACCTATCCCAGCTGAGCCAAAACTAAAGTACAAAACGTAGAGTTCCTCAGGTACAATTGCATTTATCTTGGTCAGTGGGATATGAAGTGGCAGGGAATATTTCACTCAGGTTTGGCCTTGAAAGCCAAGGAAGCTTTCTCCTCCCCTGCTCAACTTCGATTACTTGCTTTCCTGTATGTGCATATTTCAAAGGGGAAGCCTGCATCATCACCTATTCTTTCCATAATCATTGAGACCATTAAAGTTCAGTCATTCTTTCCAGGTGCATTATAGCTACACACAATGATAATGCAAACTCTACACTGAAGATCATATTTATCCTTCAAGGAGCTTACGATTGTAATCTTCTGCACACTTGCCTGGGAATAAGCCCCACTGAACGCAATAGATCTTGCTTCTGAGTCTGCATGCATATGGCTGTGCTTTAAAGGAATGTTGTATAGCATCAGAACAGCCTTGCAAAGCAGGGTAGGCTGAAAGAAGTGGACTTGTCCGAGATCACCCAATGCTTCCCACTTGCTTCACTATGCTGTCTCTGTGTACAGGCAGGAAAGTATAACTGCCACATAACAAGAAATGCCGCATATTATCCAGAAAGATAGGATGTGGCTGCATGCAGCCTGAGCAGCAAAAAGAAAACATGCACGGCACAGCTGCACAGGGGAGTTGAGTATTTTGCTGAATCAGTTGACCTCCATGAGCCACATGGCACCCATACTGAGCTGCACAGGAATGTAGGAGGGTTCAGGAATCAGGCATGCCTGCATACATACTCACACACTCAAATAAGCACCTGGGCACATGAGATAAATGCCCATACTTGCATACATATGGACACTTATGTGTAAACCTTTCTGCCTCTCTCTTTTCCTAGTATGAAGCCAAAAGACGCATTTCTGCAGAATCTGCCCTGCGGCACCCTTACTTTACAGCACTCGGTGAACAAGTGCACCTCCTTCCTGAGAGTAAGTGTGTGACCACTGCTGCATGGAGCAGCTTTATTCTTCTCCCCTGCTTTGACTGTGCAGGTGACTCACTAAATCTACCGTATTTTTCGCTCTATAAGACACACTTTTTCCCCTCCAAAAATTAAGGGGAAGTGTGTCTGCGTCTTATGGAGCGAATGCAGGCTCCATGGCTTCAGCGATAGCAACGCAAAGCCTCTGAAGCGCAGTGGGAGCGTTCCCGCCGCGCTCCAGAGGCTTCGCGTTGCTTTTGCTGAAGCCTGGAGAGCGAGAGGGGTCGGTGCGCACCGATCCCTCTCGCTCTCCTGGCTTTGCTTTGCTGGAGAGGCGCTGCACAGCTTCCCTCTCTGCGCAGCACCCCTTCAGCGAAGCAGGAGGAGAAATGGAAGGGGCTCCATTTCTCCTGCCGCTTCGCTGAAGGGGCGCTGCGAAGAGAGGGAGAGAATTTTTTTTTTCTTGTTCTCCCCCTCTAAAACAAGGTGCGTCCTATGGTCGGGTGCGTTCTATAGAGCGAAAAATACGCTAGTTCAAGGAGCACAGCGTGTTTTCCTTATTGCTGGCTTTAAAAAAGGGGGATGGGGAGTTTGAGTGCAAGGAGAGAGATAGTTCCCAGAAAAGGAACTGCTGCCGGGATGAACCACCTCTGACAGATTTGGTAAAACCTAGTACAGTGTTCTCTTTGCACAGACTTGGAAAGATTAGAAGCAGTTCTAAGAGAGTCATACAGCATCAAGGACTTTACTGGAAACCTAAGGCTTATACTGAGACCTTTATTCCCTTCCCAACTCCCACACACACTGGTATACCAGACAGACATTTCATATCTCTCCTGCAATCCTTGTTTTCTGTAATATAAAAATGGAGCTGGTGGCTGCTCTCCTATACACACTTACCTGAGAGCAATTCCTATTAAACCTAGTGGTCCTTGCTTCTAAGTAAATCTGCATAGGATCAGAATGGCAAGTGAACTGTGAGCAATACAGTGCATACCCTCTGCCCTTCATCTTCAACTAGGGGCACCTCTTCCTGTCTCTATGCTTCTGTCTCAGTTCTCCACAGAAATTGTAATTTTGAGGTAATTCTCATCCCCTCTGTCCTCGTCTCCTCATCCACCCTTTTCCTCCAGCTACCTCCATCTTTTCTCTGAAAGAAATACAACTTCAAAAGGACCCTGGCTATCGAGGCTCAAGCTTCCAGCATTCTGGTAGGTACCTGATGCTTTTTTGGTCTTATTTTCTTGTGGGGTGGGAGACGAGCGAGTTTCAGGGCCTTTCAGAAACATGTTGTCTTCTGTGCCACTGCGCCACTCAGTCATAAGTCTCTCAAGTGCAAAGCAGCCATGTTGCAACTTGATCTCATAGCACACTTCTCCGTGTGTGCTAAAGCATTATTGAAGCCTGATTTTGCTGCCACCAAGTTATAGCCATTGCAACCCAAAGTCCATCTTGTAAGTTCCCTGGTGTAGTTAGCAAAATGAAAAGGGGGAGGGTCATGTCCATCTAATCTTTTGCCCTGCTAGTAGTAGAATCCCAGTAGGCCAAACTGCCTTCCCACTTGTTCTTATGACATTCCCTGGACCAAAGATCTGACAGTGCTTCTTCACAATAGACAATCCCACTCATATGTACACCTTGAATGGGAAGCTTTTAATGTTCCTGTCCCTGTTAAACGTATCGTGCTGTGTGCACTTGCCCATTCTCCAAGTCCATTTGTTCTGAATGTAGCCTTAGGTACGGTGACAAAGTTGATCTATAAGCATTATTCAGGTTCCTGGGCTCTATTGGCTGGCTGTCCTTTTCAAAGACTGTTTGAAATACATATTTTAACTATTATTATTATTATTACTACTACTACTACTACTACTACATCCCACCTTTCCTGCAAGAGGCTCAAGGTGCTGGTGTACATGGTTCCTGCCCTCCCCCTCTTATTTTATCCTCACAACAAGGCATGAAGCCAGTGAGCCAGTATTTGAAGTATTAGCTAGCGGGCAGCACAGCATGCCTAACTGCTTCTGAACGATAAACTTCAATAAACCTTACAATGTCCAGAGCCGCTCTCTGGCACTTGTTGTGACTGCTGTGATAATTTAAATCATTATAAACCTTTAGAGGCTGAGGAAGAAGGGACTGAGCAGCTTTCTCTCTCACGCATTCCCTGTCTTATCCAAATATCCATCTTCACACGGCACCCTTCCTCACGTGCAATTCAGCATGATGCCCACACTTGAGGGTTCTGTGAGAACAAAAGAACTGCACAAATCAAAGAGGAAAGCCAGAAGTTTCAAATTTGGGTATTAGGATACATTGTGCAAATGTAGATTTTTTTTCGCATTTATATGATTTATGGGATCGTGACTTCAGATTTTGCCTCACCTTGGCATAGAAGCTGTCAGCTCCCCCCCCCCATCCTTTTCCCATGCTAGAGATTGTTAGAAAAAAATGTTAATCAAATACTGTATACATTTCTGGTTACTGTGTCTCTAAAAGGATATTGTGGAGCTAGAAAAGGAACAGAAAGGGTCTTGTGCTCTTAAGTTCCTCGGGATTTAAAAGGGCACCTTGATCTGCCCTTCCCCCTGGAACATGTACCCCTAACGAGAGGAAGCTGCCTTATACTAAATCAGAGAATTGATCCATCTAGCTCGACTGCTTCAATTTGCAGAATTGGCACTACTGCAGGTGCCACATAATACTCATTCCGCATTAGTAAGAACTCAATCATTTAGTGCAGGCATAGGCAAACTCGGTCCTCCAGATGTTTTGAGACTGCAATTCCCATCACCTGACCACTGGTCCTGTTAGCTAGGGATAATGGGAGATGTAGTCCCAAAACATCTGGAGGGCCGAGTTTGCCTATGCCTGGTTTGTTGTTGTTTAGTCGTTTAGTTGTGTCCGACTCTTTGTGACCCCATGGACCAGAGCACGCAAGGCACTTCTGTCTTCCACTGCCTCCCGCAGTTTGGTCAAACCCATGCTGGTAGCTTCGAGAACACTGTCCAACCATCTCGTCCTCTGTCGTCCCCTTCTACTTGTGCCCTCAAGCAGGCACCTTCACTGTATTCTTTTCAGTGCCTGCTAAATATATTCTTGTTTAGACAAGCCTTCCTAGATGCTTAGAAATGCTGGAGTGACTTTTAATCTATTTTAGTATATTTTAACTGTTGTATGTTTTAAAGAATGACTGCAATTTTTTCTTGATTCCTTTTTTTTTCTGTTTGTAAACTTCTTTGAAGGTTGTTGTTTTTTACAATCAAGCGATGCATAAATTTTAAGAAATAAATGAATGAATAGCTCAGCATTGCCTACACTGACTGGCAGCAGCTCTCCAGGTTTTCAGACAGGATTTTCTCCCAGTTCTACCTTGGGCTCTCCTGCATGCAAAGTCCTGTGGAACTACAGCTCCAAGCCGTGTGGGAAATCTGTGGCAGAGAAGAAATTGCATTCTGAGTTCCACCTTAGCCACTTCCAGTGATGCTCAGTATCTTGAGCATGAATCCTCCTCTAAAACTGGAGAAATGTAATGAACAAGGCAACCTTTAGGAATCATCACATCCCTGTGATGATGTGGCTCTGTGAACAATGAAGCTCTTGATTGCTGAAGTGTCACAGACAGTCCATTATGGGCAAAAGCTCAGGGGACAAAAGATTCCCTGCGAAGGTAGCCTGTGTGTTTGAACTGGTAGTTCTGGTGTATGGTTTGGAAATTGCACTTACATCACCTTCTGTGCAAAGGGATCGAGCTACTTTATGTTATAATTATCCCTCAAAATGTGAGTCAATGGACAACTGGAGATAAAACTGGGCTTGGGAAGCTGTTTCAGTGACCGAACCCCAATATTGTGCCAGAGATCCCTGTGCAGAGGCTTTGTCCTTGCGTGCCCCAGTTTCCCATAAGTTGCCACCCTGTTCTGTGGAGGAAAACTCCTCTTTGAAATACCCTTTGCTGTGTAATCTTCCAAGGAACAGGCTTTGACCCATCATTCTCAGACCTTTTTAACATTTCTCATTTCCCCCCAGCTCGAGGAAAGAACAGGAGGCAGAGCATATTTTAAACCTGGTTTAACTCATTCATTGCATCACTGGGGAGATCAAAGCACTGAGAGGGGAGAGGACCACGCAGATCCCATGGAGGCCACGCTCAGAATGATGAAGGCCGGTATCGACACAACCAAAGCTGCCCTGCATTACAAAGCTGCTGCATGACTGCTTTTCAGGATACCACAAATTTCAGCAGTCCCCCACCCACAACACCCCAAAAAGACCTGGTGCCTGGCCCAGCCCCCATCCATCACACAGCAATTGGCATAATCCTACTCTCTGGATGAGGATCAAGCAATTAACTGCCCCAAGTACGCTTGCTGCTGCTTTAGAGGGAAGCAACATGGAGGTAGCAAACCAGGGCCAAGATCTCGCTGCAGAATCAACACCTGCTTTGCTTCTTAGATGACGTGTCATGATGAATGTGCAGAATTCCATTCTTTGTTTCTCCCCCCACCCCCATCACCAGGCGACTCCTAGGACAACATGATGAGTATGATGTTAACAGCAGGAAAGCCCTTTGATCCACTTTTATGCAGAGTTCTCTGGCTTTGAACTGAAAAGGAAACCTGTTTTCTTTTGAGTTGCTTCTGCTCTCTTTATCGGGAATGAATCTCAATTCCAAATGGTGCAAACATTTAAGAGAGAGGATGGGAGTGGGGAGGCCTTTTGCTGGATTTTCTTTGCCCTCTCGCTCCCTGCCTCATTCTGTTTCCCAGTGTTTGTTTTCTGAACTGAAGCTGCTATACAAGGAATCGTGATTTCTTAGATTTCTACCCAGTGTTTCTGAGAATCTCTCTGTAGCTCGTCCTGAGAATCATTCATCAGAAACCTAAATGAATAGGTGCACTTTCGCTACAAAAGAGATCCAGGATCCCAATAATTCAGGAATTGCAGAAACAGCTGAGTCCCTATAAAATGTGTCTCGGTAAACTGTGAAAGAACTCAAGACATCCTTCCACTTGCTATTCCAAGTTTCTTTTGTGGATTCTGCCTTTGTGACCAGAGTTCAAAGATGTTCTGTCCCCTTACTTTTTTGCCCATATCACCAGGGAAAGAAACCTTATTTAATAACCAGTAAATGTTTTCAAAGACCCTGGACACACATGCACACAAACTGAAATCCATGCATGTTTACTCAGAAGTATATCCTGTTATATCAGTAGGGCTTACTTCCAGGTAAGTGTGCAAAGGCCTGCAGCCATATGAACCCAGTGAAATCTATAGGACCTAAGTGTGCTCTTAGGTTCCAGGGCAGGCAGTTTGTTTTTGCTGCATCAGCAGCAGTTGCTATTCAGGCAAGTCAAACAAGGCTCTTTGGGGAACATGTCTCCAAAAGGGCAGGCCAGTTCTGATAATGTCTTGATTGTGAACTTTAAAAAACAGAATCTGAACTTCTGTCACTTTTCCTGTATTGGTCTATTTTTATTTCAACCGTCAGCTAGCCACCAGCGCGGTATGTGTATGGACAGAAATGTCATGAGAAAATAGCACATTCTTATAATCAGATATGGTTTCTTGCCTGCCTGTTCTGAGGTCTTATCCTGATTATAAGATTCAATCGGTACAGCCTCATGAGAGAAATAACCCCTCAGGGTTCCAGTCACTAAAGGGAGACATTTGACTGAGTGATATTTCTGAATACTGGCAGAACTATACAGGCATCTGTATGGTGCAGTAAATCAAGCACACAGCTGGACTTACCAAGAAAAAGATCCCATAAGGAGCACCAAGTGAACTGCCTCCTCTCTTTATCTCTCTGATTTTTCTTTTTTCAAATAAACTCTTGGCCAGGCAGGGTTTAGAGACAGAGATGGTGGCATTGCTGCCCTTTAAGTTGAAAACTTAGGTAAATAAGTTAGCTTTGTAGTTCCCCTTCTTGAGGCGAGGTGTTTGGGACCAGGAAAGATTTTACTGCAAATATTGCATGTATTTCTATCCAAGGCAAATAATTGGGTGTCTAATACAAATCAATATGTGAAATTCACCCTCTTCCCTCCTCCTGCTTTTTACCCAGCGATGCTGCAGGGACAGTGGAATCTACAACTGACAGAATTCCCCTTCTCTGCAACTCTTAAGGGCATGACTGGGTCTGGACTCAAGATGGAGTGATCCTATGACCTCTTGACATCTTGAGCCCTTCAGACTTTCCTTGCCTGTCCACTCCTTCCTGATCATAATGCACAACCCTTCCTGCTGCGCTCTGTGTGATGTTTTACCCCAGACTTTCTTTTCTTATCCTATCTTCATGCTGTGTCACCTGCAGCTCTTGTTTCCTCAAGCCACTGCTTTTCAATTCACTTCCTGCTTTCATCCATTTGCTTTAACTATCCTTTCTCTTGGCCTACCTGTGCTGCATTCCTCATAACAGAGCTCCCTGATAGTGGCTACCTTTGGGTTCATTCAAAATCCCTCTTGCAAGAAGCTGCTTGGTTTCTTGTTTCTTTTCCTCAGGCCTCCTTAATCCCTTCAAGTTCCTGTTTCTCAGTTCACAGGCTCCTTTGTACCCTTCCTTTAACCACCTTGCCTCTGGATCCTCTGTTGTTTAAGCTTCCCTACCTCCTGGAGCTTTGCACTGGACTGCAAAGTTGTTCCTATCTCTCCAGTTTCCATTCAGCCTTAATCTTCAGCCAGACTGCAAGTTGAACAGAAAATATTCTGACAACTTTAGTTTCCTGAACCTGCAGATAAACACATTTTACATTGACACACCATTTCAGCCAAACAGTTTGGAACAAATAGGGCCTCTCAAAATAAGGTAGTCCCGGCATATTCAGAGGATGCTTATGTGTGCCAAAGTATTTTCATCTGTAGATTAAGAGGTAAATAAATGTTTAGAAGAAGTTTGACAGCCTGTCAAGGAGCTATGCACATGGACCTCCAAGATCTATGGACTGCAGAGGGCAGCTGGGCCAGGTAATGTTGAGTGTGTCAGTTGAAGTGGGAAAAGAAAAATGGGCAGAAGGATTTGCCTGCTTGAGTTTCTTAAGAATATTATTGGGGTGGGAGGAGGCTAGGGTTAACTGGATGCATCCCATAAGTTAAAAAAACCCAGCCTCCTCAACATGCTGTATTTTTCTTTCTCACTTTCTTACTCACACTCAGATTCAGGACTGGCACCAGCCTCAAAACTCCATCCTTAAAGCTCTGTCTTCAAAGTTTTCAGGAGGATGGCACTCTACCAACCCTGAACAGTACTACAGTGGTCCTGTTCCAACCTAGAACAGGCCCTTTCCCCACCATGATGTTTTGTTACAGGTGCCTTGTAGATTTTGCAAGAGTCAACTGTAACTGGAGGCAGGGAATGTGCATTTCAGCATGCAGACTGTGTTGGGATACTGCCAGGGAGACAGAGTCCATCATGGTTCCACGTCGCCTCCGGACGATCCATCGATCTCCCGTAGATACAGTATCAGTCAATTAGCGACACGAAGCTTCAGAAATAGCTTTCCACATTCCAGAGCTCGTGCACGCTCTATCAGCAGAGTTCGCACAACGAAAGATGCACTCAGGAGGGCATATTTACAACTTTATTCAGCGTTGGTCAGAACAAAGAAAAAAACATGACTGCCTGCTTCGATGTCTCAGGCACAGAGAGAAAACGAAAGCATAGACACAACAGAAACATCCTGTGAACAGGAAATACGCAGACTCTGTGACTCACAAAGCCTGCTCCCTTTTAAGGTGGAACGGAAATATCCTAACAGACTGTGCTCTTAGAGATGCAGATTTCCATTTCTGAGTCAGGTCCTGCTGTTGCTTCCACAGGAAAACATCGTGTGAGGCCCACTCATTTTGGTGGTGCTTCTTTATTAGTACCTCAGAGGTCGGATTATATATCAGGCCTTATGACTACATATACATTTACATTTCAGAACTCTTTACATGCTTCTGTTTCTAAGTCTCAGGCTTCAGTCTTGTACTTGCTTACGTGAGAGTAAGCCCCATTGAACTCAGTGGGATTCATTTCTGAATAGACATGTGTAGGGTTGCCCTATTAGTGTGGTGCAGGAAAAAGCAAAGCACTTCTCTAATCAATGGAAATAAATAACCAAGCACAGCTCACCAGCTTATCTCTTCACCATATGCAAATGAAGCAAAGTTTGAATGTTTTTGTGAAGTCGGGTTATTAGACTAATAACATATGTCCCAATAAACACTCTGGTGAGCTGAGCTTATAATGGTATTGTTTACCTCATTCCATGCTCAGATTGGGTGCTTCAAATAATTGACTGCATGCGAATGCTTAATAGTCACTTAGTATTGACTGAGCTTCTCTGGCTATAGTGGCTCAACTGACAGTCCTATTTATGAGTTAACAGCTCAGCTGCCTGTTTGATCCTTAGATGAAATTGCTCCCACAAGACACCGACTAAGCAAAGCATTTAATCGCATGCTAATGCTTAGCACCTAGGTTGCCTTATGGAGATCAATATGCTAAGAATTCGGCTTGTGCCTAAGTACCTTGGTAGCTTGCTGTAATAAATCTCTTCCAAGGTAATAGGATGATAATCCATATTTCTGCTTTAAAATAATGGGTTGGGGGCATATGCCCCTTTCCGTAAAACTTACAAATAGATTTGTACACCCAAAAGCTGCCTTTGGTTTTTATCTCGTCCTTACACACTAAAGCTTGATTCCTGTAATTCACTTGTAGGGCAATCCTAAGCAACCTTACTCACAATGAAGTCCCAATGAGTTCAGTTTTGCTTCATCCCTATTGGGTTTGTATTTAGGATTGCAGCATACGAACAGATATTTTGGCATAGTGGGGCTCACTTCTGAGTAAACGTGTGTAGCATGTTAACCATCTTGAGTCCAAATTTTTGGAGATTCTAGCTTCTTCACTTTTATTATTATTCTCCCTTGGTGTTTGAAAGTCCCATTCAGGAATCTGGCAGGATTTTCTGCCTCCCCTCAGGTGGTGGCTCAACATGGAGTTCTGAGCACCTGAAGCAAAATAAACTCTATATAAATTCAAAGCCTGCTGATGTCATACTGGAGGAGGGGAGGCATCAACATAATCATACTATCAGAAACTCTAACAAAGGGTTCCAGACCTAAACAAATATACACACCTGTGAAAAAGCATCAGCTTTAATACAACACTTCCCTAGAGAGAGATAAGAGCAGTGTAACATACACCTATCCTTTTGGGGCTGATGGAGGGGATAACAAAATTAATGTAGTGCAGTGTCTATTGGGGCCAAAGTCAAAGTAGTACAGTATTCCCCAACCATAGAATTGTAGAGTTGGAAGGGACCCTGAGGATCATCTAGTTCATGCTTCCTCAACCTCGGCCCTCCCTCCCAACTAGCAGGACCAGTGGTCAGGGATAATGGGAATTGTAGTCTCAAAACATCTGGAGGGCCAAGGTTGAGGAAGCCTGATCTAGTTCAACTAATCTCAACTAAATCATCCATGACAGACAGCCATCCAACCTCTGCCTAAAAACCTCCAATGAAGAAGAGTCCACAACCTCCCAAGGGAGTCTGTTCCACTGTCAAACAGCTCTTGCTGTCAGAAAGTTCTTCCTAATGTTTAGTCGGAATCTCCTTTCTTGTAAGGAGTAGCAGTCAGTGCCACCCGGGTGAAATCAGTACATCCCTCTTGACTTCTTTGAGTGTCTTCATCTACACATTTCCTAATGGCTTTGAACAAAATCCCAGAGCTTGCTTAATTGAGACTATGAAAGCGACTCTCATCTTGACCCAGCGATTTCATTGCACATGTACACCAGCAGCTTTCTAGTGCTGTTCCATAATTCTTATTCACTTCAGTGGGATTTTCCTGTGAAAAGAATCCCAGTGTCCTCAGTTTAAATGCCCACAGAACCTCAGCAGAACTTAATGCAGTCTCATTGCAACTGATGCATGTAACCACCTCCTACAAAACCTGACCTAAGGGATACTATAACTGTGTCTGCAAAGTCCTTGAACAGCAGGGAAAGGTTATCCTGGCATGTATATGCAATGATGCAAAAAGCTCCTGCTGAACTTCCTTTTGCCAGTCTGCTGTTAAAGATCTAGGAGTTTTGCTGCGGGGGGAGGGGACGCTGGCAATCCTACATAAAACTTGAAGGTACTGTATGTAGTTTTTCTGCAAGAGTGCAAATGTGTGTCACGATTCAGCAGAGGGAGTAATACACAATTCTCTTTTGTTTCTACTGACCAAAAAAGAGAGAAAAGAAACAAAACAATGCACTGTAAAACATGTAGAAGTTAAAATCACATGCTTTAAAAGTTCAGTATTCACAACTAACAAAGAATCCGTTTAAACTGCATGGTGATTCATAGCTACGGACATTACATCTTATTCAGAATGTTCTTCAATCAACAATAAATTAATAAAAGATATCTATCTTTAAGCATCCTAGATGTTGGTGCTGACCTTTAAAGCCCTAAACAGCCTCGGCCCAGTGTACCTGAAGGAGCGTCTCCACCGGCATCATTCAACCCTGACACTGAGGTCCAGTGCCAAGGGCCTTCTGGCGGTTCCCTCACTGTGAGAAGCAAAAGTTACAGGGAACCAGGCAGAGGGCCTTCTTGGTGGTGGCGCCCACCCTATGGAACGCCCTCCCATCAGATGTCAAAGAAATAAACTACTATTTGACGTTTAGAAGATATCTGAAGGCAGCCCTGTTTAGTGGTGTTTTAATGTATTTTTAATCTTTTCTTGGAAGCCACCCAGAGTGTCTGGGGAAACCCAACCAGATGAGCAGGGTATAAATAATAAATTATTATTATAGCTGTTTTGCACATTCACATGCCCAACTTTTCTATTCAAATTTTGCTTCAGCCTCACTCTCTGCAATTCTTGCATGGCCAAAACTTTGAGTGACCATGGATTTGGGGCAGCTGGTCCAATAAATTTTGCTACTTGTGGGAGAGCAGCAGAAAAGGTGTTCGACCTCCCTGGCTGTAAAAATACAACAAAAAGTAAATGTAAAAACCTAACAATTTTCTGCTCTTTCATGACGTCCCAAGTCTGCTACCTGAGGCAGCTGCCTCACTCTGCCCAACACCAGTGTTGGCCTCAGGAGACCTGGACAATGGTGGCTAACAAGTGATTTAATATATCAGCAGGTTCTGTTTGATGCAAGACCTGTAAAGGGAAGCAGGAGCATGTGCCGGCATTGTGTAGCATGGAATGTGGCCATTCTGTAACTCCACCGAGTACATGGTGAGCTACAGCATGCTGTAATAGAGAACCAGTACAATCTAAATCTTGCCATTCCTATTAACATAAATCCTTCACCTCTTGGCTTTGTTAGTACAGAGCAGATCCAGGGTCTGAAATGCAAGGAAATGTCTGAGCAAAAGACCAGAGCTGAAAAGTGGTTTCCTATGGCTATTAGGGAGAGCGGAATTAGGAACCTTCTCTGAAGCTGGAAGCCTGTTCCTGTAACTTGTTCCTCTGCCTACTATTGAATAATTTAGCCAGGTTTCCCCCACAGCTCCTTCCTGAAGGGTTTCTCATTGTCAGGACGCTGTTATTTATTAGGTCATGTCTGGCTATCTGTGTGAGTTTGAGATAACCGCTTTTGTTCCAGTGCAGTTCAATGGCTCTTTACTCCTATTCAGCTAAGTGATAATTGTGTGCAAATATTTGGCTCTAGGCTGTGTGAGCCTTGATTTATAATCCTGCTTTGCTTGCCCACTCATGTGGCTTGGCAGACTCTGTTCCAGTCGGTGGCTGTGTTTGTTTGTGTTCAGACGCACACACTGCTTGTATGACTTTTCCGTTTCCCTTGTGTCTGAGTAAGCACTTGCAAGTCAGTAAGTCTGCATAGGTATCATTCTAGCAGAGGCAGTAACAACACTGGCATGTTCCCTTTTGTAAAGTCACCTAGTCCCTCTGATTGTTTATACGCACTATCTCTATTCTCTTCACTGGAGATGACCAGACTGTTATTAGAGCACAGTGGTAAGTGGCTGCCCTAATTATTTTGAGACATTTGACTCCTCTGTATACACTACCTGTGTCCACTGCAAAGGAATCCAGCTACTTGGGCAACTTGTGGTTCTTCAGGTGTTGTTGATCTCCAACTTCCACCAGCCCCGGGCAGTATGGCCAATGGTCAGGGGTGATGGCACTTGTAGACCAGCAATGTCTGGAGGGTCAAAGCAGCCCCAGCCCTGAGCTGCAGTCCTATACATATTTTCTCTCTCTCTCCCTCTCTCTCTCTATATATACAGTCATACCTCGGGTTGAAATAGCTTCGGGATGAATATTTTCGGGTTGCACTCCACGGTGACCCAGAAGTAACGGAGCGTGTTACTTCCGGGTTTCGCTGCTCGCGCATGCGCAGACACTCAAAATGATGTCATGTGTGGAAGTGGCGAATCGTGACCCGCGGATGTGGGTTGCGTTCACTTCAGGATGCAAACGGGGCTCCGGAACAGATTCCGTTTGCATCCAGAGGTACCACTGTGTGTGTGTGTGTGTGTGTATATATATATATATATATATATATATATATATATATATGGAGTAATGCCAATTTTTCCTTTCCTTTCTTCATCCTGAAGAATTCAGTTCCTAATACTATATTGATTCAACAAAAAAAACCATAATCTGAGGGAGCTAGATGGGACCCATTTTCTAACACAAAGCTTTGCCTTCTCCACCTTCAGCCTGAAATCTTGTACTCATACCTGGGAGTAAGACCTGTTGAACTCAAAGGGGCTTACTTCTGAGTTGACATGCATGGGATTACGTGACCAACTACTTTGCCTTCTCAGATCTTGGCAAAAACTTGAAGCGGGAAAAATACATTATTAATGCATAATTGAAATTTTTGATTATGTTATGATTACATTTAAATCCTCCAGGGAACTCAAAGTTGCATGCATAGCTCCCTCTCTGCAGAGAGCTAGTGCACTGTGATGGTTAGAGTGTTGAACTATGACCTGGGAGACCAGGGTTCAAATCTCCAATCTGTCAACTATTCTGCTTCTCATGGGGTTGTTCTGAGGATGAATTTGTTTGTTTTGTTTATTACATTTATATTTCACCTTTTCTCTGAAGAGCTCAAGGTGGAGGTACATACTTTTCCTCTCCCCTTTTACCCCCACAACAACCTTGCAAGGTAGGTTAGGCTGAGAGTAAGTGACTGGCCCAAGGTCACCCAGTGAGCCTCATGGCTGTGACTGAGAGGGGATTTGAACTCCGTTCTCTTGAGTCCTAGTCCAACAATTTAACCGTAATGCTATGCTGACTCTCTCCCTTTCCTCCAGCATATACTGGGAAACTGTTGCATATTTTCTCCACCCCATCACTTCATTTCATCCCTCTCTCTCCCTCCCTCTTTCTCTCTCTCTCCCTCTCTCCCTCTCATGCATTGCTTTCACTTTAAAAGCAAAACAAGACTGTGTTAGAACATGACCTTGAGGTGTGCTTTTTTATTTAAAAAAATTGTTTACTTATTTAATTTAACACAGATGTGGCAGTACAGGCAAGCAGGCAAATATCATGTGTTTCCAGCAGGTGCTAAGATCAGCTGATGGCAGGTTAGGAGCACAGGGCCCTGCAATGTCATGTTTTGAAGGTCCCCTTTGAATACGCTTTCACTGTCCAACTCAGGCTCACTGGCGCCTGCCTCACGCTCTCTTTCTGAGCCCCAGCCTGTGGTCCTGCTTTCATAATTGCTGAGACATGGGATGGCTTCGCTTTTGGTCCTTTTCCTGCCCTTGTCTGGTTATGGGTATGAATCCACGTGGCCCATTTACACTACATACTGGGTTTAAGTACAAAATCAGTACACCGTACTTCATGTGCACCGTACTTTTCTTGATGAGGCCAGGATGTGAAACAGATGAGGCTTTGGAAACCAATAGCCACAGGCCGATGCCTGAACCATACTGCTCTGGCTGTGCCTGTATCTACCTTAGTTCCTGTGTTGTAGAGTAATATGTGGAATGTGCCCAGATGCTCCCTTTCTTGTCTCTTGCTTACTGGTGCCCTGCAGCAAAGAGGCCCAAATGTAGCCCTGAGGTCAGAAACGCCTCCTTTGGTTTCTGCCTCAGCCTCCACATAAAGTAGAGGAGGAAACATGTGTATTCAAGACGGCACAATATATCCTACTGTGAACATTCTCTCGTGCGATTCATACTGAAAATACAGATAATATATTTAAGTGTATTGTTATTGTACAAACAAAAGATATGTTTAAAGGGGAGGTGATTGTATAAGATTTATTCCAAGTGAAGCAATGATGTTTTTAACGGAGAGTTTTGGAATAAATGGAAAAGTTACCAATATAAAAACTGTGTTCATTTATCAGCGCAGTGTCTGAGTGTTTTATAAAGAATGGGTGGGTGTGGGCGTTTTGTATTGCAGACGTGACATGGATTATTGTGAATGTTGATCATTTTCTCACAGAGGCTTGTACTGCAAATATATCATAAATGCTACAAACACTGGAAATAAACTTTGCTGAGTACCAGGTTGTTCTGATCAGAGATTTTATTTTGGAAAATAGAAAGATGAAAAGCCAATCTCCGTGTTGTTTTTTGCTTTAAACTGCAAAGGCTGGCTGTTCCAAATCCCTCCCACCTGGTGTAGATAGAATCATTTTTAAAAGGAAGGTGCATTTTATGATAATAGAACAGTTGCACAGCTTAAATTTGTTGTTGTTTAGTCGTGTCCAACTCTTCGTGACCCCATGGACCAGAGCATGGCAGGCACTCCTGTCTTCCACTGCCTCCTGCAGTTTGGTTAAACTCATGTTGGTAGCTTAAATTAAATTGACAGTTTAATGTATTTCTTTATGGTAATTATATGCCACATTTCAGGACAAAGCCCTGTAAGTGGCTTACAGAAAAGTACAAAGAGACGTGTCTGATACACATTGATGACATCTGTATCATCTGGACTCATGGAAGGGAGGCATTTGAGCAGCTGCACAAGGATTTCAATAAGCCTTACTGCAATATTGACCTACGCCTAGAACAGCCCATATAAGAGAATCACATAATGAGCATGAAAACCACTACCTTATACAGGAAGCTATTCTACGCATCCTTACATGCTTCCAGCTCCCACCACAAAACCCACTGTCTCCAGCCAAGCCATAAAATGCAACCACATTTGTTCAGATTCACCAGCCAGTGATTCACAATGTAAGAATTCCTCAAAGTACAATACTTGCCGAGTAAATGGGGGGAAACAACAGATCAGCAAAGCAGGATTTGTACCCAGGAACCATCATCTACAGGACAGACAGACTTAACCACTTCAGCATATTAGTGATCTGCAACTTCTCTTGACCAATGACACTTTGCACAGGCCTTGGGTGGTAGGGCTATACAGTGGTACCTCTGGTTACGTACTTAATTCGTTCCAGAGGTCCATTCTTAACCTGGAACTGTTCTTAAGCTGAAGCACCACTTTAGCTAATGGGGCCTCCTGCTGCTGCCGCGCCACTGCTGCCCGATTTCTGTTCTCATCCTGAAGCAAAGTAATTAACCCAAGGTACTATTTCTGGGTTAGTGGAAGCGTATGTAACCTACAGCGCCTGTAACCCGAGGTACCACTGTACTTGCTTACTCTCTCTCTCTCTCTCTCTCTCTACTCAACAGCAACAACAGACCACACATAACAAAGATGCAGACACAGGGACCAGCCCCTGTGGCATGCCCAGATGCCAACACTGTCCCTGTATATGCTCTGGGAACATTATTACAAGAACTAATGCCATCCACAACATTGAGCTCATTCACCTGCTTGTCTTCCAATTTGATATCTGCCAGCAGTGCCTTTCTGAAGTCCATGTAGGAAAAACAGGCCAGTCTCTGTACCAGGAGTGGGGAACCTCCAGCCCACATGTATAATTAGGCCCAGCAGGCCATTTTGGCACAAGCCATGCCCACCTGCCATGCATCTGGTGTCAAGTGGCAGGCAAAAAGTTTGGCTGGCCTGGGTCAACAGGGTGCACCATGCAGGGCTCTCTGCAAGGGGCAAAAATGCTTTGGAGTCCCCCAATGGGCACCTTCAAAGCATTATGCAAGGCTCTGTTGCTCAAAGTTCCAGGTCACTTTATGTCATTGTGATGTCAAGTGCCGGACCTGTCAAAATTTACCCACTGGGCAAATCAAGTTCCACACACTTGCTGTACACAAGTGTGTACACAAAAGAATGACAATTTTTTAAAAAACTGAAGTAGCAATTTTTGAAAGCTAGAGGGAGAATATTTCAACCTCCCAGGGCACTCTGTGACATTAGAGTGACCTTCCTAAGGCAAAGGAGTTTCAATGGGAAACTATCACTTGTGGTCTGAAGCAAGAAACAGGGAATTTTAGCACATTAAACATGTTAACTGGCTTACCAAAACCAGGATGCCTTTGTTATCAACACCTGCTTTGTGAATTCCCAGTTAATTATGTTATTATCATTCTCTGCATTTTTCTGCAATTCACTTCCCTCTAATCCCACTGTTCACATTCCCCGCCCTAAAACACCAAACCCACCAGGTATACTTGCAATTTAGGAGGACTCTTCATGCATATGATGAAGTGGCCTGTAGTCCACCGAAGCTTATGCTGTTTGTGAGTCTTTATAGTGGAACAGGACTTGCATGCTTACCCCCCTGGGCGTATCCAGGAATTCTTTTGGGGGGGCAGCCAAAGTTCTTGAACTGCTTCTGTCGGGAGGGCAGGCTTCTGCTGGGGGTGGGACCTCAGATAATTGAGTAATTTCAATGCCTCTCAATAATCTTTGTGGATATTGAATATTTGTGAAAATCCCCTCCCCCGGCCTCCGCTAACCCATGGTTACCCCATGAAAGTAGTTACAATATAATTAGCTTCATAGGCAGAACAGAATAACAGTGTCATACACAGAAAAACAATCTCTCAAAGGACCTGTTGATGGCATTTTACCATTGTACTGTTGAGAGTGTATTAACTTATGGTCTGTATGTGTGGTTTGGGAGCTGCACAGTCAGGGAAAAAACAGTGCTGTCCAGGGTTGTAAAGACTGTGGAGAGAATAATTGGGTGCACTCTTCCCACCTTGGATCAAATCTATGCTTCCAGGTGCTATAAGAAAGCTGCAGAGATAGTGCAGGATAGTGCAAACCCTGGAAATGATCTCTTTCAGCTTCTGCCTTCTGGAAGAAGGTACAGGGTTATAAAGACTAGGACTAGCCGCCTGAGAAATAGTTTCTATCCAAATGCAATTTTGGTTTTAAACGCAGTGTAAGGAGTCTCTATGGGAGCATATTGTATTTTAAAAATGGGGTATCAGAGTTTTTAGGGGGCTAACCAGGTTGGGATAGCTGGGATAGCAGGCTTGTTGGTTTTGAATGTCTTATGTAGATTTTTTTCCCCAATTCCGTTGTTCTGTATGGGACAATGACAACAAAGATTATTGTATCGTATCGAGCAGGAACATTGTACTGTTTACAACTTGTTATGCTTCTATTCCTGTCCCCCTTCCTTTTGCCCATTGGCATGTGTAATCCAGAAAACCTGCACATCCCTTTAACATTTTTTAGTCACTTCTAGCCTCTTTGGTTCTCTCCCTTTCCCCCAAATGTCTCTGGGCCCCTCCTTCTCCTAGGCCTGCCTGTTGAAGACTCAACCTGCAGATAGGAAAGAAGGATTGCCAAAGGAATTGAGGGGAATACAGAGAAAGGCAGAGAAGCTCCCAGTTAACTCAAAATGTTTAACAGCTCTCTGGCTTGCAGCACAGCAGTAAGAATGTGTTTTGACTGATAGCCCCTTAAAAAATCTAAGCACTGTTCCGAAGTTAAGAAAAAAGAAACCTTGCCCACAGGCTCACAATCTAATAAAAAGAACCCCTATATATATTTGGGACAAGTTCGCTACCACTTACTTCCTGACATCCCTGCTGATGAACACCAATACAATCTTATAGATGCTGTGTGCCATCAACAGAGAAGAAACCAGTTTATTGGGCTTGCACTCACTCCATCATCTCTTGGTGTCATTATGCCTGCTATCCAAATACTGAAATAGGAACTAGCAACAGCTGTACTTGGCAATATGTTTCTCCTCTGAGACACTGCACAAGCCACAAGCCAATCACAAACTGGGCCCATCTGTTGGGAGACGCAGCTCAGCTCAGAAGAAGACTTGAAGCCCGGGAGAGAACCATGCAAGAGCAATAGGTGAAATACGAGCACTGCATGTTATTATGCAATGGTTGGAGTTGCCACCAAAACTAATTAAAACAAAGTGTGCAGTTTTGTCAAAAGCACCGCAGTGTTTCATGTTTACAGCGCTCTCATTGAATCTGCTGCATGAAGCGCACTAGTATTTTTGACATCAAACCAACAAGTATTAATGGATGCAAGTGGCTGAGATGGCTCAGTACTGTGTGAACCCCACACAAGGAGGACCCAGACTACATGCAATGCAACCCTAAGCATGTCAATTCATCAATGGAGATTGATGGATTGGATCCAGACTAAGCAAGGTCCCTTTGGGGGGGGAGACAAGGTGAAAAGTTGGCCACAGCTAACTTTAAAGTCCCATTGATTTCAATGGGAACAAACTAGCATAGTCTGGATCCAACCCAATGAAACTAACTCCCAGTATGTTTGCAGCCTTAGGCCCATCACTTTACCTGGTTTTAGAAGGCAAATCAGATTACCGGAATCAGAAAAGTGTTTTAAAATGGCCACAACATGGACACACATTTCTACAGCTGCTTGAAGAGCACCCCTGCCTCCCACATTTCAAGGTGGGAAAGACTGATGCTCAGTGGCAGAGCAAGTGCCTTTCATGCAGCAGGTCTTGGGTTCAATCTCCAGCATATATATATATATATATATATATATATATATATATATATATGGGGGTGTATTGTTGGCATCCATCTGTCTCTTTTTTGTTTTTGTATATTTATTGAATTTTATAACAATTAACGATACAAATCTCATTCATCATGTTATTTACAATTTATTCTCCCTCCTCTGGACTTCCCCCAACTCCCCCTCTGCTGAGTTGTTTAGTTTTATTTATCGTATCCTGCTTTTCCTACACAAAAAATAAAATCCCTTATCATTTCTCTGAAATATCTGTTGCTCAAATGAAATTGTGAAAGTTTATTCAAATCCTGCCAGTGAATCCAGTCCATTCTGTTGTTTCTGCAAATTAACTGTAAATGGTTCTCAGACTCTTTTGAAGTCCTTTTTGTCCTTCTCTTGTAGTTTGTCTGTTAGTTTAGCCAATTCTGCACAGTTCATCAGCTTTTCTTGCCATTGTTCCTTTGATGGTATTTCTTCCATCTTCCAATATTGTGCAATCAAGATTCTTGCCACTGTTGTAGCATACATAAATAATGTCCATTTTTCTTTTGGTAGCTCTTGATTTGAGATACCTAACAAAAAGGCTTCAGGGTGTTTAACAAAATTCATTTTAAACATTTTTTTCAATTCATTGTATATCATTTCCCAATATTTTTAATGCATTTGCATTCCCACCACATATGATAAAATGTTCCTTCCTTTTCCTTACATCTCCAACATCTGTTATTTTCTTTCCTAAACATCTTTGCCATTTTCACTGGTGTGATATACCATATATACATCATTTTCATGTAATTCTCTCTTAATAGTATGTAATCTGTGAATTTTATATCAACTTTCCATAATTTGTCCCAACTTTCAAATTGGATTTTGTGTCCCACATCCTGAGACCATTTAATCATAACTGATTTAATCTCTGCCTCTTTGGTTTCCCACTCTAATAAAATACTATATGCTTTTTTAACAATTTAAAATTCTCTTCCACTATTTCTTTTTGAAATCTGGAGATTGTATAACTGAACCCTTTTTATTGTCTTCCTTGAAAATTTCATTTAATTGCCAATGATGTAACCAACTTTGTAAATAACCTTTCAGCTCATCATACTCTTCTAGTTTGAGTTTAACTTCTTCTTCTTTTAACAACTCTCTATATGTCAACCAGCTTACTTTTTTGGTCGACTTAAGTGAAAATGCTTCAGTGGGTGACAGCCACCATGGTGTTTTCCACTCTAACAGGTCTTTATATTTTTCCCACACGCTTAATAATGACTTTCTTCTTATATGGTTTGAAAAGCCTTTGTGTATTTTCCCTTTCCCATACCATAAATATGAGTGCCAGCCAAATCTATTGTTGTGTCCTTCTAGTTCTAACTCTTCTTCTTTTTCTAATTTTATCCAATCCCGTATCCAAACAAGACATGCTGCTTCAAAATACAATTTCAAATCTGGGAGAGAAAAGTCTCCTCTATCTCTTAAGTCTGTTAGTATCTTATGTTTTATCCTTGGTCTTTTTCCATTCCAGATAAATTTTGAAATACCTTTTTGCCATTTTTTGAAGAATATATTGTTATTTATCACCCGGATCTTCTGAAATAGAAATAGTATATTTGGCAAAGCACTCATCTTTATTGCTGCAATTTTCCCTGACAGGGAAAGATTCATCCTTCCCCAGATTTCTAGGTTTCTTTTAATTTCATTCCATATTTTCTCATAATTATCTTTATATATATTTATGTTTCTCATTGTTAACCATATTCCTAGGTACTTTACTTTTTTATGAATTTCTGGAGTAGATCATTAAGCAAACAGTCTGTGAGCACCTAGAAAGGAATGCTGTGATCACCAATAGTCAGCATGGATTTCTGAAAAATAAGTCATGTCAGACTAACCTGATCTCATTTTTTGACAGAATTACAAGCCTGGTAGATGAAGGGAACGCAGTGGATGTAGCCTACCTTGATCTCAGCAAGGCATTTGACAAGGTGCCCCATGATATTCTTGTAAAGAAGCTGGTAAAATGCGGTCTTGACTATGCTACCACTCAGTGGATTTGTAACTGGCTGACTGACCGAACCCAAAGGGTTCTTCTTCATCCTGGAGAAGAGTGACTAGTGGGGTGCCACAGGGTTCTGTCTTGGGCCCAGTCTTATTCAACATCTTTAGCAACGACTTGGATGATGGACTCAAGGGCATCCTGATCAAATTTGCAGATGACACCAAACTGGGAGGGGTGGCTAACACCCCAGAGGACAGGATCACACTTCAAAACGACCTTGACAGATTAGAGAACTGGGCAAAAACAAACAAGATGAATTTTAACAGGGAGAAATGTAAAGTATTGCACTTGGGCAAAATGAGAGGCACAAATACAAGATGGGTGATACCTGGCTTGAGAGCAGTACATGTGAAAAGGATCTAGGAGTCTTGGTTGACCACAAACTTGACATGAGCCAACAGTGTGACGCGGCAGCTAAAAAGCCAATGCAATTCTGGGCTGCATCAATAGGAGTATAGCATCTAGATCAAGGGAAGTAATAGTGCCACTATATTCTGCTCTGGTCAGACCTCACCTGGAGTACTGTGTCCAGTTCTGGGCACCACAGTTCAAGAAGGACACTGACAAACTGGAACGTGTCCAGAGGAGGGCAACCAAAATGGTCAAAGGCCTGGAAACGATGCCTTATGAGGAACGGCTAAGGGAGCTGGGCATGTTTAGCCTGGAGAAGAGGAGGTTAAGGGGTGATATGATAGCCATGTTCAAATATATAAAAGAATGTCACATAGAGGAGGGAGAAAGGTTGTTTTCTGCTGCTCCAGAGAAGCGGACATGGAGCAATGGATCCAAACTACAAGAAAGAAGATTCCACCTAAACATTAGGAAGAACTTCCTGACAGTAAGAGCTGTTCGACAGTGGAATTTGCTGCCAAGGAGTGTGGTGGAGTCTCCTTCTTTGGAGGTCTTTAAGCAGAGGCTTGACAACCATATGTCAGGAGTGCTCTGATGGTGTTTCCTGCTTGGCAGGGGGTTGGACTCAATGGCCCTTGTGGTCTCTTCCAACTCTATGATTCTATGATTCTATGATTCTATTCCTAACTATTGGGATAGTTCTTTCTTCTCTTCTTCTTTTTGATTTTTAAGAAGTAGCTTAGTTTTCTTCTTGTTAACTTAACTTAACTTGGCATCCATTTGTCTCGAGGGACAATGGAGTGCACCTCCAGGGGTGAAATCAAACTGTGTGTTAGGAGCTATGGATGAGAGCTGAGTGCAGGGTAGGGACCAAAGGTGGACAAAGTATCCCAGAAGGACCACATAGCCAAGTACCTTGCACTCTCTGAAAGTAATAATTTGATACCTGGGCTGCCATGTTTACACTGAGAGACTCTATGACAAAGGTTGGAGCAGACTGCAAGCTTCCAACATTGCAGGCTGGGTTTAATATGTAACGTGAACTTCCACTGAATGTTGGAAGGAATGTTGGTGTCTTGCCAGCTGTGCTCATGTTCAAACAAGGATGCAGCCTGGAACAGGTATGAGTCACACATACGAATGAAATGTGGGTGACAATTGTTCACCAAACAGGTTTCCTCCATTTGCCATTCCTTTAATATTGCTTCAGACTTGGCACCCTGGCATGGCACCTGCAACATTCCCATGGAGAACCAAAGGGAGCAGAGATGTTACCAAGTCCAAAGGCAGGGGTAATCTAGGCTTAGAGGTGTCAAGGGCAGTCTCCCATACACCCAGTCAACTTAATGGATGAGTCACCCACTTATGTTCATCATGCAGCTGTCATAGGACAGCAGATTTCCAAAATCATGAAAGTGGAGATTCACAAGATAAGAGCTCTCTTATCTTGTGAATATATTTTATCCTATCAATGGGAGGCATGCTTATTGCTGCCACGTTGGTCAATCATATCCCGCAGCCTGTTGTGACCACTCTTGGCTGAACCATCTCTTTACAAAGCTTCAGCTTCTAACGGCAGCCAAAAACACCAACAATCCTTATAGCTGCTGCCTTGTCAGGATTGAAGGGAGTTTTATGTTGCTCAGCTGAGTTTTTAACTTAACCTCATTTCTAGCCGATGAGTCATTTCAAAGTGTGCAAAATAAGCTGCCTGTTCTCCCAGCTCTGTCGCATCACTTGGAAAATGGATGTGCTGCATAGCACTTAATGGGGAATGGGGGCAGTCAGGACAGGGTAGGACAGGAAAGACTCTGGCTTTGCAGTAAGATAACCTTCTACCTCCCCAAACTGTCTGAGGTAGACACACACACACTTTCTTTCAGCAGTGAGGGAATGCCCCCTTCACTGCTGAAAGGATGCGGGGTGGCAATCAGCTGCTGACGTGCATCCTTCAAGGCCAATTCTAACCAGATTGGTTAGAATTTGTTAGTAAAACAAAAAACAAGACCAAATGATCAGTTAATAGGTTGTAGAAGGGATAGTAACCCCCCTGCCTCTTCACCAAAAGGATGGGAGGTAATTGGACTCTCTCTGTTATTCAAAGGGATCTGGGGAGATTTCTCTAGATCAGGGATGGCGAACATGTGGTCCTCCAGATGTTGTTGGATTTTAACTCATTTCACCCATGATGTCCATTGGCCATGCTAGGTGGGATTGAGGAGAGCTGAAGCCCAAAGACATCTGAAGAGCCACAGATTCCCCATCCTGTAGTAAATGAAAATGTTACTGCTCTTCATAAAAAAACACACACCTAGAGGTGCTGGTGTTAAAAATGTCCTGACCCAAAACCATCGATCTGCCAGGTGATGAACCAAGAACATACAACCTACTTTTTCCAGCTGCTGGCTCCTTCTTAATGTGTTCAGCTTTTTACAATCAGCGGGATTTAAAAGCAGAGCTTCTTTCAAATAACCAGGCCCCTATGTGGTGGTGCAGGCACTTCCAAAGATGTACCATGTTCCCCCTCCATTACATTTGAATCAATCCTTTGGCTGCCATGCACAGGCAATTTGCAGGTGAGCCACAGCTCTTTGGTCCTTTGGC